ACGCTAATCAACTAATATATACACTCTCGATGTCTGGTAGCGTTTTTTTTTCTTTTTCTTTTTTTCTCAGAGATACCATTGCCAGATGCGGTTAAACGGGATGATCTCACTGCGGGACTCTTCGACGAGAGAGTGCAGGATGAAGAAGAGGGAAAGGAACCAGCGGGCGATCCCGGGCGTTGAAGCGTGAAGTCTGGGAAAGGCCCCTCCGTCGCCGTCTGGTCCATCATACCCTCCCTCCGCCGCCACCTATGCGACAAACGATATCAGTCAACACTTATACACTGTCTCTCAACGAGCAGCAACTTTCTGCTGGATGACTGTCCACCAACCAACCAACCGGCCGCACGGCAACTGAGAGACGTCACCCGGCTTCTTGCTGACGAGATGCGAGTTCAGCGGTGACATATACTATGCTCGACATCAAGATGGATATCTTTGGGGGGAAAACTGCAGCAAGGAAGGGATCAGAAACCACCAAACTGAACCTGTCTTCTCCATCATGCTTCAACGACTCGAGCGGCAAAGACCCGGTCCAAATAAAGTACAAACAAGGACAGCCGCCGACCTAACCTGGCCCGGCCCAACGCATTCACGCATGTATCCTCCAAGCAGGTTGGCAAAGAAGTGGATACCTCTAGATGGCGGGATTCATCATGTATTATATCATTACTAGATCATGTATTATGTATACACCCCCGCTACCAAGCCATTGCATACCCCTCCTTTTTCCCCCATATCTAGTACTGTCCGGTGATGGTGATCTTGGGCGTCTTGTACACGTCCCAGTTGTCCGCGTGGGTGGGGTCGCCGAACGGGCGCAAGGCGGCGAAGCGGAACTGGTACTCGCCCGGCGCGATCTGGCTGCCGTTGCCCAGCTTGCCGAACCACCAGTGTTCGTGGTACTCGGCGCCGGCGTTGCGGTAGACGTCGGTGATGGGGTACGTGAACGTCTCGTCCGGGTCATACTGCGCCGGGTCGAAGGTCTGCACTTCGCCGGAGCCGACCCACGAGGCGACAGAGCCGATGTAGCCGTTTTGACCCTCGACCGGGGGATAGACCCACTGGCGCTCCGTCCAGCTAGCGTCGAACACGTCCCACCTTGTTTGGCGGGTTCCCCAGATGAGCTTTTGGAAGATCTTGGGGAAGTCCTGGGCCTCGATGCTGAGGTCGAACGAGTACGTCGCCTTTTCGGCGATGGGTGTGTCGTCGACGGTGGAGGCGGATTGAGGCCAGCCGGCCTCGTGAACGCCGCCGAGGGTGTTGCGAAGGTCGGCGCCGACGCCGGCGTAGGGGACCGATACCAGCTCGCCGTTGCTGCCCTGGATGATGACCTTGCCTCCGTACAGGGGCAGGCCGGTGGCGTTCCAGCCGAGGTTGTCGGGGTTCTTGAAATTGACCGAGACGGTCTTGCTCTCGCCCGGCTTGAGCGTGAAGTCTCGAGGAAAACTGATTTCAGGGGTGTAGGTCTTGGGCCTGAGCTGGGCAAAGGTCTTGACACGCTTCGTGCCGGGCAGGCCGCCCGTGGCGGGGACCCAGGCAAGGGCGTCAACGCCGGCGTTGGGCTGGACGGAGAACTTGTACGTCACGTCAGACTTGCCGTTGTTGGTGACGGTGACGTCGTGGTAGCGGGAAAAGTAGCGCGTGTCGTTGAGCTGGATCTTGTCGAACTCGAGCTGGGTGCCGTAGTTGAGCACTTTCCAGGCGTCAATCTGGCCGTTACCGACTTGGGCCGGAGGAGCAGTGTAACCGTAGTCGGTAGCGGTGCCATCAGACCACGGCAAGGCATAACCACTCGAGATGATGCGGCGGGACAGAGCGCGAGCAAAGCCCTTGCCCTGGACGGAGCGACCGCCGTGCTGGCCAATGTAGAGAGCTGCAACACCGGCGACGTACGGGCAGGCCATGGACGTTCCGCTCAGGATGGCGTACTGGCCGTCGAGGTAGGTCGAGAAAATGTTGCCGCCGGGAGCAGCAATGTCGGGCTTCAGCTGGTTGTCGTACAGCAGACCCCAGCTAGTGAAGATATTGGGCCTATTCCCTGCCGGGTAATCAAGTGCAATGGGAATCTCGGGGTTAACCGAGAAGTCGGCGGTGACGGTAGTGTTCGCCTTGATAGCATTGATAAAAGAGGAGCCGGACTCGGCGGTGATGAGAGCGATCAGTGTGTCCGTGTTACCAGTGGCGGGAGTCGTCATCGGGCTCTCGTTATTGTAAATAAGAATATACTCCGCTCCAAGGGCGGCAAGGTTCTCCTGCTTGACCTGGAAGGTGCAAGTTCCTCTGCGGACCAGGGGAATCTTGCCCGTCAGGTCGGGGCTACCCGGGGGGTAGGGAGTGCATCCGTCCGCCGGGGCACTGATATCAGTGGAAAGCGCGACGATAGGCCAGTCAACCACGGTGGGAGGGAAGTAGCCGGCGGAGGGCAGGTATCCGACGCGAATGGTCTCGCTGCCGCCGAAGGTGGCCTCGAAGGGGATGGCGGGGAAGACCTCAGTCTCGACAGATGCCACCGCAATGACGTTCTTGCCGGAGGAACCGGAGCTGCCGTAAAAGGGGCCGTTGGCCCCGCTGTTTCCGGCAGAAATGGTGACGACAACGCCTTCGTCGACCAAACGAGAGGCGACTTCGGCCCAGGCATTGTTGGACCAGCCGTTGGCACCGCCGATACTGGCGGTGATGATGTCCACGCCGTCGCTGTAGGCAGCAAGGAAGGCCTCAATCAACGTGGCAGTGTCAGTTGATGCGGCGTTCGAGAAGACCTTGTAAGCGTGTAGGGTAGCCTCAGGCGCGGTGCCAACCCATCTGCGACGCAGTTAGCTCCGTTTTGAGAGAGGGAGACACTGCACAGGCATGCTTACGAGTCGGTTTTGCCAGCAATAATGCCTGCGACATGTGTGCCGTGCCCTCTGGTGTCGATTGGATCTTCGTCGGGGGCCTTGGGACCGCTGGCTGGGTACGAGCCGTCTCCTACGAAGTCGTAGCCAGCGGCAACCTTAAAGCCGGGGCCGAAGCCACCGCCGAGCTGAGGAAAGCGTGTAAGTCCAAGATTTTCTGTAAGGTATAGGCAGGAGCGATGAACTTACAGCGGGATGGTCGTACCAGATACCGGTGTCAACAACACCGACCTTGACTCCCTTGCCAAAAATGCCTAATGCGTGCAGCTTGGACACACCGGTGGCGTTGTGCGTCGAGTACGTGGGGGCGTCCTCGGGGGCGGCGGCCTGGGGCTCGGTGGGATCAAGCTTGACCTCTTCGTTCACCCAGACGTTGAGGACGTCGGGCAGGGCCTGTAGGGTGTCGATGGTGAAGGTGTCGGTCTCAATGCTGGCGCCAGAGAAGACGTCACTAGCAAACTCCTTAACGACCTTGATGCCGTCAGTGGAGGCGACGTTCTGACGACGGAGGCGGGCGCTGGATCCCTGCATGTCAAAAGAAGTGAGTGTCAGCTGGGGACGACCACCTTGGGGGAAAGACTTCTCCGGGCGACAGCCACGCGCAGCGGGCACTCACATGAGCATACTCGATGATGAAGCTCTTGGCGACGAAGCCGGTGGCCTTGCCGGTGTCGCTGACGGGCTCCTGGCGGGAACCGAGGGCCGCAACACCGCCGAGGTGGAGGGCGAGGGCGAAGGCGGAGACGGTGGCCGAGATGCGCATCTTGTCGGATGCTGGGTCTTGCCTTGGTAACGAGCGAAGGTGGCAGAGCGAAAAGCTACCGAGAGAGAGCAGGACATGGCGACGATGCGGGGAGAGCGAGGTATAAGTAGTCTCTGCCCCGGAGCTCTCGATCGATCGGATGCTCAGACGACCGGCGGCGAGGTTCCCAGCAAGTTACAACAGCTCACAATATGAGCAGCAGTGCCATGTGAGCAGTGCACCATGCAGGAGGAGTATGAGGGGGGCAAAGCCAACCAGCCCACCCCCCCCCCCCCTGCCAAAGACGCGATATCCAGGGTTCAATGCCATGGTCATTGGCCGCGGTACCGTGAAGTCGCGAGTAGCTAGCAGGTAGCTGTTCTTGGTCTTCTTGTTCGCATAGCTAGCTGCATGCTTAAGCGGAAGAGGTCGCGTGGGGTCGCGGGCTGGCTGCAGACCGCATCGATGCAAGGGCCGCCAATATTCAGATAAGACGGGAGACTGCCTGCAGAGCAATTTCGGCAGGGGAGCAGCGACGGATAGCGAGCGAGCCGTGGCGGCGGACGTCGGTGACCAGCGATGAGCCGCCAAGACCTAGACCAGCTTCCTCGTTGGGACGTAATAGATGACACGGCGCAGGCCTAGGGGGAAAACCAATAGTGCGAATGGCGTGCGGCCCGCGTCGCTCATGTTGGATCATTTACCATCTTAACGTGGCCCCCCCATACGCCGGAAAGGTGGTATCGAAGTCCCGGGGGGTCTTTGGTTGCGCGTCCGTTTCTCTCCCTTTTCCTTCTTCTTGTGTTTCTCATACGGTTTGCGCATCGTTACTGCGCCGACAAGTTGGTGTTGCAAGGTTGGCCAAGAGGTTGCATCTGCCAGATACACATGGCGCGGGTAGCAGGTCATGGTCCCTGTGTTCCCAATGTTAAGGCTGACCTCGGGTGTTTAGGAGCCATTGAGACGTTGGTCATACCGTACCTCAGCACGAATATAGAAACGTAGATAAAGATCAAGCGAAAGAACCAAGGATGTTGGAGGAGAGTTGCAGAATGTCGATGGTGGCTTGAGATGGGCTTGGAATGGCTTGATGAATCTTGCAGGAAGCGAGGGTTCACGGGGCGCCTTCCGTTCAGGTACCGAGAGACACGATAACATCAGCCGCGTCTGGCGCCACCTGGTGGCAGCTGGGGGCATTCAGCGACTCACTAGCGCCATTTGTAAGCGCGATAAGCTGGTGGTCCGTGTGTTTTGCATTAACCTTATTTGGCAGCTCCAAAGACGCGAGCGGTACGTACCGAAAGATATCATATACTTCACTTCCTTGTTGTCGATGCATGCTCCCCCCTCTCTCTCTGCATCATCATCATTTCCCTCCGCCTGAATCCTGCACAAAGACAATGTCAGATGCAGGAACGAGAAGCGACTTGTTCAATCTGCGGTACCATCCGACGTTGACGTGCGGCATGATTCTCCACAAACCGTCTCCGCCCGACCTTGACCGCAGTCGCCCAGCCCGATCACGCACAACACGCAGCGGGCAGACTCGTAAAGAGCTCTCGACAATCTCACCCGCATGACCGTGAGATGAGCCAAGTTCTGGAATGTCAATAAAAAGAAACTTGCATTGCCTTGGGGGACTCGCAGCGCCAGCGTCACATCGCCCCCCCCTTTTGCCAGCTTCCTCACACCTGCGTGCCCTGCCCTGGCCTCGTCGGACCGTGACCATCCGGGCACGCCTTACACCCCATCTGCTCGCGTGTTGACGCAGCTCTGTTGTTGATTCAGCGTCCGTACCTGGTAATTAATCAGTAGTGGCGCACGAGCGGCATGCGCAGTTACCTCATCCCCCGCCAGGTTGACGACGTGTCGTCCCTACCTAAGAACAGACGCGCGGGGGTTACAAGCAACGCCTTTAAGAAGGCCATTAGACAAGAATAATGATTTCCCAACATTAAAAGCCTAACTCTGCTTAGGACCATACTAAACGCGTGTCGCAGACCCTCATTGTGGGCAAAGGCCGCTATTGAATACATAACCAGATTACAGCTATCCTGATCAGGGAGCTTATTTAAGGCTTCGAGGCTTCAAGAGTCAGAAGGTTTGATGTTGTTCGGAATGGCTTTCGAGTGCAAGAAAGGCTTGTGTCATCGTTTGAAATCTAAATACTCAAGTATTCAAAATCGTATGTAGCAGTGTGCAGACAAGAAAGTTTCAAGTAGCGCGTGCAGATACCAAGTCGCGTGAAAGGCCCTGGACTTTCCAACCAGACGTACACTCAGAAGATCCAGGCAATATACACTTAGGGCCCGAGTTGACACGTGAGAACTGTTAGTATCTATGGAGACGCAAACGCCTCAACCCTCATTGAGCAAGTGTTGCGTTTCCTTTGCAGCCATGTAATGTAAGACCCTTGCTCTGAGCCCTAAGGCCTCGTGCTGTTACTCAGAGCCTCTTTCTTGCGTAGAACGTTATCCAGGTCGATTTCTAAGTAGTGCCACGCAGTCAGTCCATAAAGCATCCTGTCCTGCCATACGCCTACATCCATGAACAACGACTCGTCCTGTGGCAGTTCCTCGATATCTGAGCCATTCATCTGCATCTTCTTAAGCGGCCTCTCATCTTTTGTCAGACTTTGAGTTTATTTTCTCTTTGAGTCTGTCTGATGACACGTCGATTCCACTCCAACAGTGTATGATTCCGTCATGACATCCGGTACCAGGCTCAAAGAGTCAACAGTATCGGCTGAAAGAAACCAAGCTTGCTCCTGAACCATCTCAAGGTCCAAGGTCGCAGGGTAGCATGGGTGGGCAGCTTTCTGCTTCCCAGAAAATAAGTCGTCCTGGTCCAGAAAGGGCGTCACCTGGAAAGTCTTAGAGAAAGACGAAGTAAATCTTTCAGACCTGCACCGATCAGCAAGGTCGCGGAAGTCCAGTGTCTGGTACCTTGAAGTGGAACTTACGGAAAGCCTCCGATGAATCCTGGTTGGTGCTCGAATGATATCGCAAAAAAGGGTCTCAACGACTTTGAGTTGTCAAGCAAGTCGTCGAACAACTTCTGCTTCGGGTTCACTTTATTGCAGGAACGATGAGCCCCTTCCCATCTATAGTGCTGTAGTGCTCTCAACAGTGGTTCTGAGGTGGAACGCAAGCTAGACATGAATTTGTCCTATTGTCCATGTCAGCTCGGCTCCCAAGATTGGAAACAAGAAAGAGTCAGACCAGGTAAGGAAGGCCTTTCGCATCGCATTTGAGGTTTTTAGAGCCTTTGATTGCATAGCAAACCATGAGAATGGCATACGATACAGTCCATGAGTCATGGTTCGCAGTGGAAGTCTGGCCAAAATATGCGATCACATTCTTCCAGAGGCTGCCCATCAACTTCTTGACGAGATAGGTAATGGAGTACATGAACTCTATCACGAGAGATTGCAAGTTGACGGGATGCTCTATACCTAGAGTGGTGTACGGGTCGGTGAAAACCCGATGCCGGTTCCAATTGAAAAGAACGTTGATCCAGTAGGCGTACTTCCAGGCATTGGAAATCATTGCTTGCTGCCAAACTATTAGTCTCGTGGAAGAATGTTTGAGGCTTCCAACATTGGGACTCACATCTGAGCTTGGGAGCTGGCTGATCAAGTGTTGCGGGCATCGACCTGAATCACGGAAGTATACGCGGGCATACTATCATTTATGTCATTTCCCTAGAGATCATCAACGCTGGGCCCTATCCTCTTGCAGGTCGATTCAAACCAATCACAAGCGATCCAAATCTCGGGACTTGGTACGAACCGAACCTGCTTGTCGGAGACGAAGCCCATTGGACTGCAACGCTGCACCGTTTATACACAGCCAGCGAGAAATTGCGGCCAATGACAAGCTGTCGGAATATCGGAATCTGGATAATCCTGCAGCTTGCCTTCAGAGAAATCTCATTGGATCAGATTGAAGTGCCAGATGGCCTTGGGTTCCCAATTACATCATTTGCTGCTAACTTATCTGCGAGAAAACGAGACTCTCATTCTGCTAAGTCCTTACAAATGTCAAAACGGTTTAAGGTCTAGCATAAAGGGTTTGCATGACTGCGATCTGTAAGCGGAACTTAGTCAAAGTATCCCATTGACTGTGCGCGCATAGATTTATCATACGTTATGTACCTGGCATTGGTACCCATACTTATGCGGCAATGGCGAATCACACTATTTGTTTCTAACAACACTGGCTGTTCCATGGCAAATTTCCAGGGCCAAACGCTTAAAGTTAGTTCCAGCCTATTACCAAGTCATCCAAGTTTACCTTACCTTTAGTTCAAAGGATAACAGATAGATGGATCTGTGTTAAATAGACGTCAATGTATCCAACCAGACATAGGGTTATCACCCTTCCACTAACTTTGTAAGGATAGGAGAATAATACCACAGAGGATAACACTTTCCCAAGTGCAGCCAGCAGCTAATTATCACATTCTAGGGAACGATGTCCTTTACATCCACGTCTAATAGACAAAAATAGACTCCGAGTCCGTCGCCGAACCCCTTCGACGGTGCAGGGGCTGCTGCCGAAGTGCGGGTCCAGCCTGCTCTGATGCAGGACACTGATTGAATCCGTCTGGAGGGTATGCATTGATACATAGAGCTCCGCCAGGCCTGCGAGTGCTCCCTCGTGGGTCATCCCGCGCGACCCAAACAACTGGAGTACCCCGGATCACTCCATATCATCCTCGCATCTTGTTTAAAGGTGAACCTCACAGGCCAGAAAAGCGCACCAGTAGCCAGCTGCCCATCGTCTCCACCTCGCAAGTGTATATGGGCTTCGATAACGGCAATATGCCGACAGTGTAGGCACAGGAATCAATGACTCGGCTCGTCGAAAAGCGGCGAACCCAAGCTTCTTGAGTCTACTGGCACATCTGGGCCACGTACTTACTGCCAGGATTGGTTGACGCCCATTTAGGCTTTGGCTCTGATGTCTGTCCACTTTGATTAATCGAAACATGATACAACCTTGGGGCTGTGAACCACACGAGGAATAGCAACGTAACCATCGAATTACTAAGCCAAGAAAGGGGTCTGGCATGCTTGGTAATCAAGTGATGCATTTGAAAGGAGACGGAGATGCGGGGATTTGCTTTGGCCGAGCGAGTCAGTAAGATCGTTTCCGAGATTTGGCGCGCTAAGTTCCGAGGTAAGGAGACTACCGGAACCACGGTATCCGTACAGCTCAGGGGTCGGCAAGAGAAAACTTTAAAGCATCTCAGTACCACGCTGCGGCCCCTTGGTTGCTCCGGCTGGATCTAATTAGGTAGACAGGTGTCGCCATTCGGAGCACGGAGCATTCGCGTGTCAATGTGTCAATCAAAGGCGGTGCCTCGCTTTTATCTCAGATGACCGGCAACTTATGCCGACATTACCTGACAAGGAGCAAGTGACACTTGAGCAAAGACGTGTGCACTTGCGCGTGCTCTTAGCTGTGCATTCAGGGAGTCTAGTCTTGGAGGTGTCGAATCACCCCCTTGATCCATTTGTAGACCAGCCGCTGGTATCGTAGGGCTGAAAGAACCGTTTGCTATAAACAACAGATGCCTCTCCGTATGATTCATCAGGGGCTGTGTGCATCTTAGTCTAGCCCTTCCGGCATGTTGCGGAGACGTCCAAACAGCGTCGCTTCCCAGCGCTCCATATTCCATGAAAAAAGACTCGGCTTGAGAGCCCATGATTGGCTGTGTCGTAAAACACTAAACCTTATCCCCAAACACATGCTGGTACGCGGCGGCGGAGCCGACGTCGCAGGGGACAAGGAAGGCCACCCGGCGGCCGAGGGTCGCGCCCATCCGCATCCGACAGCTTGGTGTTATATAGTGGACGTCGCCCAAACTGCCCATCCTGGGATCGACATCCCCTGGTCCGAATTCTCGCGCCCGCACGACCCGACGCCCGAGAAAGAGAGCCTTTTCCCCTCAGGATCATAGCCAAAACTAGCCATCAGTACAGAGTGCCCCGTAAACAACCCCAATCTGGTCATCCGCGTTTCGCCCCGCAATGGCATTGGATAACTCGATCCCGGGCACCGGAGTCTTTTCGGTGGACCCCGCTGCTAAGAAGCTTAAAAGGACCCGGGCATCAGCGTCAAAGGTTAGGACCGGATGCTTAACATGGTTTGTGACAACACTGATGCCACTTTAGACCTTTGAAGAATGGTTAGACTGACGACATTTGCTACGTTGTTAGCAAGTAAGGCCGTCTGCCTCCTTAACCCCCTATCACATGCCGAGATCACCTCTTGTCTCTCGGACCATCTCACTCCGTAGATACTAACCATAGCCTAGAGCCCGTCATGTCAAATGCGACGAAGAGAAGCCGTCCTGTAACAGATGCAGGAAGGACAAGCACAAGTGTGATGGATACGCCGAGCATCTGCAAGCAAAACGACGTCCGAGTCCCGGCTGCCTGAGGTCGACTCACAAACGGCCTGTCACGTCGGTGACACAACTAACCCCCCGGTGAATTGGGATGTTTCTGGCACGACGTTGGAGAGGCTCATGTTCCATCATGTCCACCGGTGTACTGTGCCGGACTTTGGACTCGCGACGCCCCTCGCCAAGATATGGAGTAACTACATCCTGCCGTTGGGCTACTATTCCGATCCCATCAAGCACGCCGTCATCGCCCTGGGCGTTGCCCACAGAGCCTTCTTGGAGAACCCGTTCTCAGATCCGAACCCTTCCATGTCTGCGGTGGCGTTCGGCGACTTGGCCGAGGAACAATACCGGAAAGCCGTCACGGGGACGATAGAAATCATGGCCGACCCGTCGCCTGTCAACATCCGCATCACCCTCATCAGCTGTCTGGTGTTTGTCTGTTTCGAGATTGTGAGAGGCCAGTACGACAAGGCCGTCCAACACCTGAGAGCGGGGTCCCGCATCCTCGAGTCACTTCACCAAGCTGCGCTGGCCAGCCAGAACGATCCCAAGTCGCTCTCGGCGTTCGACAAACGTCTGGCCGAGACGGTACGGAGCCACTTCAGCCAGCTGTGCGACATCACGAACATGTTCGTCTCCATGGGCATGGACGCCTCCATGCTGATCGAAGCCGACGTCATCCCCGACCTGACGTTCTTCACGCAGCCAGAAGAGGAGCAGAGCAAGACCACGCCGTTCTCGAGCGTCTTCGAGGCGCGGCTATGCCTCCATCGCGTGGAGCGCATGTTGGTGCAAGCTTTTGAGGATTCTTGGTACTGCAGCATCGACCGCTGCTGGCACTCGACGCCGTCGTGCGGCAGCCACAATGCGCCCACCGGGTCTGAGAAGGCCAACGACGAGGCGTGGGAAACCGCAAACGCGTGCTTCGAAGCGTGGGGCGCCCGCTTCGAGCTGTTCCAGCAGGCCCTGCCGGACAAGATGGAGCCTGCCGACCTCCATGAGCTCAAGGCGCTCCGGTTCTCGCAGAAGAGCTGGGTGATCTTCAACGCGAAGGAAGGCCCATGCGCGCTGAAAAGTTATGAAATGGCGGAGCTCCATCGCCTCGTCGACATGGCCGAGGACGTCGAGTCGTCCCGGGAGGAGGAGCGGTCGCGGCCCAAGTTCGCGCTCGCGGCCGACATCGTGCCCTCGCTGGCGTACATCTGCGCCTTCTGCGACAACGTCGACCTCGAGCGGCGCATCATCGACGTCCTGCGGCGCATGAAGAGGAGGGAGGGCGTGTGGGACAGCCAGGAGATGGCGAATCTGTACGAGATGGTGCTGCAGGCCAAGCTCGGCAACCAGTGGAAGGACGAGTACAACTGGGAGACGCTGCCGAACCTCGCGAGGATGATGTCGAACCTTGCCGTCTCCACGCCGTCGGGGAACAACCTCAGCAGCACCCCGCTGGTTTTGCTTTGAAGGACGCCCCCCCATCATTCGTGATAGAGAGGAATAGGTTTTCGTATGACGCGCATAGAGGCACATTTTCTCGCTGAATTGTAAAGAGTTTTTTTTTTAGTTTTTTAGTTTTTTTAATAGATGTACAATTACCCGTGTTCGACGGGAATAATAGAGCCCTTATTCATCAGTATCTATCGGCACGTCCCGTTCGACTAGCGATATTAAATAAGATAAATCTAGCCAATGGTTCAATGTTGCAACAATGAGTGAAGCTTTTCTGTAATGAGAATCTCATAATCGAGTATCATTGTCTCGATATGCCCATGTGCTGCTTTTCACGTTTGCCGACATATAGTCAGTCAGGTCTGTATATTCATTCATACTGCCCTACAACATTTTCTCGTCATTATGCAAACTCCCCAGGATGTTCGTTCCGCTTTGCTGTGGGCAAAAGGCTCCTACAATCCGTTGAACGTTGTCACCATCACAGCCTAAAAGGTTATGGTCATAATTAACTGTCATATTGGTCTCATTAATCTAAGTCATCAAATCTACCCGCGCTTTCCAACTTCATGAAGTGCAGCTCAAAGTTCCGAATCTGTTTGACATTGACGTGATGTCTATGCGACCCAAACCATGTCAGCAAGAACGATCGTGTAACTTGAAGCCCTCGGGGAACGGATATGAATCCAGGAGCATGCATGGGGCTTACCTAGGTTGATAGCGGCCTCTGCCCCGTTGCATGTGCAGTTCATCCATGCTCGGGTGGTTCCGAAGATCGGGCCATACACGGGGTCGGGCAGACGGTAGACGACGCAATCACTGCACGCCTCGCCGAAGTTTCCTGTGCTGGACCACTGCGTTTTTCAAAGCAATCTCGAGTCAGCGGGGGTCTCAAGCCACATAAATTTGATGCTCTATTGAAATTGATCAGGGAGCATGGGGGCCAGTATTGCAGCGCCGCAGGTCCTCATTCTCACGCAGGATCTTACGTACCTTGATCGAATTGCCCTCATACGCAAAGCAGCTGTTGAGGTCGAGAGAAGTCGACGCCATGGTGCCCTTTCCGTCACCCGTGTTGCAGTTTGCGGTCAGGATCTCGGTTGAGGGATCGATGTGCTCATCCGTGCAGCTCCGGCTGAAGTCCCCAGCGGCGACCCCGGTGGCGAGAAGAGCAAGGAGAACTGTCGGAGCCTTCATCGTGCTGTGTGGGTTTGGAAAAGGTTAGGCTTGGGCGTTTGAAGAATCGGTATCGAGGATCAACGTAGGCACATATGCTCTGGAGATCTTTCTCTTTTTGGTCCGGGGCGCATCACATCTTTAATAGCCGGCAGCTAACTTAGCCGTACGAAATAAAAAGCCTCCGTGAGTTAACAACCCCGCATTGGGTGTCATTGTTTGCCGGGTTTTTGGCTGCTTTGGGAGTGCCAGTGCAACCGTTCCGTGTCTCGATGCGCTCGCCAAAGGGCCCCCTGTAGGCGGTATCTAACCCAATCATCGCCTAATGGGGATGCAGTTCTTCCAAGTCCAAATCGGGGAGGTGAAGACATTGCAAACGGCGGCTATCTCTAAATTACTCCGCAATTGCCACATGATCACTCGGCATTTGGCCGAGGTCTTCTGACTTTCTTTTTTCCCGGGTGATATAACTCGTATATTAAGAGGTTGCTTGCTTCTTTCTTCACACAGCAAATGGAAAGGCCGGCCGCCATGTAGGGCTGCAATTAGGGCGTATCCATACTGGAGATATGCAGGGGTTCTTGAAGATGCTCTTTATGTTGTGGATCTCCGTCTTCGGGCCTAGACGCAGATCCTGGCGGGGAGACTCTTCAAATGCGTGGTTCCGCGCGCGGTTGTCACGTCATGATCTCTTGATCAGATAAGATGTTTGCAACCATAGGTGGAGCCTAAGCCATGTGGTTCGTCCGCTCCGCAAGTTTGTCATTCAAAGTGGCCCAGTTTTGCTTTTGTGACAAAGCATTCGTCATGTGCCGCCTCTAGGATGACCTGGTAACAAGTTCACGACGTACGACCAGCCGGTTATCGAAGCATCCAACATAACGGCATCGTCCAGGACAGGAAAGAAGGTAAGATCCTCAACGCGTAGGTGGGTGGACCCGCCCCCACCGTCCGAGTCACAGGCTCCGGCGGGCTTCGAGATACTGTACAGGCCTACCTTGGATCACCTGCTCGAATTGGTTGTTGTGTATATACGGCATGTCGTTGGTCGAATCAGGGTACGACTTTTTCATTCAAGTTCATATCCCGTGTGTGGTTGACAGACTGAGAGCTGCCTCTATGAAATGGATATCGGAGGAACCAAGGTGAAATTAAAGTAGCGATACTTTTGAATAGTGGAACACCAAAGAGCGGTCAACATGGACTTGGAGATCTACAAACTGCATCTCATAGCCACAATGTGCATTACGCGTAGGCAATCACACAGAATCCCAGCATGACGGAAATAGCTCCGAGACTCAAAATGTAGTTTGCAGCGTCGTCGCCAGCGAATGCTCATTATGCACCGTCAATCTGGGTCAAGTTCCTGAGAGTATTCATCCACGTCAGCTCAACCAATGGGTATTCTTGGATCTGTACGGTGGGAGCTAGCGTTTGATTATTGCAGTTCGACCGTGGGTATGGCCGCGATCGATATTGATATTTGCACGTGTGTCATGAGATAGCATCTCCCTCAAATTGCGAATAATACTTTAACCGTAGTCCTGGCGTCCCTACTGACGGTATGCGGACTTCCACTTCACACATCATAACCACGTACGAAGAAAGCTAAGAATTTCTTATGACAAGCTTGTTTTTGGCAATAGCTCTTCATGCATGCCATCGGGGTGGACAACATGATTATTAATCACCTGAAACCATGCCACGCCGATAAGACCGGCGCTCTTGATCGGGCCTCTCCGACATTGAGAACGAGGGTATCGAAGTCACAACAGGGCCACTCACCCAAGGAGCTGCCAATGCAGCCGGCTTGACGGTTGCCACGAACAATCGCGCAACAGCGAACAATAAGCCCGGTCTGGAGGTCGTGAACAGCATGATGTGATGTATGATTGGGGACGCTTACGCCCAAGAGGGTGTCAGTATCGAAGCGGTATCTTTTGCTGGCCACGGCCCACTGGAAGGTCAACAACCACTGCATCATCCATGATGACTACTCGATCGCCTGCGACAGGACGGCCGGCGTTGCGAAGACGGAAGACATCAACGTCAAGATGAAGGCAACCGTCTGGAATGCGCTAAGGCCTTGACGGGAGGTCCAGTATTGCTGATATATCATTCTGCTCATTTAGTGTAGTATTTCATGATTCAGTTTCACTGTCGGGTATTATTTAGGCATTGCGAATGCTGTTATCGCTCCGTAAAGTAGCGACCACTCTACCTTCATCAATGCCAACACAAGGATCGGTTTTAGTTCGGTCAAGAACTGCGCCATGGGTGTCCGTGGCGTAGTTCAAAATGTCAACGGTAATATCGCCAGTATTAAATGATCCCTCGGTCCCGACGAGCACATCATCCCACAAAAGTTGTATAAATCATCTAATGCATGGGCGTTGCTAAACACAGTGTACGCGTGCTAAATGAGAGGTTTGAAAAAAGTCCGTGGCAACCACTTACAGAGTCGCTGGATCGAAATATATGTTCATTCAGTAGGAAAAGTCCATCCTGCCAGATAGCTGCTACAATTTGGTGTCCGTTCCTGAGACACGCAAGGTTTTCTTAGTGAGTAGCGTCTCACTACTCTATTATAACAACGTCGTCTAAATACCGTATCCACTGGGCAAATGCGGCTTTAGCTAACGAAGGGGCCTATGACCCTTGGTTCCTTGAAGCCATCCTCGCAGTCGGTTAGCTCGATCCTCCAACACTAGCGTTCATGGGGCAGCTCTCTTATAAACAGAAATACCAGGACACGCATGTATGTACGGACGTCTCAATAATTGGTGACGTACAGACAACTCGGACTTTTTATGTCGGAAGTGGCGTTCCAGTCCGTTCCCGTGCAGCGCTTGCAAAGCATCGGGTCCAGCTCGAGAAAAGCCCAAGGTCAAATATGCGTGCAAGCGATGAGGGGTACTGTGAGGTGATCTTGGGGTCAGTATAGTGGGTTGTATGATCGATGATAATCCCTAGCTATGGCCTTGCTCTGCTTGTACTCGCAAATCGGTTGCCGACATATGGATTGTCGATGTATCACTCAGATCAAAGGTCCGAATTGGGGAATGTGGTTAGACGATTGTCGGATATGCGCTGTTTGGTCGGATATGTGAGGTTGGTTGCTGGGGTGATCCGGATAATGGTGGGGCTGGGGTAGGGCAGGGCTTGTGTGTGGTTGGTCAGCCAGCGGCGTTGCTGACTGTACGTAGTAGAACTGATAGCCAGGTACTTTCTTCTCTTCAGTGGCTGATGCAGCCTACAAGAAACCTGCTAACGGAAAGAGGTATTGCGGCCGCTGTGAGAGGTGTAATATACTAGCAGAAACAGGGATCTATACAGACCTATTTTCTTACGTAACAGTTGTGCTTTTACTAACGGCAGGCTAGCTAGTGGGCAACAGAGGGTGGAAAGGGTGACCGCCTTTTATGCTAGGACTAGTGGAGCTGACAACCACTAGCTGTAATAGGACATCTGCTAGCTTTTTTTGGCTAGCAGGTCTCTTAGCTTTGTCCTTATCTCGCGAGTGTATACAGTACTTTAAATGTTTTTTGTCCGAATGTCCCTTGATCAGGAACCAGTTGTGCTACCAACTGTGAGGTGATACACCTTGGGGTCAGTAGAGTGGGTTGTATGATCGATGATATTCCCTAGCTATGGCCTGTGATGTGGGCTGATCTATGTACCTGGTACTCTATGCCTGAGGCATGCCTCACAGGTTCCGGGCTCGCTATCACCAATGTCACGTGGTAGCAGGGATGGGATGAGTCAGCACCATGGATGCCACCATTAGAGCTTCCCACTCTGCAGCAGCCCACTAGGTATTGTAGATATTACACATACACACACTTTGAGATTCACCTGCTTGGCCATCACGTTGATCCGTGGATCCGATCTCTAGGCAGTATATTCATTCATTTCGGAGTCCTCTCGACTCCTCACAACCAACACCAGACAGTATTACAAAGCAATTGTCACAAATACAACCTCACACCGAACAAGTTGTAGCGACAAGAATCATCGCAATGTCCTCTCCAGTCCGAAAAGTTGCAGTTGCTGGCGTTAGTTCACCAATTTTCATCAAATCACTGCCTGTGACTTCACAATAACTAACACTGTCCAGGCGACGGGTAAATTAGGCTCTTCAATAGCTAAGGCCTTGCTTGAATCTGGCTTCGAGGTTACTGCCATACAGCGAGCCGAGTCTGAGAAGACGGCCCCGGCGGGATGCAAGTCCGTCAAGCTCGATATGAATGACTTTGAGGCTCTCGTCTCGGGATTAAAAGGCTGCGACGTAGTGATCTGGGCTGGGCCGGATCCCATCGTCTTTGAAGAACAGAAAACCTGGATCGATGCTGCGACTGCTGCTGGTGTCAAACGCCTCTTCCCCTCCGAGTTCAGCACCAACCTCGAATCGCCCCTTGCCGAGGGCCACCCCCTGGTCGCTGGAAAGGTCCGGACGCGCCGCTACCTCGTCGAGCAGGTCTCCAAGTCCGGCGGCAACTTGAGCTGGACAAGCGTCAATAACGGGCCGTTTTTCGAACTCGTATTGGCCTTTGGCGGCTTAGGCCCGGACTTCCGGACCCACACGGCGAGATATCACAACGGAGGAGACAACCTGATCGGGACAACGAGGATTTCCGACATTGCCGAAACGATTGCCAAGATTCTTCGCGATGAAAATGGATTGTACACGGAGGCGGAGAACAAGCCCGTGTACATCCACTCGGCAGCCGTCACCGAGAAGCAGATGACCAAACTCGCCGAGAAGGTGACGGGTCTGACCTTTGCGGTGGAACATTACGACGTGGAGGAGCTCTACCAAGACGCAAAAGCTAAGCTGGCCAAGGGCGACAAGTCGGCCATGGCCCAGCTCTATTACCAGATGATGTACGGCAAGGGGTATGGGGGAAGCGAGAGCTTTCAAAAGATGAGCTGGAACGAGAAGGTCGGCTTGAAGACTTTGACTGAAGCAGAATTAGAAAACGTGGTGAGAGACGTTGCGCATAAGAATGGGGCGAAGTAATCAATAGATGCGGTCGTATTGTAACATTCTAATCGAAACATGCATGCCTTTCGCAATCATGATACACGTGATCCTTGCGCCACCAAGCCAAACGACCGTCGTCGGCGGCAGTCTCAAAGCTTCGAACGTCCCCTCCAAGCATGGCCCATTTCGTCCTTGAAGGTCGCGAGCTCGTTCCGCTTGCTGTCGCCACCGTGGCTGACCTGCACAGGCTCGTCAAACACGGACTTGTTCTTCGCCTCCTGCCTCTTCTCCGACTCGACGTACTCTCTCTCCCCTTCTCCGACGTACAGCTGACGAGGCCGCCAGATCTTGACGCCTCCCTTCTGCAGCATCTGCTGCCTCCAGTGGGCCAGCCAGCCGACGCAGCGCGGCACGGCGAACAGGACGGGGTAGAAGTCGAGGGGGAAGCCCATGGCCTGGTAGATGAGGCCGGAGTAGAAGTCGACGTTGGGGTACAGGTTGCGCTTCGTCATGAACTCGCTCTGGCGGGCGTACCTGGCGAGCTCCAGCGCCGTGTCGAGGAGCTGGTTCCGGCCGGTCACCGCGAACACCTCGTCGGCCAGCTTCCGGATCGCGGTCGATCGGGGGTCGACGTTCTTGTAGACGCGGTGGCCGAAGCCGACGAGCACGCGCTCCCGCTTCTCGACCTTTTCCATGAAGGCGGGCACGTTTTCGGGGCTGCCGATCTCCATCAGCATGCGGATCGCGCTCTCGCTGGCGCCGCCGTGGCTGGGCCCGTAGAGGGCGGCGCAGCCGGCCGACACGACGCTGTAGGGGTCGACGAGACTCGAGCCGACCTGCAGGACGGTGGCCGTGGAGCAGTTCACCTCGTGGTCGGCGTGGATGATGAACAGAGCATCGAGGGCCCGCTCCAGGACCGGGTGAGGCTGGTACTCATGCCCGCTCAGGTGGTCGAGCAGGTACAGGAAGTTGCCCGTGTAGCTGAGGCCCTGGGCGGGGCGGTTGAAGGGCCTGCCCTGGCGCATGCGGTAAGAGGCGGCGGCCAGCGTGGGCGCCTTGCCGATGATGCGCAGGATTTGCTTGTCCAGAACTTCCAACGCCTTCAGGTCACCGTTGGCGGCATTGGTGTACAGCTTCTGCCCCTGCAAGCTGGGGTTCGCCTCGGGCGCGAAGGCGCCGAGCGAGGAGAAGGAGGCCTGCAGCATGGCCATGGGATGAGTGTCGTAGCGGAAGGACTTGAACATGCCCTCGATGTCGCTGTGGATGTAGGTGTGGTGCATGATCTCATCCTGCCACTTGCTGTACTGCGACGGGGTGGGCAGCTCGCCGTAGATGAGCAGAAAAGCCGACTCGAGGAAGTGCGACCTGTCGACGAGCTGCTGGATGGGGTAGCCGCGGTACCGAAGGATGCCATCCTGTCCGTTTATGTAACTTATCTTGCTTTGTATCACGTGGGTATTTTGGTAAGCTGGGTCGAAGACGCGAAGACCCTGCTCGGTCTCGTCCTCGGGGCGGTCGTTGCCGCGCGCCGCCTTGATCTTCTTGATGTCCGTCGCCAGGATGGCGTTGTTGGTGATGGGCAGCTCGTACGACTTGCCGGTGCGGTTGTCCACAACGGTGAGCGTCTGGCTAGGCGCGGCGGCGGCGCCGCGGGACGCGTTTCTAGCGACGGTGACCATCTCAAAAAGACTATGTGTGTCTCTACTAGTGTTCTGACTCGGAGAGTTTGGCTCCGAAATGGGATGACAGGTTCGCGAGGGGGGGCGGGGGACAATGGCTTTGAATAGGCGTTGAAGTTACCGGACGGATGGAGACTCGGATGTCCGAATTTCTGAGACACGTTTCCCTCTCAAAGCAGCTGAAAGCAACGCTGAGGCCGGCGGTCGGTTGACGTCGGGAGATCGGCAAAGCTGACCGAGTGCCGAGGTTCGTTTCGACATGCGCTCCGATCCCCAGATCAGTGGGGGGCGCTAGCTGCATTTGCACATGCCAGGCCAGGGGAGGGGGGCCGCAGCCACGGTCTATCGTGAGATGCTCAGATGCTGCTCGTAATGGTTCAGCAGCCATTCGTACGCCGAGGTGAATATCACCACCCTAGGCCGCGCCTTCATCGGTTCTGCCCATGCGACCATATTATTCTCGGAGTCCGTCGATTTGTTTCCGCATGCTTGAGCACGTCTTCCATGAAGACCCAGTACTTGTTGTTTAGTTCCTTTATGACCGGGGTCCGGGGCCGGGAGCTTGGAGCTGTATTTCCAGCTAAACTGTTGAGTGGACCACCGAATAGCCTCAATAATTCGTTGTCTTGTGTGAACCGAACCCCGCCTTTCCTTATTTCTGTTGCATGCACGATGATACGACAGGTGTAGAGAGGGGGAAATATTAAAGACGGGTCAATCTCAGCAACTTAGCTTAGTAGTGCTTTCCATAGAAATAGTTTTCAGCAAACGTCGTCAAATAAGCCTAGGTACGCTCTCGACAAGCTTTCTATTGACAACAATGATAAAGAAGCAGATGCAGGTCTTGAATTTAACGCTAGTGGCCATGAAGTGTGGTTGCCCGTGAAGAATACTTGTGTTATGTAACAAGAACGACACTGTTAGTTATAGGGTAGTAACTAACGCTTATGCATCTCGTGACATACCCCCTAAATTTAACCTAGAAATTCAGATCTAATACTCTTTTAGAACAGGAAACTTAGTTAGGTGTATCTTGCTGATCATAAGTAGTATAGACGAAGCATTTCCTAGACAATATAGGATTTTTGACTAGGGGGCCTTGTGCTCTTAGTGACAAGTATAGGAATTGAACCTATAGTGTGTAAGACTAGTTAGCTACTGCCTGTGCTATTGCAGCACCACAGCAGGCAGGACTGGGCTCATAACTGTCACTCAATATAACGACCCCGTTTGTCACGGGGCAGTAACTTACGCCTGTATATCTCGCGGCAACTTATCATGGTGATGCACACAATCCATACCCGATATCTCATTGGCCGCATGAGGCAAGCCTACAGCCTCAACGTCAAATCCAGCTTGCTGGCGTCCGGTCTCCTTGAACGAAACGCCATGATGGCTGGCCTACACCGCGATCCTGCCCTCACGGACTAGCCACGCGCGAAGGAACAACAACGCCAGCGCCAGGAGCTATGGTACACTATCGTAGAGACCGACTTACAAAACTCCATGGATCGCGCGATGCAGCCTGCGGTGAACCTGGATGGTTGGGATATGTCCCTGCCCAACGAACCAGGCAGATGAGCTCACCGCAATACGTTTGTCATTGTTTCGTAGCCATCCGGATATTTTTAATTAATCCTTCAAAGTTCAAACCATGCGTTTCCAAGGTTGGAATATACGCTAATATGTCATTAATCTCACCATCTTCCTCATGCTTTCCGCTCAACAAAGACACTGTAGACATCAGTCCTCGTGATTTTCCCTGCCGTGTTTTGACGGTTGAGTATGGTTTCCTGGCTTCCATTCGCCGGAATCGTCGTCCCTGTACTGTCTCCGAGACTCTCGGCATCGGCATCGGGCTTGTTTGCACGTCTCTTGGCGTTGCGAGAGCCATCCATTTCAATGTCAGACCTCATCCGGCCGCTGGGCCCCGACCCGGACGAGTTCTGCCGCAAGCACCCCAACGCACCCGGCCGGCACATCCCCCAAGACCTCCCGCCCGTCCTCGTCCAGGTCCAGAACATCGATCCCAAGATCGAGCCCATGGCGTACGACTTCCACACGGAGCAGCCCATCAAGGGGGCCAGGGCCTACTACATGCACTCGGTCCTACACGACTGGACAGACAAGGTTGGCAAGAGCATTCTGTCACGCATCACGGCGGCGATGAAGCCTGGCTAAAGCAAGCTCCTGGTCAACGAGAACGTGCTGCCGCCGACGGGTGCCAACTGACAGACGACGGCGCTGGACATCATGATGATGACACTCTTCTCGGCAAAGGAGAGGACGGAGGAGCAGTGGCGCAACCTGCTGGAGCCAGCGGGGCTCAAAATCGTCAAGATCTGGACCAAGGGTGAGGGCGTGGAGAGCCTTATCGAATGCGAGCTGGCATGAGAGTGCCAGAACCTGGGGGACACGGGGGGGAGGCTCCTGAACAGCTGTGCGTGATCCACAGAATGACGGTGACCACTCGCAAAACGAATGTATAGCGGGGAAGCATCAGCACTCTGTTGGAACGACGTGCACGAGGGTAGCCCGCGTTTCTCGCGGTAGATTGTAAAAAGACATTCACCGCTTATGTAAAAGGGATCAGCGGCTGACGCCGTGCTTTTGATCCTGATTCTCACAGATAAGGAAAACGAAAGCCGTTCCGGGTTTCCGGAGGACTGCCGGTTGACCACCGTGCGATCATTGCCATTTCTAACCGTAGCTTGGTAGTTGATTAAGCGGAAACGGTTATCCGAACCCGCACCCCCTACTTACAGAACCCCCCAAAAAAACCCACACTACAGAAACATGAGTCAGGACGTGCTTTAGCCATGTGGGCTCTGGCGAAGATCTTCTAGCAGCAGTGTTATTTGGCTATACTTGGTTTCGAGTCTCGCAGTAGATGGTGCGATGGCGTGGAATGTACCAGACGGTTTCTTATAATTCTCACGTTTGTGGTTTAGTTACGAGGGGTATTTCGGCTTGATGTCTCTCGTTCTCTAGCTCCCCAGATTGCCATAGCAATTTCTCTTGTTCGCTCGCAGGACTATCCCCATGAAGTTACGTCTTTCTCCACTCTCATCGCCGCCTCTGATAATTTAAGTATGTCTTTCCCTTAGATCTCCATCTTGGCAATCTTCTTCTTCAGCCTACCTCCCTATTGAACGGTCCCCCAGTGGATCAGCTGTACGACGAGATTAGCGTTCCAGAGCCAGAGCATGTTGTACTTCCTGACAAAGGATCAACGTCTCCAGCAGCTGGGGTTTCTTCAGACGCTGAGCCAGATGCAACAGAGGTATTGAACACTGCATGGATAAAGAGGTGGGCTTTACCGGCGTATGAGGTGAGTCGAAACGCGTGACGTTTTCCACTGCTCGTACAGAAAGCTGAGTTTCGAACGGAATGTGGTTGTATATGAGATGAATTTCAATTTTTGCGAAAGTTTTCTGCGGTCACTGTAACTCATATGCTCTTGAAGAGTGCAGACCCAAAGCCACAGCTAGGTACATACGTGCGTGCTTGAGGAGACATATTCTTCTCCCTAGGCAAGGCTAATCCGCTATAGGTATGCCAGGCAAGTAAATATGATGTGGCGCACAGTGCGACAGCAATACTTGAGCCCAGGGGTTGACACCACAAGAAGTAACAAACAAGTCCGAGAAACGAGGAAGAGCATCATTCGGCTTACACCGAAACCAACGAAGAGGGGTTCTTCAGGCTCATAAGGCCTTAGTAAACGTGAGAGAGCCTAGATGTGTACAGGAAAAAACAGACTCTAGGATTTCTCTTCGGCCAAGGACTGCCACACATCGCCAACGTCAACTGCCTGTACTAGGGAAGACAACATAAAGTATCACACACCCATTGGTTCAATACTTGAAAGAAAAGAAAGGAGTATTTATCGATGGATATAGTATCGCTTAACCTCCATAAGCGGCCTAGTGCAGTTCACCTGATATGTAGGTAAAGTCACGGTACGTAAAAACCTGATACGCTGCAACTCCAACCTGTGCCACAACTCAATCTCTTAATACAGTATAGAGTACCTAATAACGTAGAGCAACTGCTGAATCTAACTTCACTCTAACCATGGTGCGAACGACCTTTAGGCGCTAGAACTTAAGCGGCAACTGGTGATAAGGTTGTGCGGCTTCGCAGGCAAGCCGCCACACTAAATAGTAATAATAGTACTACTAAGTCTACCATCAAGGTTACAATAGTGACAAGGTAACTAGTTTACAAGCTATATAATAACCCTAAACTCTACTGGTAAGGTTATCATAAACCTTACGCCTCAAGTTACAGACAGTACCAGAGTTAGCTTTACTTACTAGCAACTTGGCTAGCTGCAGCTAGGTATATAAAGAACAGAAGCTACGCTTAGTCTCTTCTCTCCTTCTATTTTGTATGTATCATAAATTAATATAATATTATCAATACACACACACACATACACACACATCCTATTGACTTTCTTATAATGCCTTCTTATACTGTCTAGAACCCCTACGGTATCACCTAACCAGCAGATGACAACACGCTAAGCACAGCGTGTAGAGATCCTACTATTACTAGTGCTTAGATGAAAGAGCTTGGCCTTGAAAAGTTCAATAAAGATGCCTCCTTCTATAGCCTTTCTCTAGCTATAAAGTTGAATGTGGCCATCTTCAGCCTAGAGCTGCTGGCTAAAGACTCTAGCTGAGCTGTGAAGGAGGTAATTGCCGACAAGAAGGTTGAGATGAAAAATAGTCTAGAAGAGCTTGAGAAGTTCCCATACCATCATGGGATCTAAAACTGCTTTGCCAGCGTCATAGAAGCGGCAGAGGTGGCCATTAAGGCCAACAATGACCCATGGGGCAGTCAGGGTTAAGTAAGTTGAGCTGTGATGATGCCTGAGACATTCGCTGACGGTGGCAGTGCTGATTGGTCTGACAGGACCGGGGCGACGCGGAGGTCTTTGAAGTTGCGTAACGGAGGGGGGTGTTGTTCGCTGGTGAATTGGTAGGCCGGCCGGCGGGCTGCTGAAGCGAAAGTCGCGATTGGCAGAAGCTCTACACACACAATACAAGGCCATAGGCCTAAAGTAAAAGAATAATCTGCCTAGTGACGTTCTAGAAGAAGTGGATTTGATGCTGCGTTAGCGCTCACTCTCCCATGCTCCGAACGTTCCACGGATTTCTTGGGATCAAGATACTATGGAGCGGATATGGTGGACTTGGCCAATCATGACGCTGAATCGACTTGTAAAATTTCCCTTCTCGAGTATACGTCTAGGATATTAGGGAGCTTGGCAGTCGGTCCTGGAGATGGATTTCACATATTCCGAATGTCGGCACCTACGCCAATTATGACAACCATCAAGTGGAGCCGATGGTGTCGAGACTTCGGCACCGATACAGCCGGATCCGGTCCGTATACGGGCGAGACCGCCTCAGCAACGCCCAATGCTCCGTTGACCAGTCAGGACCATCTTGTTGTGAAGAGTTTTATCCAATCTTGCCCGAAAACCCCCACTTGGAAATCCACGTGTACAAATGCTGCTGGATGCAGCTGCGTAACCAGGAGCTCCAATGTGTGGCCAAGAGAAGTCCGAGGGTTTCCACCCCGACATTGCATGACAGGGGGGAGAGGGACCAGGACCAGGAACAGAATCTGGTGAAGGTTATCTTCAGGGGTTTGTCGACCAACCAGCTCTCCAGGTCCGAAAAGAAAGTCTCCACGCACACCGCGGGCCGCTTCTGACATTTCAGCCACCTACACACGCTAGGCTAGGGGCCACGCGAGGAAGAAATGCCCGTGGATCTTGCTCCCAGGAGATTTTGTTGCAAGTGCAAATAGGCTATGAGGTAAGTCATAGGATGAACCCATCGTTCGTTCAGCGAACCGTGGTCCCATGGGCAATGGCCATCCTCGGCCCATCCGAGCCCTTAGCAGGCCTGCTTCTTGGCCTCCTCTCATATTCCAAGCCCATCCATGCAAGGAACCAGATCTCGGCCTTGTAGCTCTATCGGGTGTAGGCCAGACGCAGGATGTGTGGATCGATCAATGGCTGTTGGCGACCCCAGAACCTCCACAGAGAGCATGCTACAGACTCGAAAGTCCGAGATGCGACAACGTCTTTTGCCCCTCCTCCCCCTTGGCTTGCGACCCAACTTCTTCACGTTCTTTTTCTCTTTTCTTTCTTTCTGTAATCATCAACACAATGTCGACCGTTGATAATGCGTCGTTGCCCATCGGCGGCGTGACGCCGTATCTGTCGGCCCGTAACGTGCTTGGCCTCGTCGTCCTCTGGCTGGTCTATCATGTCTTCAAGGCCCTCTACAACATCTCGCCGCTGCACCCACTGAGCCACATCCCCGGGCCCAAGCTGTCCGCGGCCACGTACATCCCGGAGTTCTACTACGATGTTATTCTGTTCGGACGGTACACGGAGGAGATCCGTCGCATGCACGAGCAATACGGTATGTCGAGCGGCGCATTGCAGAAGACAGGCTTGACGGGATCTAACTCTTGCCATCAGGCCCGATGGTCCGTATCAGCCCGCACGAGGTGCACTGCAACGACGTCAACTTCGCGGACGAGATCTACGCCGTCAGCGGGCGCAAGCGTGACAAGCCCGTCCACCAGATCAACGGCTCGGCGTAAGGGAGCCTGCGGAATTGTTTCGAATCTTGGAGACCAGATGTAGCTAACGATCCGTCCATCCCTCCGTCTATAGTCTGGGCGAGTCTGGCTTCGGTACAGTAGACCATGACGCTCACCGTGCGCGCCGCGGCCCCCTGGCCAAATTCTTCTCCCGCAGCATGATTGCGCGCCTCGAGGGCGATGTCCACTCCCTGGCCCAGAGACTCTGCGATAAGCTGCTGGCCGAGAGGGAGCGCAAGATGCCGTTCGACGTCACCATGGCGTATAGCTGCTTCACCTCGGACGCCATCTCCGGCTACGCCTTTGGCGAGAGCTTCGGCTTCCTCTCGCAGGAGGGTTGGTACCCCAACTTCCGCGAGCCGACTGCGTCCATCCTGCGACCCGTATTCGTCTTCCGTTTCTTCCCCTGGACCAAGAAGACGGCCGTCATTGGAGAGTGGTATGTTACCCGTCCGAGCAGGGCTATGTTTCCAATGCAGTAGGGGAGAAAAGAAGAAGAAGAAGAAGAAGAAGAAGACAGGGCGACGAAAACTGACTTCAAAGCCAGGCTCGTGGACTACCTGCCCGCTGACATCGCTCTGCTCATCCGAACGCTGAAGGTCGAGCTGCCGAACAAGGTCAGAAGCACCAAAGCCGACCTCGACGCCGGCATCCGCCGCGAGCGCCCCACCGTCTTCGGCTCCCTCCTCGACTCCGAACTCGAGTCGGACGAAAAGGGCTCCCTGCGGCTGGCCGACGAGGCCGCCGCCGTCGTAGGCGCTGGGACCGAGACCACCAGCTGGGCGCTGGGCGTGATCACCTACCACCTCCTCACCAAGCCCGAGCTGCTCGCGAAACTGCAGGACGAGCTCAAGACCGTCGTCGATGACCCCAAGCACCTCCCCAGCTGGACCTCCCTCGAGAGCCTGCCCTACCTCGGCGCCGTCCTCCAGGAGGGCCTGCGCCTGTCCTACGGCGTGTCCGCGCGGACGGCCCGCGTCGCTACCGAGGAGAACCTAGTGTACCGCGGCGAGTTCAACAAGAAGCCCGTTGAGTACGTGGTTCCCAGCGGCTACGCCGTCGGCATGTCCGCCGTCATCACCCACCACGACGAGAGCGTCTTCCCCGACTCGTACCAATTCATCCCCGAGCGCTGGCTCGACGAGAACAACCAGCGGCGCAAGGACGTCGAGAAAGGCATGCTCGCCTTCTCCAAGGGCAGCAGATCCTGCCTCGGCATGAAGTAAGTTTCCTCCCCCCCCCTTCCCCCCTGCATCACGATCGAGGAAGGCCATTTGCTAACATTGTGTTTCAGCTTGGCTCTTTGCGAGCTCAATTTGTGCCTTGCGGCCCTGGCTCTGCGCGTTCTGCCCAGCATGCGTCTCTACGAGACCACGGACGAGGATGTTGCGTACGACCATGACATGTTTGTCCCTATGCCCAAGCCGGGGACCAATGGCGTGCGTGTGAAGATGGTCTAACGGCCCTGCAGCGGTGCTATGCTTAGACTTGCCTGATACAAGAGCTGCCGAGATTTCAGTCTTCGTACTTTAGCCCCCTAATTACATTATATGCATCCATTTTCGGGAACGCTTGCAAGACGGATAAGCCTGTCTTCGCTAAACCTGAAAAAGTGTGATCCAACGTTCTTGGAGGTCTATTCGGGTCAGCCTAGGATTACGGAGTACTGTGCCTTCGTCTAACATGGTCAAGTTCGGGCACGGCAGCTTCTTTGGTCATGCTGAAGCCGCTCATCCTGCCGTCGTGCGGGTTCATTCGGCAGGCAGAGACTCGGCCGCGGATATTCGTCTCGAAGAATGGTAAGCGGGCGATCCCAATCGCGGCAACCCTCACCGTTACTGCGATCTGCGCGTTTCAATCCCCGATGTGACTGTCGCTAGAGAATCCCCCCCCCCCCCCCCGTTCTGCTAGCGGGTGATCGTATACGACTGGTCAGATTCTGCGCTAGACCGGCTATCAACCCATCTTCCGCGTCTGGTTCGACTGTCCCTCGGGCCTTCGAGATGTCTTCTGCCTAGCGTGGTGGATTCATCTGCAACGGCCCCCCCCTGGGCTGACCCGCGCGGGCCAAGCGCAGCCAACCCGAGGTGCTCGGCCGTGGCTGAGTTTCTGATTGGCGAAGTGGAAGTGGAAACGGCGGGATCCATCGTCATCCAGTACGGTCCAATTCCACATATTCCTCCCTGGAAGAGGAGGCTCTTCCCAGCTGCCTCGGGCCCAGGACCATGAGACGGGTGGAGGGAGCCCGCCGGGCAGTGTACGGAGTAAACTAATACAGACAGACCCTGTTAGTCACAACAGCAACAGTGGCGAGTCCAACGCAGCTGTTGAAGGATCGAATTCTTGATAAGCGATGATACATAGCTTAGTATCGGGGCGTTACATAGTACATTCTTGGAAGCACTCCCAGGCTTACGTCTCTCTCTCTCATACTAGTAGAACTTCCCGGGTTGGATCGAATACTACCACGGTCTCCCGCTCCCCCCTGCATGGCTAGATCCGTGGATGGGGCACATCCGTCTCAAACGAACATGCCGTTGCTTATTTGCCTATATCTGGAGGGTCCGCCGCCTGCCTGACCACTTTGTGACCGCAGCGTCGAGTTTTGCTTGCTATAGTACTGATCAACACGTGCCGCCAAGATGTCAGCGACAGTCGACCCGAACTTGCGAATACTCGAGCCTCACGGACTGCCGCTCGCCATCATCATCGTATCGTCCGTCTTCCTCGTCATATCGGTACTATGCGTCGGCGTACGCACCTGCGTGCGCCTTACCGAGGGCACGTTCGGCGTTGACGATGGCCTCATGCTGGCAGGAACTGTACGGCAGATTTCCCAGACCCCTTTTTTTGGGTGTGAAGCATCAATGAGACTAACCTGCGCGTCTTCCCCATAACTAGATCGCGTACGTGCCGTGCGTAGGACTCGCCATCTACGGGTGCCTCGTTGGCCTGGGAACACTCCAAGCCCAGCTCAACATGTGGATGTTCTCCGAAGCCCTCAAGACCTACGTTATCTGGATTCTGATCTACGTCATCGCCCTCGCCCTCGTCAAGTCTTCCGTCTGCTTCACCATCCAACGCATCATCACGAACGACAAGGGCCTCCGCATCGCGGTCTGGGTGTTGCTCGGCGTCACGTGGGCGTCCTTCTTCATCACCTTCATCGGGACGCTGCTCTACTGCTCGCCGACCTCGGCGCTGTGGACGCCGTCGATGTTGATCAGCGGCGAAGGCACGTGCGGGTCCGTCGACATCTTCGTCGCCATCGGGCACGTCGCGACGAGCTCGACCATCGTCACCGATCTGGCCCTGGTTGTGGTGCCTGCCATCATCCTCTGGAGAACGCAGATGAAGAGGCAGACCAAGTTCCAAGTCTTTGGCCTGCTTTCCTTTGCATCGGTGTAAGTTTCTTGCCGCGGCCCGGCCTGGAGAAGATGCGTGACAGACAACTAACCATCTCCAAGGGCATCAATCATCACCATGATCCGCATCCCCTACGTCAACAAGTTCAAGGCCCAGCAGGACCTCCAATGTAAGCTTGGCCCCTACCCCCCCCTGGTTCCCCCCCGGTCTGCTTCTTCGTCACGAGACTCACAGCCGAACTAGTCTGGGTCGCCCACACGGTACTCTGCTCCAACATCGAGACGGGCATCGGCTGCATTGCCTCATCCATACCCTCGCTGCGGCGTTTCATCGCGCGCACTCGCGGCACGACGGAGATCTCAAAGGCGAGCGGAAGCGGAACCAAGTCGGCGCTCTTCACGATCGGCAGCAAGCCCCTCGACCAGCGGAGCCGCGAACGCTTCCGCAACCCGACCGACGCGGGCTTCAGCCTGTCGACGGTCCACGGCAGGGGCGACGAGACGTGGGAGCGTCTCCAGGACGGCGACTCGGACAAGGGGGACCTGCTGCCGGTCGACCAGAAGGGCGGCATCCACGCCCAGTACTCGTACCAGGTCGAGATCGAGATGACGCCAAACTCGAGGAGCCCGGAGGGTCGACTGGGCACGATGGGCTCGACTCGATGAGAGGCCCCGGTGCAGACATGGCAATGAGATGAATAATTATTCAGTGGGCTCTCCACATAGATACACATAGGTACAAACACGCGCACATAGACACATACGTGGACATAAAGCAATTGTAGAAAATCTTGTATAATAATCAACGGTTCGTATACATCATTGCCCCCCCCCACACCATGTTGCGTGTCCCTCTTCCTGGACAGGGATCAATCAAAAAGACAGGGGAGTTGGCCAACATCGCAAAAGGCCGCAACAGGGACCCCAGGGCCAGGATCGTTACGCGATTACTCTCGCCTGGCGGAAGACTGGCCCGCGGTCCTGGGATTGCCAGCTCCTATTCGATGGGGGAAAAGAGGCAAAGAGCAGAATTTTCCCTCCACAAGTTGTTGTTGCTGACGACACGCAACGGGTGCGAACACCCCCTGTCCTTGTCTTCCAACAGTACACAACGGGTCCCAGCAAGTGAGGTATCCGGATATGGCGTTCATCCGGCCCCCAAGTACGATTCGGGAATGTGGGCGGATCCGAGCCTTCGTAACTCGTATCGATACTGTGGAAAGGGGATTGCGCACAATGTGGAATCACGGTCCTCTCATGTCAGTGCGAGATGATGCAGATCCGATAGCCGAGCCCACCGAGTTGTGCGACTGTGACTCTGCAGCGGAGAATGTCCATTGCACATATAGTCGCGGAGAACAGTCTCAGAGAGTGAGTGAGTGAGTGGAAGTGAGTGAGAGAGAGAGAGAGAGAGAGAGAGAGAGAGAGAGAGAGAGAAGAAGGAGAACTTTCGGGTTCGAGGAGGACCCAGGCTGAGGGATTTCGGTCACAACCACTTTTTCCAGCGATCAGCCAAGGCCTTGGTTGTTTGTGAAGTGTGACGCCTAGGGATCATCAAAGATTCCCCGCCCTTTTACTTTAGTGCGGAATCCAAGGAATTCTGCAATTTGCTTCAGAACCCCCTGGAATTGATCCTACGTCTTGCTTGCCCAATACGGGGGGCGGCCTTTGTGATCACTGATCAGCAAGCCTTCGAAAGCACATGGAATATACGGACAACGGCGCCGGAAGCTTTGAAACCAAGCGGAATCAGCCGAGTCTGCTGTATCAGGCGGCTCGCTCCGCTATGATTCCATTCGTCATCGCCGCTGTTTGTGTGACCTTCAGAGAGGGACCGCCTCGGGTGAGTACCTCGGTCACTGCCGCTGTTCTTCCGCTTGCTACTAGATGTCTGGATCGTATGGCCCCCGACCGAGGGACACATTCGTCTGCCAAGCGTTTTCGTCTCCATTCGTTGCCTCTTCCGGGCATAGCAACCTCGCTTCGCCGGCGAATGAACGGCAACTTGCTTCCCACGTGAAGCCCGGTCATGGCGGTGATGTATGGAACGTGCTGCAACGGCTCTGTTCAATGGCGGGTGCTGGGCTGTAGGCACAAAAAGGCATCACTGAGTTGCATCGCGTGCATGAACGATGTGACAACAGCATGCAGTTGAGCCCGTATCGTCATAATTCAAGCTCCTAACCCCCTCCCCCTCTCCCTTCATTCTGTAGACATGGCGTGGGAGTTGTGCGGGGGAGAAGGACTTATAAATGGTCTGCAACACGAAGGTCGTGCGTGGCAATGGAATACTCTTTCACGGGACATCTGGACTCTACCCGACCTCACGGGGTCACCAAGCAGTCAGTCAACATGAAAGCTAGCATGACAGCGGTTGTGCTCCTCGGAGCCGCCGGCGCTACCTGCCAGGCGGCGAGCCTCACCCTGCGGCTCATGACATACAACATCCGCTGGGCCACGCCCGTCACCGGCCTCAACGAGGCGTACTGGTCCACGCGCCGGCCCCGCCTCGCCGCCCAGCTCAACTACGAGACGGCGGGCCGGCCCGAATCCCTGCTGTGCATGCAGGAAGTCGTCGAGCAGCAGCTCCTCGACATCGCCCAAGACCTCGGGCCCGCCTGGGCCCACGTCGGCGTCGGGCGCGACGACGGCGGCGCCGCCGGCGAGTTCTCCCCGATCCTCTACAGGCCGGACACGTGGGACCTCGTCGAGAACCGGACCTACTGGCTGAGTGAGACCCCGGACGTCCCCGGGTCCAAGGGCTGGGACGCCGCGCTCCCGCGCATCGCCACCGTCGCGTCCTTCAAGCACGCCGCGACCGGCCTGCCGCTGGTCTACATGTGCACGCACTTCGACCACCAGGGGCAGACGGCGCGGGAGCGCAGCGCGGAGCTCCTGGTCCGTCTCGCCAAGGAGTGGGAGTCGGGGTCGGGGTCGGGGTCGGGGGACGCGGCCGTGCCCGTGTTTTTGGGCGGCGACTTGAACGTCGAGCCGGACAACGCCGCCTACAAGACGCTGGTCGCGGAGGGAAACCTGCGCGATGCGCGCGACGTCGTCCCGGAAGCCCGCAGGACGGGCAACTCCAAGACGTATACTGCCTTCACGGACATGGACTCGGACGACTCGCTCATCGATCACCTCTTCGTGCGGGACCCGGCTGCCCGCGGCATGGAGTTCCTGAGCCACGCGGTGCTGCCGAATCGGTTCGACGATCGGCTTTTCATCTCGGACCACCGGCCTGTCGTTGTAGACGCCCAAGTCGGCGTCGAAGCCGCGTAGGTCGACGGATTTGGTCGTTGTTTCTGCGGGAGTACACTTGCATCACCAGTGTCCGAACCGGAGAACGTCCTCAAATAGGCTGGTTTGAAGAAACCGAGTTGGACTAGAAGATGGCATAGCTGTGGATTATGTCGGTCTTCGTAGAGGGGGCCTTGGAGAATGTTGTATATTTCCAGCGCTCGGCGAAAGTGACCAGTCTTTGATGAAAGCAATGTGAGAACTGGGCGGACCCCTTTGCAGAAGTTGTGCGCTCACTTCCCTCGTAAACCACTGCCATCTTGGCTTTCGCAAAACTCCCCGACATTGATGCCGTCTTGGATGATCCTTGTTTGGGTTGGCCCTAATGCACCTTATGTTGTGTGAGCTCGTAGATCAGAAGATGCTCCGGGATTCCCAATGCCGTTTAGAAAAAAAAAGCTATCAAGTTCACACAGGCGTAGGCGTTCTCCTGGGCGGCTATCATAGCGAGAAATACCCCGTCTTTATCCCCCGTCTTTCCGCGATAGTTAATCGTTCTAAGGGTGAGACCCCCCCCCCCCCGGCCAGCGAACTGGGCAACGCCAACATGATGATACGGGTATGAGAACAGCATGTACCGAGTTGAAGGCAGGTTTCCTGCGGCATTCATTGATGGTAAACCTCTGAACAATGCTACTACAGACAGCATCCGGTTAGACGCCGCCAGGCTTTTGCCCGTAAACGACATGGAACGTCAGATACGAGTGTATCGAGGAGTTCATCAGACTCTTCCGGACATCGATGAGGAATATTTCCACCTCGGTAGCGCTCCACTTCAGCCCCCTCGTCAGCGGCGCCATGCTCACGGCCTGCAACGCGTCGATGAGCATGCTCCGGTTGTACAGCCCGATCGTCTTGAGGTTCTGGTCCCGCGGCCACGTCCCGATGGGCACCTTCCACACCTTCTCCTCGACTCTCTCGAAGCCGCTCTTGCGGAGCCGCTCCGCGTTCCCCTCCATCCCCAGCGGGTCGATGCCGAAGCTCCGGAACCCCTCCATGCACAGATCGACGAACCGGCCGTACCCGTACTGGGCCGGCCCCGGCATCGTCCCGTCGTCGCACTCGAGGTGGAACCGCAGCTCCTGCAGCTCCACCCAGCCGCCGGGCCTGAGGGCGTGGTGCGCCTGGGACAGCAGGCGCGGCCAGTCCTTGATGGCCATGCACATGTGCCGGGCGTGGACGAAGTCGATCGAGTTGGCGGGCCAGACCCATTCGGCCTCGGCGTCGTCGACGATGAAGCGGACGTTGGGGGGGAGCCAGGTCGGCTGGATGGGGCTGAGGTCGATGCCGACGACGTCGGCTTCCGGGAACTCGTCACCCACTTTCGGCCAAGTCAGTAGATGGAGGAGAGAGAGCGAGAGAGAGAGAGAGAGAGAGAGAGAGAGAGAGAGAGAGAGAGAGAGAGAGAGAGAGTACGTGTGTGAGAGTAAGAAAGTACGGAGCAACTCGGGGGCTCAGAACTCACTATCGATGGCCCAGATCCCTGTCCCCGTGCCAATGTCGACAACCTTTTGCGGGTTTTCCAGCGGCGCGCAGTGCAGTTTCCCATCCATGACGTTGACGCACATGGCGTGCTTCATGTCCTCGCGTTCCTGTTCCGGTTCGTCGTTGGGCATCAGGTATCGCCCCTCCATGTACTTGTGGTATCGCCGCGAGTTCTCGAACACGTAGTCGCGCACACTGTTGGACAGCGACGTCGAGGCCGAATGGTTCCCCGCGCTCCTGCCGTCGAACCCCTCGTCCCATGTCTCGCTCGCCTGCGACGACACGCCGTCGTCCGTGTCGGCCTCTACGGTGTTCTCCGCCTGTAGGGCTTCCGCCGGAGTGGCCTCCCGTTCCGCTTCCGGCTGCGGTTGAAAGTGCTGGGTATGGGCCGAAGCTGTTGGGGGCGGTGATGGCAGACTGGCCGTCGCCTCCGCGGTGGTATCTACCATGGCTGCGGAATGATATTCAGACCCAGGTCTGGTGGTGTGACGCGCTATCGGCACCCTTTGATCGACGATCCTTGTTTTTTCCCCACAAAGGTTGCCGATGGCCTGGTTTAGCAGTATGCTGTTGTACACGTTGTAACTTGTCAAAACCAACGTCAGACGCCCATTCCGTCAATCGGGGAGATGGTCAAAGGAGGCAAGAATGCAACGAAGGCTAAGAGGGAGGGGAAGGGGGGACACTTTTGAGTACCCAACAAATTCCCGTTGAAACACTAAAACTCAGAGAGCACGCAATGCTAGAGTAGGTGATCTGGATCAGAAACCTGGGACGAGCCAGCCTACCTAATCTTGCGTGGCACCGAGCCGTTGACGAAAGAGGAAAAACAAGACACGCCAGGGTAAAACGAAAGCCGTTGGCTGCAGCTGCAAGGACATTACAAGGCCTATGTCTTTGGGCTTCTACTCCCTTGCAAGAAACAAAGGCACCCAGAAAAGGTCGATGGGAATGGGGGAGGGGGGATGCGTAGAGGAACCAAGAGGACCCGTGGATTCGGGAAGAAGCCAGCGTGGTTCCCTGTGCCATTCCCCTCCCCCCTCCTGGCCCGTCACGCTCCGCGACCGCGTGAGGATTTCTTTTTCTTTGCTGATTGAGCTCTGGTTGCAGACTGGCGCCGTATGCCGTGTCCGCTAGCTCCATGTGGGATTCTGCGCCGGCTCGGCCGGAGGAGGGCTGACGTTGCCAAGGTGGGAATAGCTCGGACTCTGACGCCCATTGTCGCTCGATGGTGGCGCCACGTAGTGTCTCTCCTTTTGGCTGGGCGGATACATTGCTCGACTCTGAACACTCCGTACCCTCGGTCTCCTTGCCGCGCCAGAGTCATCTCCCGTAATATACTTGCTTGTTACTACCAGCCCTGCAAACGGACCATGGGCACGGCACGGCAGAACTTTGTCGGCACATGCGGCGAACTGCCGTAGAGAGCGACAGCTATGTTTTGGAAGCAAGATACTGCCGAATATGGCGCAAACAGGCGGAGGCTGCGCGGCATGTCTGGGAGTAGCGGCCCGGATCCGGATTCGGCTAGACTTGGTTCATAACATCTAATATGAAAAAGCACGACCCCGCATTCGTAGTCTGGCTATGGAAGTCGAGCTATTGAAATTGGTAATCCCAGAGTCTGCTCCTTCGCTGTGCTGACGGAGACTTGACAGTTTGACCGGCTTGAATTGAATAATTGGTGGTCGTGACCGTCCGTGTCTATGTAACCAGCGCCATCACATCGTTGACTTGCAGGCTTTCCCGCAGACGCTTTAAACCAGTGAAGCACGCACAAGGATCCCTAGTGGTCATCCTCGTACCCCGGCATATTCGACGAAGCTTACCTCAGCAGGCATAGTCCAAAGCAGATGGCTCAAAAAATGACGGGAGACCATAGCAACTCGGTCGTAGAAGAGGCCGCCGCGGCGACGGAGGAGGTCAATGCGGCCTTCCGAAGCTTCGCGGCCGAACCCGGGCCGTCCGGGGGAGACTCGGACAAGGCCCAGCGGCGGCGGATCATCGAAGCCGCGACGAAGCTCATCAATGCCGTCAAGGACCCGGCAGACGAGTGGTTCGATACGACGGCGCAGGTTGCGGAGCTCGGCGCCAAGAGGCTCTTTGCGGAGTGGAAGGTGTATGACCGCATCCCGCTCGAGGGGAGCATCTCGTACGGCGAGCTGGCGGCCAAGGTCGATGCCGAAGAGGCACTGATACGTGAGTTTCTCCAGCGGGGGGGGGGGGGGGTTGTCAAAATCGCTGCTGACGCACGAAACAAAAGGACGTGTCGGGGGTGTTCTCACGTCGGTAAACTTCCTGGAGCAAGTCGGCGACGACTCTGTCGCGCACACCAAACGTTCACGCGTCTACGCCAACGAACACCCGATAGGCTTGATCTTTGGCATGGCGTAAGTCTCAGGCCCGGCCCCCCCCCCCCCCCCCCCCCCAATCCTCCACCCATCCAATTCCGTGACCTGTAAACCCGTCTGGAGGGCTGACGACCGTCCCAGCTGGGATAACGGTCTGGTGCCGTACGTGCACTTGCCGGCCTACTTCGAGAAGTACGGCCGCAAGGAGCCGCAGACGCTCAACCAGGTCCCCGCCACGTACGCCTACGGCATGCCGGAGTACAGCTTCTACGAGATGCTGCAGCACGACCCGCCGCGGATGCGGAGGTTCCTGCGCGCCATGGGGCCGATCGAGGAGAAGATGCCCATCGCGGGCATATACGACTTTGGCTGGGTGGTCGAGTACGCCGCGGCGCACGCCTCGTCCGACCGGCCGCTGTTCGTCGACGTCGGCGCGGGCAGGGGTCAGTCCATCAGGGCGATCCACCGCGAGAACCCCGGCCTGCCGCTGGACAAGTGCGTGCTGCAGGACCGGCCGGAGGTGGTGGAGGCCGTGGAGAAGCTGGACGACGAGGACATGAGGCTTGTGCGGAAGCAGGTCATGGACTTTCACAAAGAGCAGCCCGTCAAAGGTAAGGCACATACATATAAACATATCCCTGGACTGTTCTACGGGGCCGGGCTGACGACGTGTGTCTAAGGGGCCCTCACTTACTGGATCCGTCGGTGTCTGCACAACTACGGCGACGAGGTCAGCGTCAATATGCTCCGCATCATATCCGAGGCCATGACGGGCGACAGCCGGCTGCTGATCCAGGAGGACGTGGCGGCGAACCCGCCGCACTGGACGACGACGATGCTGGACTTTATGATGCTGACGTTCGGCGGCAAGCACCGCACCCTCGAGTGCTGGACCGACGTCCTCGGGAGGGCCGGGCTGAAGATCAACAGCGTGTCGATGGGCAAGGGGCCGTGGCGGCACTTGGCGGTGATCGAGTGCGTCAAGGCCGACAAGTAGATTGCCGTTGAGATCGGGGAGGCTCGTGTGCATCGGCAGAGAGACAGAGAGAGAGAGAGGGGGGGGGGGGGGGGGGGAGACGGACGGATAGACAGAGAGTCAGACAGAGAGAGAGACACACAGAGAGAGACATGCAGAGAGAGACATGCAGAGAAAGAGACACACAGAGAGAGAATGAGAGACGTATGCGCTCGTGCATAAGTGACGGGTGCAGTCGTAATGGTGCAGTCGAGGTGGCGTTGATGGGCGGTGAAGATGCTGAGACAAGTGATGGGTAAGGTAGCCGACACGGGCGTGGGGGTTATGCATAAGATCAACAGGAGACAGCCATGTCTTTATAACAACCTCCTCATAAGCCAGCATCCTGTGCACATTATCGGGGTGATGTGTCTTGTACACATGTATGAGGAAACTCAATGCTGAAGCCATCATCCGTTCCACACGTCCGGCCTTGCCCCATCCAAGCCTCCTGAAAGCTCTGACTCGTAAGCCTCGTGGTCTGATGACCAAGAGACTATTGACAAATGCCCCCGCCCAGGATTGCTTCCTCACCGCCTGTCTGTCCGGAAGGGCGGCTGACCCGGACCGGACCGTCCTGGTTTCCGGGCCCGGGCGGAAGGGCGCCGGTGTTCCACAACAACCGTTCCCATGGTTCTCGAGGTATGGGGGGACCTGGGACTAGCGGTGTATGGGGAGGGGCCCACGACACGAGCAGGTTAAGCCGTCGAACGCCACCCAGGTTTCGATCGGATGTCGAATGAGAGGGAGGAGTAAAGTCCGAGACGGCATACACAAGACAGAACAGCGCAAAGGTGGAATTCGAGGCACTCGTGGAAGTGTAAATCAGTCTGTTTGAAGCTATCGACAACGTCCAGTCTGCGTTACGAGTCCCGCAGTCTTCAAAGACATCTCCCTCTCTCACCCCCCCTCCCCCGTCCCCCCTTTCGCGGAGTTCTTTGCTCCGGCTTCTCCGATTGGGTTCTCATCTCGTCATCTATCGTCTATGTGTGTGCGCTATGCATGCCATTCTGATGCTCGGAAACCAATGCGATCCCGGTTCGTCTCTCCGTATCCCAAAGGGAATAACTCGGGAGGATTCACTCTGAGCGGGAAAGGGAGAAAAAAAAAAACATTACAAAAGAGGATTGAAAGCAACGAAAAGAAAACAGAAGACAAGTGTAAACAATCCGACGTTACCAAATGCTGGGTATAAAACGCCACTGCAGGGCCTGTCCGGCCCGCTTGTGCAAGATGCCATGCCGACTCGACGCAAAGATTTGTGCGCTCAACACCCTCCCCTGTTGATTCCATGATCCCTAAAAACAGAAGTAGAAAAACCAAAAAATAAAATAAAAAACGAGCAGCGTCAACACCAGCATCAAAAAAGGGGGAGGAAGAAAGAAAAAAAGACGAAAAGGGAGAAGAAGAAAAAACGCAACCAAGGATGGTTCTGTTCAGGCCGTCTTGGAGCGCTTCCACGCGAACCAGCCCCTGCGGCGGCGGCCGCACCCGCGCTTCTCGCAGGGCGCCTCCTCGTCGAGCTCGAGGCGGTAGCGCCGCACGCTGCCCGTGTCGTCGTCGAAGGCGACGTGCTTCTCCTTGGGCACGAAGCAGTCCGGGACCAGGTGCCTCTTGACCCAGCCCTTGACGCCGCGGCTCGCGGCGTCGATGGCGGCGTACTCGAGCCGCCGCGTCCGGTCGCTGGTCCAGTAGTGCGTCGCCTGCGGCGGCAGCGGCGCGACATCGGCGCACCCTTCCTCCCCGGAGACGGCGGCGGCGACGGCTGTTGATGCCCCCGCCGGGATGAGCACGCGCTGCTCGAGCTCGACGTCCTCGCGCGGCCGTCGGGCGGCGAGCTCGACGTCGGTGGGGTGCGCCGGGAAGTGGAAGAAGGTCACGGGGAGCTGGGAGTGCGCCGAGTGGAGGCGCTGGCGCTGCTGCTGCGGGTGGTACAGGCTGCTGCCGCTGGTGCGGGCGGTCGCGGGGTACGGGCTCGTCTTGGGCGCGCGGCGGATCGTCGGACGGCCGCGGGACCGGGGGTGGGAGGACGACTGGGAGGACGACGCCGTCGACGAGCGGCGGGGGTTGGAGAAGGAGGACCGCGGCGGGAGGGACTCGTAACCGGAGTCCTGGCGGCGCATCTCGGCCGTCTCGGGCTCGGCGTCCTTGTGGTGAGGGTAGCGGTCCGGGCGAGAGCAGTGGTCCTGGTGGGAGGACGAGGGCGGCGACGCCGGTACCGGAACAGGGGTCCTGGAGGGCGGCGAGCTGGGGGCGTAGAGCTCGACGTCGTGGAAGCTCTGGTAGGCGCAGGTGTGGTACGTCGTGTCGGAGGCGGCGACGCTGGCGCGGGACTCGGCGCGGAACGTCGGGAACGGCGAAAGGCGAGACATGACTGCGGCGGACGTGTGTTTATGTAGGTATGCACGCGTGTGTGTATAGGGTGTAAGAGATGATGTGTGTAAGGCGTGTGTGTGTGTGTGCGGGTGCAAAAAGAGTCGACCAGGTGAGGTCTCTTTCACGAAGCTGGAGAAGCGGATGGACACCGAGGCGAACAAGATGCTGCTGCTGGCTTCATGCGACGCGACGGGGCGTGGAAAGAATAAATGGTGTGTGTGTGTGCGCGGATGCTGTAGAACTCAAAACAATAGAATTTGAATCCTCGCTATAGATCCATTGGAGGATTTCCCCCCTCACTTGATCGGCACGCAGCGGCGGCGCAAGGTGCGGGCGATGGCAAAAGGCCCGGTTTGGTCCTTGCGGATGTGGATGTGGATGCGGATGTGGATATGTGTGAGACGAAGAGAGAATGATAGAGAGAGACAGAGAGTCGGTGGTTGACGAGAACAGCGATGCCGACGAGCGAGCTTTTAGCAACCAAGCTGCGAGCTGCGAAGGTAAACGACGTCTGGGGGAGAGAGAGGAGAGATATCTCGCTTGCGGAGGGCCCTCCCAGGGGCATGTATTGTATTAAGTAGACGTCTTTGACGAGATGGGGAGAAAAGGCGGAGATGAGAGCGAGGTTTCCGATGGAGTGGTGTCAGAAGTTGCGGTCAATGACACACACACAGAGAGAGAGAGAGAGAGAGAGAGAAAATAAACCTAGACGAGAACCCATCTGATGAGGGACCCCCCGTTCTGTCAACGTTGATCTGACGACAACAGTGTCGGATTGGGCTTCGTTGGTCTTTCGGTTCGTCTGTCTTGAGCCCCTCCCCCTGTCGCTCTTTATGCAGAGATGAACAAGCGAGAGGTGTGTTATTGTTGTTGTTGTTGCAGTCGTTGTTGTTTTCGAAGCCTGTCGTGCGGCGGGCGGCAGATGCAGGTCCTGACAGGGCTAGAGGAGTCGATGGGACCCGGGCTGGTATATGTCAAAACCGGAAGAGACCGGGCCTGTGCTTCTCCTCGTTTTGGGTGCGGTGATGGTTGAAGGACGGGTCTTGGTTGATCGACCCCTGGTCGAGGGGTGACAGGGGGGAGTTGTCGTCGTGGGCTCGCTATGCGTCCGTGATTGGGTCAGGATGTTGCGGTGAGCCGCCCGATGGGGGGTGTCTCGTGGCGCTACAGCTGGGACCCGGGATGTCTTGCTGAGGAATGAGGGAGGGGGGGGGGGGGATGATGGAGGGCTGGCACAAAGCCCTCGTCGAACTCTTTCGTTTCTTATTCCACGCTGTGCTACCAGATTTGCAGCGTGGGGTGGATGACGGGAGAGACCCTGAGGGGAGATGAGGCGGCAGAGAGAGAGAGAGAGAGAGAGAGAGGAGGTTGGATATGTAAAATATGTAGGTACAAAGGCCACGGGCCTACCGAGACCGGGGGTGAGCGTTTCTCTATAAGGGTTGATCGCTGGTTGTGCGTGGGTTGGTGATGTGTTGTGTTGCTTTGCGTGCTAGGATAAGCCGTCGAGTATTGTTCCCCCCTCCAGATCAATATATTGGTCGATTGGGTTTCCTCTCCCGATGTGCGGTGTGGGTAAGGGAACCCGGGTTGGACGCTGATCTTGCGCGGGATGCCGCTGCGACAATGTCAATTGGCAATGTCAATCAGATGTGTGCTGGCAGCGTAGCAGGGCTGGAAGGGAATAGGGATCCAATTCCGATAGATGGCCGGGTGTATGTAGTACAATGCAGTAGGATGAGGGTACCGGGATCAAGTGAGGATGACGAATGAGCGAGGCAGCAATGCAAGCGTGTAGCATTGAACAGCAGGGCAAATAACGGCCTGTGAAAATAGATCAGACGAGTGCGGGAGGGGTGACGGCGATTCCAACGTGGTGGTGTTGGTGTTGGTGTGGCTGTGGCGGAACGGCGGCTGCAGGACGGAAGGGAAGGGGATGCAGGTGCAAGAGGGCCGGATGAGATAGAGAGAGAGAGAGAGAGAGAGAGGGAGAGAGAGAGAGAGAGAGAGCCCAAGTGATGAGACGATAACAAGCCGCCGATGTCAAGTGCAAAAGGTCTAGATCCAGGTCCCGAGGCCCCCAATATGCGTGTCTCAACCCGTACGGAAGAAGAGGGGAGTGTGGGAGGAGATGCGTAAGTGGGCTGGGCTGGGCTGGGCTGGGCTGGGACAGGGTAAAGGAGAAGAAATGGCGGTGATAGTTTATCAATGGGGTGAACAGGACCCGAACGAATTCGGGTTCTGCAGGCCTTCTGCGTCAGGACCGGTGTTCCTGATGGAGGAGGCCCCAGACCCCAGAAGCAGACGGGTATGACAGGAGAGAAAAGTATCGGGCAAAGAGACCAATCGTGGAAGCATAGAAGGAAGACGAGGGGGGGCGGTTGTGGCGGAGGCAAAAGGTAGAGAGGTAAGCAAAGAAAATAAAGGATTCCTCACGCCCTTCTTGTGCCGTAGAGTTTCGAAAGTCGGGACGATGATGTAGTGGCCCGGTGGTTCTTGTTGCCAGACGCTAAGGGAATGCTCAACCCGTTAGCAGGATGGGATGAGATGGCGGTAACTTTGACGGGTTGGAGAGCAGCAGCACCGGCGTCAGGTCGAGGTTGAGTTCTCGACCGTGGGGTGGGCGTGTGAAGTCGATGCAGTGCGGTGGAGAGATGATGATGATGATGGTGATGGATGGAGGTGCCTCGTGTGGTGTTGTTTTTTTCCCCCTGGCCGCTGTTGGCGGGCTTCGGTTGGAATTTACCGATACGGGTCGTCTCAAGTACGTTGCGAGGATGCAATGCGGCGCCTCTTCATGCGGCTAACGTTCTTCTAGTGAGAGCAGAACAAGGAGACAAAGAGACAGTGAGAGAGAGAGAGAGAGCGGACGGGTACCGCAACAGCAGCTACGTACTCGGCCTTGGTCCGGATTGGGAGCTGTACAGAGGCCCAGAAACTACAGGGTCTGACGCACGTATGCGTGTAGTGCATGCAGGCTGCGCGTGAGGTTGCGTGTGAGTGGATGAGTGGGTGAGTGGGAGTGAGTAAAGCCAGCGAGAGAGAGAGAGAGAGAGAGAGAGAGGGTCTGTATGCAGGACGGTGGATCGTGGGAGGATGGATGGATGGATGGATGGGTCCTTGCGCAAGTTGACGATGAGTCGCGGGGATACCGGATAGTTGGTTCGATGGTGAAGCAGAACGTTGGGGCCTCTAGGGCACCTGGTCGGAGTGGCGGTGACACATGGATGAGTGAGACGGGATGAAGATGAGCGTAGTTGCGAGACTACCAAGGGAACGAGAAGGATAAGCGACAATACGGGGATAGAGAGAGAGTGTGTGAGTGAGTGAGTGAGTGAGTGAGTGAGAGAGTGAGAGAGTGAGAGAACGGGCAACTAAAGATGAGTCGTGTATGTGTGTGTGTCTACTAGCAGTGTACGCTACGCGCAGTGCTGAGTGGCGATGGACGGAAAAGCTTCAAGACGAGGATAGCCCGGCGTAGTGTCACACACACACACACTCTCTCTCCACCTTTGATGCGCTGTTAGTCGGCCGCGGGGATGGACGAGAGCGCCAGCTAGCCCGCTCGGTTTATTGAACACACTTCGATCTGGTGGGGAGGGGTTGGTTGGAGGGCAGCAAAGGATTTAACTTTTGACTGACTCCCGTAGCCCAAGGGCCAAGATCTCTAGCCCTGGTCCGTTTCTGATGAACGGCGTCCGGTGGGAAGGACGGGCGGGAACGGGATGGCGATCCTTTTCGGTAACATTTGTGTCTCTTTTTGGGAAAAGTCCAACAGGTCACGCAGAGGGAGAAAGCCTCTCTCTCTCTCTCTCTCTCTCTTTCTCTCTCTCTTTCTCTCTCCCTCTCTCTCTCTCTCTCCCTCTGGGCTGGCGTGAGCTCGGCTTGTCTCTCTCGACGGTGCAGCTGAACCGAACCAAACAAGACGACGACACGAACTGGTGTTTGGTTTTGTTCGCATCAAACTAGTTGTTTGCCCTGTCTCGCTTTCGTTTCTTCTGTCGTTTCGGTCCACCAGCCAGCCCGCTTGTCTGATACAGAGAGGCACAGGGGCACCAAAAAGGCGCCTGGGTTTTTTTTTTTTGACAGTGACAACCACTAGCTTGTGTGTATGTGTGTGCGCGTGTGAGTGGGCTTATTCGACAATGGCAGCCAAGGGGAGCCACGAGAGCACGTCAAGGCGAGACGCGCTGCAGGGTTGCCCCCCCCCCTCCGACGTGTGCGTGTTCACGGGCGGCCCCTCACTGGGATTTTCCCGCGCAGCCGCCGATGTCGCTAGAGCCCCGACCGAAGATGCAAAGATGTGTGTGTGTGGGTGGGTGGGTGGGTGTTTGTGTGGATGAGTGAGTCCGAGTCAAGCATCGGCGTGTCCAGGTTCAAACCCCCTCCTCTTCCTTTCTAGCTCATTATCCGGGGAACTTCCTCTGGGGAGGGGTAGAGCAAGAACAGGCAAGCCTGCCCTCTTCTCCTCTTTACAAAGAAGGGCCTGTTAGGGTTCGGCTTGGTTCAAGCTTGTTATGCGCCGCACCGTTCGGTGACACGAGGGTTGGGTCAGCCGCGAGAGCATGAACGACCGGGGAATCAGAGTTGATTGTCATTTCACGAAGTTGTCATGCGTCTCCCCTTTACCGAAAGAGGCAATTGAATGCGGGTTGGAACGCAGGACACACACACGGAGGGGTTCTACAATGTTACATGCAGCCTTGGGAGCTTCAGGTCACGACGAAGCAGCCGATGGGATGTGAGGAGACGTCGCGCGCATCACAAGCCAAAGATATATCAACACCCAGCGTCGAACGCGCCGGACGCTGATGTCAGGGCCGCAGTCACCTGAGAGGGCGCGGTGCAGCTGGCGTGGGATACTAACACAAGTGTGTCTTGTCATACATAATGTGTGCCTGTCTCTCTCTCTCACTTCACTCTCTCTCTCTCCAACGGGCGAGAGGACGATCACCACGTTGCCAGAGCTCGGCTCATTGGACGCTGGGGTACACTATATGCTATTTCCGTTGCAGGATTCACGCGCGCCGTCTGTCTGGACGTCAAGTGCGCGGTTCCCGTCGACTCCTTTTCACATGTCAAGACTCCCTCCCCCCCCCTTCACGTTCGTCTTAGACTTGTGTTACCACGTCCACTGCAGAGTCAATTGATCACGGATTGGACGCCGTCGCACCGTCCCCTGATTCACACGAGCCCCAATCATCGCTTACCGCGTTACCGTACGTACCGGCAACGCCTGCGACATCACGGCCCCCAGGGTGGTGGTCATCGTACATACCCGGTGGCCCCCCCCATGGATTGCGATCGATTCGCTTTACGTGTGCATACATCCTCCATCCATTCGGAAGGGGGACGAATGGTGGGTGGATGGATGGACGGATGGATGGACGAAGGAGCGCATTGCCGTGTCGGCCGGGATCGCGAGACGTTCATCGCACAGAGGTTGAGAACTGACGGACGACCTTCATGTCCAAGACCTGCTGCAAGAAACCAAGGCTTGCGATGAAGGATGTGCACTATAGCGCAAGAGAGTTCGTCTTCAAACGAATGCATTGCTTCGCCCTCACCACCCCCATCACCATCACCATCACCACCACACGACGAAGCTGCCGTCATGCCATCAACCTTGGCATCGCCGTACAGATACACACCACTCTTGCGCCCTTCTTCTCATCCATCCGAGCTTTCTCGGTCGTACCTCTGAGCCCGCGGGCTCCTCCCCCTTCATCTGACCCTCCCCCCATCCCGTCCTTGGGGTTCACGAACCCAAAAGGGCCTCAGCCACCGCCCCTACGGTCGTCCACACCTTCAAAGTCCGCGACTCGTACACGCCAGCCCAGCCCGGCCCAGCCCAGCTCAGTCCAGCCCCGAACCGGCAACGATCCACGAGCACACGGGTCACGTTCCACCGGGCTGGATCGGACTGGTCTAGGTACTTACTCCTCGGCCACACCCGCCCTAGGCCAGCCGCCTGGCCCTGCCGCCTTGAGACATGCGTGCAATTCCACCACTGGCCCGGAAGCCGGGCTTGGGAGAGGCTGCTGGTGCTGCTACCAGGTGCCATCAGGTATCAACGGGAGCATGTGGCTGCTAAGGCTGTGTGTCTGTGTGTATGTGTACCTATGTGTGCATGTGCCACTACCGGTAACTCTCCCAGCAGACACAAACACCCCCAATCACAGATCGTCGAGCTGCCCGTCGTTGCTTTTTCCACATTCCTCAAGCACCCCGAAGCAGCTGAACATGAGTTGATCCTCTTTTCCTCTGCCCTGCCCTGCCTGCCCTGCCTGCCTTGCCCTGTCACTTCATCTGCCTGAACCCCCCAATTCCCGGCTCATCGTCGATGAGATCTGGGCTTACCTACCGCCCATCTCACCCTCTAAGCCGGGTCCGCATGCCTCTTTGGGCGCGTCGCGGCCTCTCCAGGGATCATCGCTGTCAGCACCCTATCCTCTCCGTCCCCTCCGTCCCCCCCCTCCTCCCGCGTGGAGTGGCCGGCCTCCGTCACTATCGGTAGTACGAACGAGCCAAGCAGCAAATCGTAGCTTTTAGCCCGTCTCCTCCTCGTCGTTGCCGAAATCCTTCACATGCCTGCCCGTGGCTGCGTCGCCTCCTCCTTCGGCTTCCCTCTGTGGCTGACCGCCGCCACCCACCAGACGGATGCGACTCTGCAACTCTCTCCACGACACCACGGGATCACTGTGCTGCCTGATGCAAGTGCGAGAAGGACCAAGTAGTGTAGGTCCGAGGGTGTGCGTGTGCATGTGTGTGTGTGTGTGAGTGTGTGTGAGTGTTACGTCCCGAGGTTCTAACACCCCCCCCCCCCCTTCCTCTCGACATCTGACGCTTTCTTTCTCATCTCCGTTTGCGCTTCGGGTACCCGGGGCCTGGACGCACTAGAAGAAATAAGAAAGAAAGAAACAAGAGTTGTCCGGCGCAACTTGCGCCATGTCTCGACCCGGGGCGCCGTGGTTTGCACCGCTTACACGGTTTACAGCACTCGCATGGCAGCCAACAGCCACAGCAGAGAACCGGGGGATGCTTCTCACTCACTCATACAAGGACCGAGGCCGCTACTCTGTTTTTGTCTCGGCCGTAGCTGTTGCTGCTGGAGCATGTCGTCGTCGTCGGCAGTGACGACGCCCTCGTGAATCGTCTTCTTGTGAATCGTCTTCTTGCGACTTCACGTTCACCATCATCAGACCAAAGCCTCCCGGCCTCCCCCACCTCGTAAACGTGTGTCCCATCCACGGCTTCGCGGCCGGGGAACGACTGATGAAGCGGCCAAACATTACGGATCGTCTCGCTGTCTGAACCCCTGCGATGGCGGCCAACATGCAACATGCCGTAGGCCGTGCTGCTCGTCGCCCAGCAGCGGATATCGCGAGCTGCCGAGTGTCCCAGAAACACCAATTGAGTGTCGTCGTAATGCCTACTCACGGGCCGTCCACTCCTGTCGTCGTCCAGACGAGAGGGAACTCCGGACGACTTCGGACCGTTCATTCATGCATCACCACCACCGTCCATCACGGTTCACGAACGCGACAAAGCGTGGCCCCAAACGAGACCGTGAAAGGCCAGCATCCGCAACCTGACCGAGTCATCCGAGCCCCAAACCCCCCGCACATTGGCGTAAAAACCCTATCGCGGCATGCTTTCGGTGCCATTACGTTTCGTCCCCTCCATCCTCGACACTGCAGGGACTTGCTTTAGGCGTGTGGCACCCTTCGGCGAACACGACCTTTTTTGACTTTGGGGACCATGACTTTGGGGACCATGACTTTGTTGCTATGGACAAACAGTGCATCCTTCGGTTTCCTTCTAGCTGCCTGTTCCCCTCTCCCGTTCCCTCTCTCCTCTCCCCCCCTTGGCTCGAGGTCCCGGCTATCCCTGACGTACGAGGCCACGTCTCTGCCCCCAGATGAGTGAGACCATCGCGGACTCCGTTCCCATCAGAACTCCCATGTCCCCCTCTCACACGGCCCCTCGCCCACGACGGTGTGCTCCGGCGCCGCGTTCCCTGCGAACGGCACCTGCACCAGCACCGTCGGCTCGTCGCCGGGGAACTCGGTGAAGTGCCCGGCGTGCACGCTCACGTTCTTCAGGTCGGCCGCGATGACGACCGACGACGACACCGTCCCGGGCTGGACGTACGCCACGGCCTGGCCCGGCGGCCTCGACGCGTCCGGCGACGGCGTGGCCTGCGACGCGTTCCTCGGCGCCGGCGACGTGATGCGGATGAGGCCGTTCACGATGACGGTGAGCCTGCTCGGCGTCAGCCTCGGCAACCCGCACGGTTCGAGACAACCACTTACTGCACGGCCGGTGCCCAGGCTTCCCCCACCGTCGTCCGGGGCTGGATGATGGACCACTCGGCGCGCGTCAGGTCGCCCCCGACGGCGTAGTTGAGCGCCGCGCGCGCCTCGACCGGCACCGAGGTGAGCTGCCAGCATTCGATGACCGAGTAGCCGTCGCGGCTCGACAGCGCCGTGATGTTGAGCGCCGTGAACGCCCTCGCCTGCGCGACGGCCAGGCCCAGTAGCCCGATCGCCGATGGGCGCATGGTTTTCTGTAGGGGGGGGGGGCGTTGCTGCGCGGGTCGTGGCCACGGGTTCTTTGCCTGGGTTTCCCGTGATGCTTTCGTGTAGAGGTAGTCGCAGTAGCAGTAGTAGCAGCAGCAGCAGCAGCAGTCGTCAGAAACAGGGCCAGCGGCGCGGGGATGAGGAAGAATATGAGCCTCTTTGGCGGGTGGCCGTGGTGTTTTCCGGACGTCCGGATGGCCCTGCAGACGCCTCGGTCGATCTCTCGTGACGTGGCCAAACGAACCCGCAAGCCTACCGTAGCCCTACCGTCGTGCAGCTACACTACTTGAATTGCAGATGGTTGCTTTTTAACAACATGCCTAATGTCTTGGCCTGAAGCCTGCGTCGCGCATACAGTTCAGCCGCTCCTCGCAAAAGCCATGCAGTCGATCCTTGAAGATCCTTCTCGAGCGCTTTCTTCTGCATCTGTTTCCCGTATGCCGGATCAAACTTGGAAAAATGCTCGTGAGAACCCTATTAATGGGTGGTGTTCCGAACGGAAAGTGATTAGACTTGACGCCGCAGAAGACACGGGGGGGGCGGTGACGACGTGATTCGATTGTGTATTATCTCGATTTCCCATGGTAAAAACAAGGCGTTCAAAAGAAAGCCCTGCTATCTTTGATACCGGAACCACCTCCGTTGGCCGACACGTGCTCCGTACCCCCAGCATCACCACTGCGTCTCCATCCACCGGACCATCCTCTCAACAAGCCCGCTACCGACGACGTCCCACCCGTCGCCGACGGCGCCGCTCCTCCGGCCCGTCCTCTCCGTCTCGAACACCAGGCCCTGGCGGCCGGGCCCTTCGTCGTCGTACTTGTCCTCGAAGAAGCCCAGCAGCTTGTACGTCGGGTTCCTCTCCGGGTCCGGGTCCGACGCCCGCAAGCGGCGCACCCACTCGCGCTGCGAGACGATCTGGAGCTCGAGGCCGGCGCCGCGGAGGGCGCGCAGGAGTTAAGAGGTCCAGTGGAAGAGGCGTGGGTTCTGTACCTGGTAGACGAGGTCCAGGTCCGCGTCGTCGGGCGTGGACGGGGGCGCCCCGCAGGATGTGCACCGGGGGCCGGCGAGGCCGGCGAGCTCGAGGACGGCGAGGGCCATCTTGTCAGCGGGCATCCACGAGGGAGTCTGCGGTCTTTTTTTTTTGTCAGTCAGGAGGGATCCAGAGGGTAGATGGGGGCAGAGTATCAGACTCGGGCTCACCTCGTCCAGGACGGGTAGCGCCTTGATCACCTTGGCGCTGCGGATCATCAACGGGATCTCCTCCATCTGGTTCTAGATGCCGCCGACCGAGTCGCGCCACGATCTGTCCCAGCCTTAGCACCCTGGCCGTCATGCCCGTCTTGGTGGCGGCGGCCGCCTTGACGATGTGCTCCGTGACGACCTTGGACCGCGCGTAGCCCATGTTCTGCGCGGGGCGGACCGTCTCGGTGCCGAGGCAGAAGTCGAGGAGGTTGCGGACGCCACGGATGTGCTGGGCCTCGAAGCTGGCGGCGCCGAGGACGAGGCCCTTGGATGTGAGAGAGGCAGTCACGCGGGACTTTGTCTCCTCGGGGAACGAGGCACGGACGAGGCAGTAGACGGTCTTGACATAGGGTTGGCGGATGACCTAGTCAAGGAGATGTACACCAAGAGAACCAGTCGCGCCAGTCAGCATAACAGCCTCGCCCTCTGGTGTGACGGTGCCGGGGCATCTCTCCGTGAATTCCGAGTACTTGGCAATGAGCCTCGTCATCACGTCGATTTCATCCTCAGCGTCCACCGACTCCCCGGTGCGAAGAGAGTAGGCGTGCTTGGACAGGGACAGGACATTGTGGTACTCGAAGACGGCGTTCTGCCCGAGGGTATTGCCGCCGAGGTCGAGACCGCGCTGGATACGGCCCCAGGCGGTGCTGGCCTGGAGGCTGTCGACGTTGGCCTCGAAGAAATCGGTATCCTTCTCGACCCTAGAGAAACCGAGCGTCGAGCGAAAGAGGTCAAGCAGGTGGTCTTCCAGCTGCGGAAGATCGAGCGCCAGCACGCCGCCGCCGGCGACATTGTCCTTGGGCGCTTCAAAGCGTCTGTAGACGGCCTCGATGAGGTCGCCAAACTGCTTGTAGAAGGCGGCGCGGAACGAGGTCATGAGCTGACCCATCTCTGTGCTGCGTGGGAAGTCAACGGGTGAAGAAAACAACTTGTGGACGTCATAGACATCCGGGGGTCTTTTTACGCTCCGTAATGGCCGACGAGGTAGACCCCCGCCTCAACAAGGCGGTTGCCCAGGTCCTCCGGGCAACTGCTTCCGCCGTACAGCACAAGCTTGAGTCTCTGCAGCGCCGCGATACCCCCCTCGGTCTCGGCGAGCAGCTTCAGCGCGTACGGCACACAGTGCAGGCTTCCCGGTTCCGTCGCGGCCATGGCCTTGGCCGGAGTGGTGCCGGACAGGGGCTGGTTGGCGTTGTAGATGGCGATTCTCTTGCCGGCGTAGATGGCGCGGAACAAGGTCGCGATGCCGTGGTTGTGGAAGAGGGGCAGGGTCAGAAAGGCCCGGTAGGGGATGCCGCTGGAGTAGTTTGAGATGCAGGCGGCGTGCGTCTGGAAGATGGGCTTGGGCAGCCCCGTCGAGCCCGGCGAGTGCACGATAAACGAGATGCGCCGCACGGCGTCGGGGTGGGAGAAGACGGGGAACCGGTCGCCAGAGGGTGCGGGGAGGTCGTACTCGGCCTTGTCGAGGATGGCGTAGGTGGAAACGGCGGACAGCGCGTTGATCCGCGCCGCCATGTCGCTGTACCGGTCTGCGATGACGATTCTGTTGCAGCCGGTCTTGTGGAGGAGGTTGACGTAGGCCTCCTGCGAGAGACGCGTTGAGAGGTAAAGCATCGCGAAGCCCATTCTCGAGAGGGCGAGCATGGAGACTACGTAGTTGACGCCCGAGTTCGCCAAGACGGCCACGACTTCTGCTTGGCTTGAGGCGGGGTTCTGGTCATCGTCAGCCACAAAGTAAATCTCTCACACGAGATGGATATCGGGTGTGTGCGAGTCCGTGAGCGAGTACATTACCCCTGGAAGAAGACCGGCCTGCGCGTATCTTCGCGCCGCCTCATCGGCGAAGCGATCGAGGTCTCTGGCAGTGTAGTTGACATAATCGTCTTTGCCGCGCGCCGTCGCCGGGTAGGCCAGGACGTCGACATCGGGCGCCTCTACTGCGCGCCTCAAGAGCACATCAGTGACTGTTTTGAGTTCGATCGGCTTGACCGTCTCAGGAACCTCGACCGGCGGCTTCTCAGACGTCAGAATGGACCTCGCAGACAGAGTGAGAAAAGAGCTGGGATCAGAGAAAGTGCGCTTTCAGGTAAACGATTGCACCGGAAGTCTAAGGATCTGGTTAACTCATTGAAAGCGTGTCTTGGCTCGAAGGCAACTAACAGGCTGAACAGACCGATATGCCTAATCATCCATCGAGTCTAACAAACCCACCATGCCTGAACAAGTGAAGTCCTCCCACGGTTCCGTCCATCCGCCTGTGCCTCTTACACCTTCTTCAACCCTGGTATCTCCCTATCATAGTATCAATATCCAGCGTAAGCCGTGTGTGTAAACTAGCAAGCCGGGCAACCAACGGATAAGCGCACCAAGGCGAACGGGGAACACGGAAAAGCAACACACCCCCATATCACGGCCCAGACGCACGGGCTGTGTCCGGTGAGCTGCGCCGAAGCAAAGTCCGCATATCCTCTTCATCGGCAAGAAGAATGCATGTAGATGTACATACTTCCGACTGAGACGGGGTTTGCGGGGAATCAGGGGGAGTAGATGGGAACACGCGGGGGCATTTGATGATAGCAATCATAGGACTCGATGCGGAGGGGTAATGATAAACTGCTTATTATGGGACAGCTCCAGGAGAGAAGCGAGCAACAGGCTAGACGTGAATCCCACGATAATTGGACCTTTAGTTATGACCGGCCAGTGCCATCATGGCCAACCACTTTTGCGACGAAGGAAGGAAGGACTTCCTTCTTGACGCCTCTGGAAATCTTGTCCAAAGACAAAAAAGACGGAACTTCGGGCCTCCATATACTCCGTCTTCGCGGCCTTCATGTCCTCGACCGGGCGGCGTGGACGAAAGTGGCAGTCGGAGTCTGCCTGGGGCAAGATCCCTGATCCAGGTCCAGAGGGTGTCTTGGGTATTCTTGAAGCTCTCGAGGTGGCCACTGCGAGAGTAAAAGGTTGAAGTATCGGGTCTTGAGTTGTTGACGTGGAAAAGGCAAATTATGAATGACAACATGATGCCGTTAGAAATGAGTGAAATCACATACAATTCGAAAATGCAGCAAAACGTCTAGAGGTTGAAGAGTTCAAACAAAGAAAAACCAGATAGAGCCTATCGGCGACATGTCAGAACGATACACCTACAAACGACTATAACGACGCGTCTGACTTTTGCCCAGATGCATGAGAAACCTGCAGATCTCGGCCGTTTTCTTCATACCAATCGTCAAAATCGTAGAGAGCCATCATTGAGCAACGCCTCGAGCCCACCAAAGCCCGAAGTAACGTAAATAAAGGTCAGCACAGCCATCTGGATAGACGGATGCGTCAGTACTACTCACCATGGAACCGAACTGGCCCCAACTCGTCATGTCCGCCAACGAGCTGCTGGGGCTCGCGTCGAAGCCGACAAAGCTCTCGGCACGGCCCACGCCAGAGAAGTCGAGGCTCGTCAGGTGGCGGTCCTCGACTTGTCCTTGCATTCCCACATTTTGAGTCTTCATGTCGACGCAGAAGTGCGGCCCGCCGTTCTGGCGGGAACCGTCTGCGTGCTGGGGCCTCTCTGGGTCTGCCTTAGCGCCTCGGTCCGGAGTTCTTCTAGGACGAGGCGGTACCTCGCCGCCAGGGTCGACTCGTTGTCGGCGAGGGTTGCCAGCTGGGTTTGGCAGCTCGACGCCGCGTTGAAGTAGGCCCGCCACGTCTCCGCCGGTGCTGCCCGTTGCTGGATGGTGTATACGTAAAGGACGACGACCGACTGAGAAGGCGAAGTAGGAAGTGAACTGGATTCGCGAGTCAGGGTCTGCAGGGCCCCCTACCGGCGGTAGCCAGGAAAGATTGCTTACCCAGAAGGTGCGGAAGAGCTGTCCCGCTTGAAAGAGGTCGTTGAAGGTCTCGACGACGTGCATCGCCACGTCCAAGCAAGCCCGTACGTTGCCGTTGAAAGATTGGAACGAGCAGGGAGGTGTTGACGCCGTCGTCCAGGAACTGTGACATGTCGGCTCTCCAGCGTTTTAGGCTCGGCGAATACTCGGCTGCCCGAGCACACTGGTGGACGAAGGGCCGACGTAGTGGCCGTGGAGGTCGGTCTGGATGGGTTCGGGAGACGCCTGAGAAGGTTCCGCGGTGCCGGGCCGGACGCCGCCGATGGTTAGACTGGTGCCGCTCATGTTGACCTCCTCTTGACGGCCGGTATCGACGTGGCCTGAGACGCCAACGGCGATGGAATCCATAAGCGAGTCATCGACAGCAGCAGCACAGCAGCAGCAGCATTGGGGTCCGGCACCGAGACGTCGAGGCCGTCGAGGTCCCATCGCGTCACGTCCTGCCGAGTAGCCGAGGGCGGCTGCCGGCCGCGTGCATAAGAGGCGTTGTACGTGCAGTGGGAGTCGGTGCGGAGGCACAGCTCGCAGGGCTGGATGCCTGTGCAGCGGATCTTGCGCTTCTTGCGCTTCTTGCACCTGTCGCAGGCGCGGGTGACGCGGATGCGCTCCTTGTCGCGGTGCTTGCGGCGTCTCCGGAGTCGGCATTGTCAGTGTCCAGGCGCATTTGCCGTGTTCTGGGCCGGACAGAAAGGGAAAACGATGGCGGGACCCTACTCCGTAGTACAGCGGCAGCGATTCGGCGGCCAGACTGTCCTGAACCTGCTGCTGGACACACGGAAACATGGTCCAAGGGGAAAGAGGAGTCCGGACGGGGAGCGTGGACGACGGAAATAGTCTCCCCATTCTTGATTCTTTCGAGACTGGGGAGAATAATGCGGGGTGCCCCGTCGAACCTCGATTCCTGAAGCACCCTGATTTGGCTTCATCATTCTTGTGGAGGATGGGCGGTATCCTGCGCGGGGGAATGCCTCGATGCCGAGTGCGATGACCTAAATCATGTCGAATGGGCAGAGCCGGGGCTGCTCTTGTTGGGGGTTGTAATGTCGATATCCCACGCGGCCTCTGGGGTTCGTCATGAGGACAAGAGATGGACAGGGCCGAACACGGGAGCACAGAAACCAGACTGCATTGGGGCATTTTGATGAATGATGGCAGCCGACATGCCAAGTTGCGAGGGCACATTGATGTGGCACAACGTCTGTACATGGCCTGCAGGGTGATGATAATACTTACTGTGTAAGTTGCGGCATCCCATCTTGTAAATCCAGTTACACGCCATAATAGTTTCGTTCCATGGAATTAGGGATCCTGCAAACCCCCTCAAGCCGCCACGCAGCTCGAGATGAGACGCGTTTGTTGTGCATCCCCTTCCAGTAGCACCAGAAAGCAGGCATCCGCTACGCCGAGGCGAAGGGCAGTAGAACATCAGAGCAACTCTATTGCGTGACACATGTGTGATTTCAAGGCAGAACGGGGATTGTTGCTTTTCTGGAATGTTACTCAACCTGTGTTTGACTTGACTTACATAGCCAGGACTAGAAGATTGCGACGGCATTCGGCGGGCTTGCAACGCCGCCTGGAACCTAATCACAAAAAGTGTCAGCAATGTCACCGTGTAGTTCTCAAGAAGAGAGACCCCCTCCCTCTCTCTCACCTTGAGCGGCACGCTGCTCACGAAGAACGTCCACCTGCCCAGCTCCTGACACTTTGCACTCAGGGCCTCGAGGTCGAACATCTCGCCGATGGGCAGTCCCCAGCCTCCCAGAAGCCACTGGTGCAGCAGCCCGCCCCCCTGCATCTCGTCCTCCCAGGACTCCCCCTCCCACGCGCCGCCGACGGCCGTGTGCGGGCCGGCGATGGGCGCCCTCTCGAAGGACGGCGCGTCTCCCGCCACGGCCGCGAACCCCGTCTCCCAGATCCACCGGAGCACGCCCTCGGTCGGCTCCACGCCGATGAAGTCCGGGCTCGCCCGCGCCGCGACGGCCCTCTGCGCGGCGTCGTCCTTGGCGTTGTAGCCCGCCGTGAAGCCGGAGCGGACGAGCAGGATGTCGCCCGGCCGGAAGACGACGCCCTGCTCGGCCGCGGTCTGCTGGAGGTGCCTCAGCGAGATGTCGCTGCTGGCGAAGGCGTCGAGGGGGATCGAGTTGCGGGCGCAGAAACTGGCGTAGTCGAGGAGGACGCCTCGCCCGACGATGCCGCCTCTCTCAACCCAGGCTGCGGCGACGCCGGGGCGGGTCAGAAACGGAGACACGGAGCAGGCGGTAGTATTGCGCCGAACTCACCGTCGATGCCAATCTTGTCCGGGTTTTGCAGGTCGTCTTGGGTCGTGTTGTTGTAGTACCGCTTAGCTTTCTGGTACCCTTGGCCCGTGTCAGCCAAATACACACACCGCTTCAATGCTGCCGCTGGGAGAGTCGTCACGCTACCGTAGTGTCTGAACCCGTCCCATTGGCTGCTGCATTGCGTGTTGAAGTGCAGAATGTCATCGTTGACCGTCCTATGCTCGCCGCTTGGGTGTGTTCGATTGACGAGCTTCGACTCGAACGGCGCCCGTCCGAAGCTCGGCTGAGACGGGTTGTTCAGCGACCAGTCCAGCGACACGCGGTCACCAGTGCGTATTTCTGACGCCGCCGCCGCCGCCACGACAGCGGGGGTGAGAAGGTTTAGTGCCCCGAGTCGGTCGTCTTCGCCATAGAGGCCCCATGCGTTCCCGGGAGGCCCATGGGGGTCCAAGGGGAGTGATGAGAACGGCGGCCTGGGGGGGTTATTGGAAGACGACATACTAGTAACGGGGAAGGAGGGTTTTCCAGAGGGGGGCTAAGTGATGAGTTGGTTGTGACGAGGACGTGCAGTATGAAGGGGGATGAAGGGATGTGAGGGTTTAGCAGGGCAATGGGGTGAGACCGCACGCTCAACGCTTCCCCTGTCGGCACGACACACGCCGGCTTCGGTTGCTAAAAGACCGCTTCAACGCCCTATCTGAACCCGCAGAAACGTGGAGCAAGACGTTTTGGTGGGCGATGGCATGCAACGTCGTGTCCCTGGTGTCACAACATACTGAGCAGCAGTCAGTCAGATAACGGGGGAGATACCGCGAAAACTCGGACTGCTAGGGCCCAACTTGGTTTTGTTTCTTCTTGTTCGTGCTAAAGTTGCCCTCAAGAGCCATGTAAGTCATGTAACCATGTGCGACATGCCTGTGGAAGATGACTGATGTTACTCTTGCGCCCAACCACCTGGCCAGTCTATGTACCACGAAACCTACGACGTCCCGGGCCGAGCCTGGTTAGTGAGGAACGCCGCGCTTGCTCAGGCCTTGATAATCTCGGCTCAGTGAGCATCGCCTTGCCTTGAATCACCTCAACCTCTGCCGGCCTCCAACGCGCTACACGCCAGTCTATTAACGCTCACCTATACGGTTTTGAATTTGAACTGTACCTCCGCAGCTTCATTCGACCTCCGTCATGGTTCAGTATCCGGTTGGACGCGCCAGGGACGAGGTGCGGACGGATCCCTCAGTGAGCCTGGTTTCTGGCGACCCTCTTCATTCCCCCGAAACCTGAATGTTTGTTTGCCTGGTGCTTGGTCACTGGAGGCCACGCTGATCTCGACCTACGTATTATACATTAGAAATGGCGCCGAGTGCGCTCTGACGATGCGTTTATACGAGTATGTACGAGACTGCGGTTGCTTATTCTTGATCTCGTCTCACTTCTTACCTGCCAAAACCAACTACACCGTATTCCTGCTCTCACTCTCGGCGGTCTTTGACGACGAAATGGTCACTTGGTTCTTGATCGTGCGTGATTCGTGGTCGCATACCTGGCGGTCTTTCAATGGACATGTAATCAGTGAAAATTGGGACCAGATCATTCCAGTCACCCAGGATGAGCTTGCGTATTTGCTCCAAGCTGCGTATTCGGGGCTTGCATTTAAGTATATTTACCTACTAAGCAAACGACGACATGCTCTACCGCAAATCCTTGGAAGCTCATGTAATAGGCAGAAAATCTACATTGGCAAGCTCGCAGACCTCTATAGCCAGCGAAAGATCATTACAGTCCCTCCACTCCAAGCGCCGAATTGCATTACACAATCGAAACGGCATGTCGGACGCCTTTATAAACTCGTGGGACTCGTGGCACTAAACTATGGACAGACCTAGAGGGACGCCTCGATCTTGTCGATATCGGCCAAGAACAGCGAGTCCAGCGCCTTCCACGTGCCGTCGGGCAGGCGTCCCTTGAGCGGCAGCCGACCGCCCTCGAGGGCGCCGAAGCCCGCCTTCCGGATGATGCCCTCGCGGATGCCGAGGACGCCCGTCTTGCCGATGAACTCCTCGGCGCGGCTGACGGCGTACTGCAGGCGCTGGACCTCGTCGAGGGTGCCCTGCTCGACGGGGCGCTTCTCGGCCAGGTCGAAGAGGCGCGAGACGGTCTTGGGGTAGAAGGCGGCGAGGGCGTCGATGACGCCGGCGGCGCCGAAGAGCACGATGGGCCCGAGCTGCTGGCCGAAGCCGCTGTAGACGCGGAACTTGGCGTGGTCGATGCGCGGGTCCGAGGATACCTGGACGTGGAGGGAGACGTTCCCGTGGGACCTGGATCGCGTTAGTAACCGTGGAAGGGGGAGCCCTTGCTCTGGGAGCACAAGTCTAGAAATCTCAAATCCGACGTCTTACATCTTGCAACCGACGATATTGGGGTGCTGGGCGAGGTCCTTGTACGTGTCTGCTTCCACGAGAACATTGTTCGTGACGCCGGGGTAGTTGTATCTGGTTTCCGTCAGCCGCCAAACGATTGCTTCCCCGAATCTCAGCAATTCCCCCTTTTTTTTTTTTTTTCTCTTTCCTTCTCTTTTTTTTCTTTTTTTTCTTTACTCACACAAGCACGGGAAGCGGGCTCTTATCGGCGACGACGGTGTACCATTCCTTGATGTTCTCCTGGCTGGCCGCGGCGCCGAAGTACCCGGGCACGAGAACCAGACCCCACTGGGCGCCGGCCTTTGCGTAATCCTCGAGCCACTCGAGCGTCTCGTCGATGCCGTTCGTCAGCACGCCGGCCATGATGGGGTAGTCGGGGAAGCCGGCCTCCTCGAGGCCCTTCTTGACGCCCGCGACGAGGTCATGACGCTCGGCCCTGTTCAGGTGGATGGCCTCGCCGGTCGAGCCGAGGAGGACCAGGCCGCGGATGCCGTTCTTGGCGAGGTACACGCTGTGCTTGATCTGCGTGTCGATGTCGAGCTTGGGCTGGAGGGACCCCGCCGAGGCAGAGGCGGGGTGGAAGAAGGTCGGGACCGGGACGAAGACGCCCGTGGGCGGTACTCTAACGTCTGCCATTGCGAGTTGTGTGGTGCGCGGGTGATGAGACGGGAAGATGAGAAGACTAATAGAAAAAAACAAAAAGAGAGTTTCTCGTTCGAAGAGGGGTTTTGGACGAGATTGGCGCGCTGGGTATCACTGTTCTCTCCGTGTTCTCTCCGTGTTCTCTCCCTGGTGCGCCCCCCTTTTTTGTTTAATACCCCTCAACCCTTTCTACTTTCGCGATGGAAGACGTGTCAGACCCGGTCTCGGTGTCTCCCTCGGCAAATGACGCGAGGGACTGGCTCGGTGCATCATCGATGGCGCCCTCTCGGGGTGTGATAACGCGGGGTCGGTGGAGTCGCAGAGCAACGCGCGGGGAACATGCCGGCGCTATCCCCGAACATCGGGCATCAGCGGAAAAGACGGGTTACATGATTGCTATTCCGTGCAACGGGAACCCTTTACCGTTGCGGCCCCCTCATTGTGGGAAGCGGAAATACCTGCAGGAGAGGGTGAAACTAGAGTGTGGCGACGGCTTCATTCGGGGGATATAAGAGCCCTGTGCAGTGTTTTTTTCATGTAGAGAACCGGTGGGATATGATAGATGAGCGTCTCAAGCGGATAACAATAACGGTGTTTTATTTTGACTTTTCCTGGACGCTTTGGAATCCATCTCTAGATTCACCAGAACGCAGCACACCGCGACGTTTACGGTCCACATCACATCATGGCCCTGGCTACATCTTTCAAGCTCCTCTCGGGATACGAGATTCCCGCAGTTGGTCTGGGTACTTGGGTGAGCAATGGGAGGTCAATGGGGGGGAGGTGATGCACGCCTAATAATTCTTTCACGTTCGTGTAGCAATCCAAGCCCAACGAGGTCAAGAACGCCGTCGAGCATGCTCTGAGGTCGGGGTACCGCCACATTGACGCCGCGGCCATCTATGACAATGAGAAGGAGGTCGGCGAGGGCGTCAAGGCATCTGGCGTCCCGAGAAAGGACATTTTTGTAGGGCACCGATATTGAAGCTCGGTATGGACCCCAAGACGAGCTGACTCTCGCTCTCAGATCACCGGCAAGCTTTGGAACACCCACCACAAGCCCGAGGACGTCGAGATCGCGTTGGATATCACTCTCAAGGACCTGCAGACGGACTACGTCGACCTATACCTGGTGAGACTTTCGCCTCCGCCCCCGCGTACCCACCACCACCACCACCACCACCACCTCTGCTCGGTCCAGCTAACGCAAGAATGCCGGGAACCAGATCCACTGGCCCGTGTCGTTCAAAAAGAAGGACGATACCACCCGCTTCCCCCTTCACCCCGAGACGGAGGCCGTCGACGTCATTGACGTCCCCATCGCCGAGACGTGGAAGGCCATGGAGGCGCTCGTCAAGAAGGGCAAGATTCGCACCATCGGCGTCTCCAACTTCACCCGCGAGAAGATCGAGGACCTGTGGAAGACGGCCGAGATCAGGCCGGCGGTGAACCAGATCGAGGCCCACCCGTACCTGCAGCAGCCCGACCTGTTGGCCTGGTGCAAGGAGCAGGTGAGCGCTCTCCCTCTCAGAGATGGCGGATGTGGAGAGAGAGAGAGAGGAAACGCCCGGGGCTGCATTCCCCCGCTTTGCTAACGTGTCAATACAGGGCATCGTTGTCGAGGCGTACAGCCCCCTTGCTAACAACATTTACAACCTTCCTCGGTAAGCCCTCCCGGTCCGGAATCCAGACGGCATCTGCCATCTTTCAGTCACGTAAATGTTAACCGTGCGTCAGTGCCGTTGACGACCCCACGATCGCCGAGCTCGCAAAGTCTCTGGGCAAGGAGCCGGCCCAGGTTCTCATCAGCTGGTCCATTCAGAGGGGCACCGTCGTGCTCCCCAAGTCCGTGACCCCTTCTAGAATCGACAAGAACTTTGAGGGTACGAGTCCGTCCATGGCCGAGGGCAGTTCCACGAAGCGCACAAGACACTGACGCGTTGCAGTATTCGAGCTCCCCGAGGATGTCTTGGAGAAGATCAACGCTCTGAACAGGAACCACCGCTACAACTTCCCGGCCCGTCTCGGCGTGGACATCTTTGGCGAGTCGGACCCGGAGACGCTGAAGAAGGCGAAAGAGGCGTGGGTCGCAGAGCAGAAGAAGATCAGGGCGGGCCAGGCATAGACTCGGGAGTTACTACAAAGTACAATGCAGACATGCACATACACAGGCGGCCTTTGATAGAACCGGGAATAGACATGGGACTTGGTGGGCAACCGACGAGACCAGCGAAAGCCACATAGCCGACGGCTATCGTCGGGCTCCTTTTTCCGTGCATGCTTTTCCTCGCCGGGCGGAAAACCACGCACCAAGACCCCTCCCCCCGCATCGTCACACCTGCATTCAGTACTGTTCCTAAGATAAGCTCGGGTGAGGGCTTACCGAACCCCGCATCGTCTCATCCCATCTTCTCCACGTCCGTTCTCAAGGCGGGTTAAGGCCACCATGCACCCTGCGCGTTCTCCGAAGGGGAGCTGTTGCGGAGTCGGAACGGGAGGGGGAAGACGGCTCGCCGAAGTCCCGGGCTTTATGCTGACTTTCCCGTCATTCACCTGCGTCGGGCTCCGCTTTGTTATGGTTATATCAGCTCACGATTGCTTCATAGCATTTCTGCTTCAAGAATTGCCCCTTCACACGCTTGAGTTCTGCTGCCGCCGCCGCCGCCTGCGCCCTTTTTCACATCAGTTGAAAAAAAAGAAGGAAAAAAAAAAAAGGAAAAGAAAAAAACCAAAAGTTGATAACGTTACCGGGACATAACCTCCCCCACCATGGGTAAAATCGCACAGATGGAATACTTTCGGGTACCACCCAGGTGGTTGTTCGTCAAGATCACCGACGATGAAGGAAACGTTGGCTGGGGCGAGGCTTCTCTGGAGGGCCACACCCAGGCTGTCGAGGGATGTCTGGACGCGTGGTTTGAGAGATACCTGGGCATGGAGGCCGAGTGTGTTGACGCCCGCTCTTATTCTTCTTCGTCTAGGCCGGGGAGTGTAATAAATCTTGATGCTGACTCGAACCCAGTGATATCGAGCACATCTGGCAGATGTCGTGGCGGACAACCTTTTACCGGGGCGGTCCCGTCTTCATGAGCGCGCTGGCAGGTATCGACATTGCTCTGTGGGATCTGAAAGGCGAGTACGGACACGCATCGCACAACGCAGGCCGGGGCTGACGACGAGAAGCGAGAAAGCTCCGTCTTCCCATCTGGCAGCTGCTGGGCGGAAAGGTCAGAGACAAGCTCAAGGTGTACGCATGGATTGGCGGCGACAGGCCGAACGATGTTGAGAAGCAAGCGTGCGTGTCTAGGTCTCAGTCCACCCCCCCCATCGGTTGCATCTCACTCACCGCATCTCCTCCCCTCTCTAGACTCGCTCGGAAAGAGCAGGGATTCAACTGCGTCAAGATGAACGGCACAGAGGACCTCGGCTGGCTCGACTCGCCCGCCGCCCTCGACGCCGCCGTCGAGCGCGTCAAGGCCGTCAAGGCCCTCGGCATGGACGCCGGCGTCGACTTCCACGGCCGCGTCCACAAGCCCATGGCCAAGCAGCTCGCCAGGGCGCTCGAGCCCCATCGCCCGCTCTTCATCGAGGAGCCCCTCCTGTCCGAACACCTGGCCGGCATCCAGGAGGTCAGCCGGCTGACGTCGATCCCCATCGCCCTCGGCGAGCGCCTCCACAGCCGCTGGGACGTGAAGCCGTTCCTGGAGGCCGGCTGCGTGGACATACTGCAGCCCGACATCTCGCACGTCGGCGGCATCTCCGAGATGCGCCGCATCGCCGCCATGGCCGAGGCCTACGACGTCGCCCTGGCGCCGCACTGTCCGCTGGGCCCCATTGCCCTGGCCGCGAACGCGCAGGTCGACTTTGCGTCGCCGAATTTCGTGATTCAGGAGATGAGCCTGGGGATCCACTACAACAGCACCGGCCAGGACCTGACGAGCTACACTCACAACCCCGAGGTGTGGAAGGTGACGGACGGGTACATCGATCTGCTCACTGGACCCGGGCTGGGTATCGAGATCGACGAGGCCCAGGTGCGCGAGCTGTCTAAGGATGCGAAGGCTTGGGTGAGCCCTGGGTTCATTGGGCCAGGCGGTGAGATTAGAGAGTGGTAAAGCATTGAGTAAAAAAATAGTTGCCCCGTTCTTCATTGTCTTGATGGATATCCATGCTTTGGCTTACTGATTCGATATCTGTTGGATTTAAGCAAGTGTGGAAAACACCATATGCTAATAATAGACCAACAAGGCGTCACAGAAACTATTCGGTCTCAGGGAGCCTTTTGTAACCCTACATGTCGCCGCATATGATTCACTTCACTAAGGAGGAACTTGTATGGGAGTGTTACGAAGGGGTAACCTGTGAGTGTCAGGGCAAGAACCCAGGCACTTTCGTTAAATCACGGGTTGGATACACCATAGCCAAGAACATTACCCCCACTCGCCTATCAGGATCCTGGACGTGCATTATACAGGAATTTTCTCAACAACTTACATATGCCAAAGACAGACTACCAGCACTTTCAGGCATCGCGGGAATATTTGAAAGGCATGGAGTGATGGGCAAATGCTTAGCTGGACACTGGGAGCGAGACCTCCCTTTCTCCTTGCTTTGGGTCTCCAAGCGTAGCATTGGGCGGCGAGAGAACCCCGCGGACATATCTCTCTCATGCTCGAAGCCATCAACTCCATCTTGGTCATGGGCATCCCTCCAGGCCATAGATACCTCCTGGCAAAGATGGACTCCAGGGCTTGAAAGCGAAGTGACAATTTTGGAAGCATCCTGCAGTCCTGCTACTCCCGACCTTCGAGGACAGGTATCCGGAGGGCACATTACTTTTCGTGGACACGTGTTCGAGATTAGGCTGGCTGGAGGTTCGAAGCTTGAGCATTTCTCCCCCTGCACCGCAGACCAAGGCAGTGACTCAGATGCTGCCAGATGTTATTTCCAGGGAGACACAAACATCATCCAACAGCCTGGCGCAGATGACGTCTTTTTGTTCGTAGTGCTTGCCTCAAAATTGGACTCGGAATCAAGGGACCGGAGTTTTCAATGGGTCTTCTTGTTTGCTTCTGAGCGTCCGGTATGTTCAGAGACTAAGAAACTGGAGGACAGGACGGGTTGTGACTACGTAGCTGTGGGAATCGGGGCAGGGGCGTTGAATCCAGCAGTATATTTTGCAACTTTTAGTGTTAAGGTTATTGGGATTATTTACTTATATTACTCCTTTGTGGTTCTTGATGGTATAAGAAGGCATTCTGGGACGAGTACGTTGTGTGTGTGTGCGTCTGTGTGTGTGTGCTTGATATAGATGAGATGGAAGGAGGGAAGAAGAGACCAAGCCCAGCTTCAGCCGCCCTTTGTATGCCTGGCCACGGCCAGCAAGATTTCTAGCGAGTGAAGCTATCTCCGGTACTGAGATCAGTATACAGTATATCTCAAGGTGCAAGGTTTCTAACGACCTCAGTGGTGGCAGAGTTCAGAGTCATTGTGTAGCTTGTAACAAAGCCATTACAACCTTAGTAATAGGTTTAATAATACTATTATTACAACAAAGCTTTTACAGCCTTATAGAAGGTTTAGCAATACTATTATCACTCTTTAGCGTGGCTTATCTACAAACCGGCGCAACCCTATTCAACAGCATTACGTCAAGCCGCAGCCCAGCAGCGACTCTGTTGCCGCCAACGTTCCGGCGCCTAAAGGTCGTTTGCGTATGCATCCAGGCCATGGTTAAAGCGAAGTTAGATTTAGCAGTTGCTCTGCGTTATTGGGAATTCTATATTGTAGTAAGATATTGAGATCTGGCAGAGGCAGAGGTGCCCTGTATTAGGTTCTATGTAGCGTGATATTACATATGTGTCAGGCAAACTGCACCAGACCACTTATGGGGGTTTAGAGCGACTATATCCATTAATCAACAACCCCTCGTTTGATCACCATAGCCTTTTTTATCTCAAGCTCAGCCTTCAGCCATATAATTCTCTGGCCTACACAGGAGGGTGCGCAGAGGATCGTAATCCTGCGATGCCGCCGTGCCTCTATGCTAGTTCAGATCCTATCACATCGCTTCAGGAGCAGATGCTGCATCGAACGCAATACAGATGATGTTTTTTTTTATAGAAACAAACTGGTCACATGATCAAGGGTCATCAACCACTTGAGTTACGCTAGAGTCAAACGTATTAAATCTCACGTGCCTAAAAGTCCAGCATCAATCCGCCACGTTGAAATTAGCTCTAACGCCGGAGCTCTTCAAAGCTTCGCTGATACATCTTGGCCCATGTTTGCCGAACCGCCCTCTCTGCCTTCAAGGCCCAACTGCATATTAACAAAACCCCTGCGACGGAGGAAGACCCTGGGTGATGTCAGGGGCGGCAAAGCCAAGCCCTTCGGTCTAGGCATGCCAAGCCGCCAAAGAGCCGAGCAGCCGACGGTACAACTGGGCCCTGTTGGTCATGAGGATCCGGTTTGAAGCTTCCCACATGGATACGGACTGCGCAGAGGCTCCATGCAAGTGGATATTCACATATTCCGAGAAGCCAAAGCCACGCCGATACCGAAAATACGGCCTCAAAAGGGCCCGAGTGGCCACGGTCACCGGCCGAGGGGGTGGCCGTCAATACGGATCTAAGCCCCCTTTGTCGCCCGGCTCTTTTCTCGAGAGGCAACAAACACGGACTGACCGAAGACCATGTGCCATCTGAGCGCCCAGTCTTGCAGAGCCTTCTTGAAGCTTGGCGGGTCCAAGAATCCTCCCATCTCCACACAACCCCAGACCGTAAGGCTTTGCCAATGAGTCTAGTCTCACAACCGTCCACTATCGGGCCAGTCACATCCCAAAAGCGTGCCGAGTTGCCTTGGACTTCTCTCGGCACCGCAGTGTGATTCGCCAATATACAATGACGCGGCCTTCGCATATGTTCCAAAGGGTCGACGCCAGATTGCCAGGGAGACGAGGACGATGCCATATTACCAACCGGCACTCCTTTGCCGTTGATGAGGTTGCCGCGCCGCTTGTCTCCGGTTTGTGTTTTTTTTTTTTTTTAAATTCCGCTCATCAGATTTGGCCAAGTGTAACCTAGCCAGCCCTTTGTTGTTATACTACACGGCTCGCTCGACCTCGGAGGTCGCAAAAGGACCAGACGATGGCTGACGAGATCAGATCCGCGCCGCGCCAGCCAGACACAGGCCAGGCCGAGCCTAACGACCCGTTCGGGAAACAGTTTGCCCGGGAACTAGAGAAGAAGGAAGATGAAGTCGACCTCCGCGATGACACTGTCGTCGAAAACAACAAGTTTGCTTTCACGCCGACGCAACTCCACAAACTCGTCACCGCGCGTAGCTTGTCCGCACTTCGACAGTTCGGCGGCCTTTACGGTCTCGCAGCGGGATTGCGGACAGACGTCGCCGCCGGCCTTGGCGTTGACGAGACAAGCCTTGACGGCACAATATCCTTTCAAGAGGCCGTGGCTGCCGGAGAGGCCCGCCGTTCCGCCGAGATCGCGCCTCTACCCCCTTCCTCGCACCACGAGCACGGCTTCAAGCTCGACCTGGACCTCGGACACCACGAAAGGCAAGGCTTCGCCGACCGGAGGCGTGTATACGGCGAGAACAGACTGCCCAAGCGAAAGCAAAAGTCCTTCTTGAGGTTGGCGTGGATCGCCTTCAACGATAAGCTCATGTTCCTCCTTACGATCTCTGCGACGATTTCGCTAGCGCTCGGCATCTACGAGACGATAGATGCGTCCGATGACGAGCCCAACATCCAATGGGTCGACGGCGTGACCGTCGTCGTCGCCATCCTCGTCATCGTCTTCGCCAGCGCCGCCACGGACTGGCAGAAGAACGCCAGGTTCGCGAAGCTCATCGAAAGAAAGGAACAGCGCGACGTCAAGGTCATCCGGTCGGGGAAGACGCAAAACATCTCCGTGTACGACGTGCAAGTGGGGGACGTCATGCATATCGAGACCGGCGACGTCGTCGCTGTCGACGGGGTCCTGGTCCAGGGGTCGGGTATCCAAGTCGACGAGTCGTCCCTCTCCGGCGAGTCTGAGCTTGTGCACAAGAGCGTGCCGAGCGAAAGTGATATGCGTAGTCAAAAGGTCCACCGGTCTTCCGCGACTGACCCATTCATCCTCAGCGGCACCACTGTCTCCGGCGGCGTCGGCGCATACCTGGTGACTTCTGTGGGCAGCAACTCAACCTACGGCAGGACCTTGATGTCGCTGAGAGAGGATGTCGAGGAGACTCCGCTCCAGCAGAAGCTGGGAAAGCTCGCCAAACAGCTCATCACTTTCGGTGCCATTGCCGGCATCATCTTCTTCCTCATCCTGTTTATCCGCTTCCTGGTCGGACTACGGACGATGCAAGGCACGCCGTCCGAGAAGGCCGAGACCTTCTTCAAGTTGCTCATCCTAGCCGTCACCGTCGTCGTGATCACCGTGCCTGAAGGCCTAGCTCTTGCGGTAACTCTGGCCCTGGCATTCGCAACAACGCGGATGTTGAAGGACAAGAACCTCGTTCGCCTGATCCGTTCCTGTGAGATCATGGGCAATGCAACGTGCATTTGCTCCGATAAGACGGGAACTTTGACGCAGAATAACATGACGGTAGTTACAGGTAGGATCGGCCTGTCCGAGACATTTGGTGACGCGCCCGAGAAGTCGACGATGCCCGATGACATCAAGAAAGAGCTATTAGCCAGCGACGACGCCGTAGGCCGAAACACCCCGAAGGTGTTACTGGGGTCGCTAAGCGGCGAGGTGAGGGACTTGATGAAGAACAGCATCGCGCTGAACTCGACATCGTTCGAAAGCGACAACCCAAAGGAGCCTGGCTTTGTAGGAGTCGGCACCGAGACGGCGTTGCTCAGATTCGCGCGCGAGTTTCTCTCCATGGGTCCCCTCAACGAAGAAAGGGCCAACAACGAAATCGCCGACATGTTCCCCTTCGACGCTTCTCGCAAGTGGATGGCCGTCATGTCCAAGCTGCCCAACGGTAGCTTCCGCCTCTTGGTCAAGGGCGCTGCCGAGGTCGTGTTTGAACAGTGTACGAGCATCCTCAACGAACCAAAGATCGGGCTCTCGGTTCGTGCTGCGACGGACGCCGTGCACGACGACATCCGATCGACGATCCGTGAATATGCCAAGCAGATGCTGCGACCGATCGCCATGGCCTACAAGGACATCGATCTTCGCGAGGCTTTCGAGAAGGCGGACGACCCGGACTCGGTCAAGTTTGAAAAACACTTCCGCGACTTGACCTTCATCGGCGTGTTTGGCATTCGCGACCCTCTCCGGCCCGAAGTCCTCGATTCTGTGCGCCAATGCCAGGACGCCGGCGTGTTCGTGCGCATGGTGACCGGCGACAACTTCCTGACCGCGAAGGCCATCGCGTCCGAGTGCGGCATCTACTCCCCCGGCGGGTTGGCGATGGACGGGCCGACCTTTCGGAAGCTCACACCTGCGCAGCTGGACCTCGTCGTCCCTCGGCTCCAGGTGTTGGCGAGATCCAGCCCAGAGGACAAGCTGCTTCTCGTCTCGCACCTCAAGGGCATGGGAGAGACCGTTGCCGTCACCGGCGACGGCACCAACGACGCGCTCGCCCTCAAAGCTGCCGATGTCGGGTTCGCCATGGGTATCCAAGGCACAGAGGTGGCCAAAGAAGCTGCCTCCATCATCTTGCTTGACGACAACTTTGCTTCGATTGTAAAGGCTCTTGTATGGGGTCGAACGGTCAACACCGCTGTCAAGAAGTTTCTTCAGGTCAGTCTTACGGTAATTACTCCGTGCTCCGGCGGTTTATGCTGACAGGAGACCGACCAGTTCCAATTTACCATCAACATCACCGCCGGCACACTGACTGTCGTATCGGAGTTGGCGGGCGATTCTATTTTCACGGTTGTACAACTTCTCTGGATAAATCTCATCATGGACATTTTCGCCTCGCTTGGCTTGGCAACCGACTACCCGTCGCCGGATTTCCTCAAAAGCAGGCCCGAACCGCGGAACGCGCCCATCGTCAACATCTCAATGTGGAAGATGATTCTTTGCCAAGCAGTCTACCAGCTCGCGGTCATGTTCACCCTCCATTACGCGGGCGATGGCCTGTTCAGGCCTGCCACGGACGCGGATCGCGCGGCCCTACAGACCATGGTGTTCAACACATACGTCTGGATGCAGTTCTTCAACCAGCACAACTGCCGACGCGTCGATAACCGGCTCAACATCTGGTACCAGGGAGTCCTGCGCAATCCGTGGTTTCTCGGCGTGCAGTGCACGACCGTGGCCGGGCAGATGGTCATCATCTGGAAGGGCGGCCAGGCGTTCGATACCCGGCCCCTCAGCGGACCGCAATGGGGATGGTCGATGCTTTTCGGCGTGCTGGTGATCCCCCTTGGCGCTCTGATCCGACAAGTGCCGGACACGCTTGTCTACGCTTTCTTCCAAGCTGTCAAGAAGGTGTTCGTTGCCACCCTTCATATGCTATCTAAGCCCCTCCCGGCACAATGGCGGAGGAAGGCCGAGGAGGAAGTGGGAGAGATGGGCGCCGCAGAGAGCTGGGTCCTTCAGACAGGCACGGCGCTGTTGAAGCCGATAAACTACCAATGGGGCAGCTCAGCACCGCCGCCCGGCTCCAAACTCGCTGGCCGGGTTTCCAGTATCCCGGCAGCGCAGAGAGAGGCGCTGATCCGGGCTGCTCGCGCCGGCACCGGGGACAACGAGATCGACGTACCTGCGATGATCGAGGCTGCGCGGTACGCCAAGGTGGAGCTGTCGTATGGTATCGAGGTCCATCCCGACACTTCAAAGGAGGATCCGATCCTCCTCACTTCGATCGGCGTTGATGGGGAGAGATGCCCGCCGAGCCAGGACCCGGAGATTTTGCGTTATTTACAACGGCCATCATAAAGCACAGGCTGGCTCTTGTTTGCGTTGTATAACAGGAACATGGATGCTTTCTTGCTTCGATGGTGCGTATAACCCGTTTGTATCAGTAAAAGTTCTCAAGATACCTAGATATATGCATGTAGGATTACGAAGTCATGTAATAAGATACCTTGAATGAGTTTGATTTGTTCCGGGTTTACAACGGCATGTCACGGCCTGGCCGTCCCGGTTCCCTGAATAAAATACGTCTAACAATATAAACAAACTGGCTAGCCATGTGCCGGGTGAACTCAGCGATATTTCAGGACTATTTGGCCCGGCTGATTGGCCGTTCAGCAAAGCCGATGTTACCACGCTATTCCCGTATCGCTTCGGTCACGGAACGCACTTGGTCGGCGACTTCTGCCGGCACACCGGTTATATTAATCTTGTAAATTGCCAAGGCCCCTCTTCTCGCTGCTTCGTGCCACCCGGCGGCCTTCTGACTGCCCTCGTGAGCCTGTGCACCCAACTAAAGATCGCTTTGCGGGGTTCCAGATACTGGGATTTGGATGGACAGAGGTGCCGAGTCGGCGAGACGGGGGTGACCATCCGCCGCAGCCACACGCTGTCAGATGAAGGACCGAAATCATTATTGGGCATGTTCCCGATTTGAGAACCAGGTCTCCTGCCGGAACAAGTTCTTGGGTCTCGTTCCGAGTGAAACTATTGCAGCTGCGTGGATACGGACGACAGTAGTCCAAGTTGCTGTGGCCTGTTGAGCCGTTGTGAGGGTGTATAAATAAGAGCCCGGCTGTTCAGAGACTTTCTGTTCGTTTTGTTTTCTGGAACTGTGCCCCTTAAACCACCAAGGACCATTCACAAGAAGCCCGACTCAAACATTCAGGCCCATCCTGGTTTGCAGACCATGAAGTCCATCATTTTCGCCGTCTTGGCGGCCCTCGCTGCTCAAGAAGCCGCTGCCCATGCAACGTTCCAGCAACTTTGGGTTGATGGAGTTGATCTGATAAGCGCCCATCTCTCTTCTTGAGCCTCCATACCGTTGTGCTAACTTCTCGCCACGGATCGCAGTGTGCTAGACTGCCCCAGAGCAACTCCCCCGTCACCAACGTCGCCAGCAACGACGTCCGGTGCAACGTTGGCGGGACTACCGCTGCGAAGGGGAAGTGTGCTGTCAAGGCTGGCGGCACCGTCACCGTCGAGATGCACCAGGTACGTTCCCAGCTCCTCGGCTTCCATCTCGTCTGTACGACCATCGCTAACATGGTACCCTAATAGCAAAACGGCGACCGGAGCTGCCAGAACGAGGCCATCGGCGGCGCGCACTACGGCCCCGTCATAGTATACCTCAGCAAGGTTGACAACGCCGCCTCGGCCGACGGCTCGTCGCCGTGGTTCAAGATCTTCCAGGACGGCTGGGGCGCCAAATCCGGCGCCGGCTCCGGCGACGACGATTACTGGGGGTCCAAGGATCTCAACACGTGCTGCGGCAAGATGAACGTCCCCATCAGCAAGGACCTCGCCGACGGAGACTACCTCCTCCGCGCCGAGGTGATCGCGCTGCACGCCGCCAGCCCCTCGGGCGGCGCGCAGCTGTACATGACTTGCTACCAGATCACCGTCACGGGCGGCACGGGCACGGCGAGCCCCGCCACCGTCAGCTTCCCCGGCGCCTACAAGGCCAGCGACCCGGGCATCGGCGTCAACATCCACGCCAAGCTTTCGTCCTATGTGGTTCCCGGAGGCTCCGTTGCCTCGATCGGCTCGACCAAGACTTCCGGATCGGCTTGCACTGCGTGCGAGTCGACGTGCGATGCTGCCAAGGGACCTGTCGGCACGGCGCTTCCGGTCGGAGGCGGAGGCGGAGGCGGAAGCGGAGGTGGAGGCACGTCGCCGGGAACCGGAAGCCCGCCGTCGTGTTCCGTGCAGAAGTACGGCCAGTGCGGCGGCGATGGCTATACCGGTTGCACTACCTGTGCGGTAAGTTTCTCACTCACTTCTCCTGAGCTAGACAGTTGAGGCCTTCAGCTAACACTTGTTCCCGTAGTCTGGCTCAACTTGCCAGGGTGTTTCAGCACCGTACTACTACCAATGCGCCTGAGGTGATCTTGACGAAATCGGCTCGCGGGAAACACGGAAGGGCCAGGCTCCATAGACTCTTGTGCAAATTGAACCAAGTTTGCTCGACATCATGCTGGACAGTCGTATTCTCACACTGCCTACAAGACGTGGATGTGCCGGTCTGTATCAGCCGGCACCAGCCGTTGACTGCATCTGGTCTTGTCTGACTCGTGAAGCCATTATTTCTTCGTAACCTCCTTTGCCTCCCACCGACTTGCACCCGAGATCCAACCGCGGCCGACGGAATGTGATTATTTCAATAGCAAATAGATCTGCATCATGATGGGTTTGCCCGGGCTTTTAGATAACACAATCATATAAAGTCTTAGTTACATCATCGACGAGCTCACGCCATCCACGACAATCAAGGCGCGTTGGTCACGCGTCGATGACGCCCATCATGTCTGGCCGGCAGCGTCGATATATGAGCAAACGGCAGCGGCCTTGCGATTTCTGCCGATCACGAAAGACAGCATGCCGTATTGATCCAGCGCCACCCTGCCGTCTTTGCGTGCTGCACGGCCGGGACTGCACCTTCGTCGAAGGCACGGCACCCAGGAAACGGCCTTTGCCATCCGACGAGATCAAAGGGCGGGCTGTACCGCAGCCAGCTTCTCAGGCGTCCATGCCGATCACGACGGCCCCAAGACCGGCGCATCCTCCTCCGCAAGGCCAAGAAGACCAAACTTCACACGGCGATGAGATGGCCTTCGTCGATAGCCTCGACTTCGATACGACGCAGTCCGAGTTTGAGGCCATGTTCCAAAGCCCACGCTCTTTCAGCACGCCGTCCGCTGTATGGACGAGCACCACTCCTCGACAGCCAGGATCGCGGGAACACATCGAGTATCCTCCCGGCGCCAACCCTCAGCTATTGGGACTCAGCGGTGACATGGATCCCCTTTTGCTGCGGCATTATCGCACCGACGAGAGTGGCATGTTTGGCTTCAAAGAACTCGCCGTCCACTCGGTGCAGGACTCGTCGATGCCGTGCCAGTTTCTGCTCTCTCAGCAGTCCATTTTCTCTCGTCGGAGAGACGAATGTGGTGTGGAACGGCCCAGCGAGGATGCGCTCTCTGGGCAGCTTGCAAAAATCATCCCCGTCTCGGTTGGTGCGCGTCTCATAACGCTGTTCAGAGACTTTATCCAGCCTCAGTTCCCCATCTTCGCAACATCATTGTTCCCAGATCCCACATCAACGCCGGCATACCTCCTTGCGGCCATCTATGCCATCTCGCTTCCCTTTGTGGTGTACGATGACAAACTCAGCGTCGACGTTGCGTACGACAAACCTCCGTATCCGGCGTTGTCGCAAATCATCGACAAGGCTCTCTCGTACGAAGTTCATTCGCCAAGCATCCCCGTCGCCCAGACATTGCTCCTCCTCGTCTTGCGACCATCCGCAGACCCTTTGGTAGCTGATACGGCGTACCGACGGGATGTGCTAGGGAGGCTCGTCTCCTGCGCCACAACCCTTGGCCTTCACCTCGACCCTTCGGGTTGGTCCATGCCTGAGCGGCAAAAGGCTCACCGTCGTAGACTCTCATTCGTCGTTTATGCAGTTGACACCTGGATCGCCTCCACTCACGGAACTCCGCCGTCTACTCATCGAGACAACTGGTTGGTTACCAGTTTGGAACCTGGGGACTTTGTTGACTCGGGTCTCAGCTCCGATGATGAGTCGCGGCTCATGGACTTCGCAACCATCACAGGGATTTTGAGTTCCGCTCTTGCGACTCTTTAGTAAGTTGACCTGTGCAATTCCAAAGGCTTGTTGCAACTCTAACTCGTCAGCTCTGTCCGAGCCACTCACGAGCTGTCCAAGAGCTGCGTTCGTGTTTCTACTGTCACCCAACCGCTGCTGCAGGCTCTAGTCTCAATACCGAACCCAAACAGTTCAGAGTCGAGTGCGCGGAATCTTGCACTATCATACACTCAGTTGGTCGTTCTTCGTGCAGAGCTACGGCCTTCATTAGCACCAGGCTCACAACTTGGTCCAGACGAAGGGAGCTTCGCGCGAACCGCGAGGGAGAAAACAAAGAGCTGCACTCGGGCTCTCACGAACGTGATACAAAGCCTGAGCCCAGACACAGATGGCATGTTCTGGCCATCTTGGACTCAACTAGTCTTCTCGTCCATTTGCTTCTCACTGATGACCATGGCCATCTCATCGTCCGACTCCGGAGAAGCTTCCACCTGGATCGCCGACTTACAGTCAACTCGTAAGAGTCTCCGGTTAAAAGTCGCTTCGTTTCCGTTTCTGCGGCTAGGCCTCCTCAGGATTGACGCTCTGTTCTGGCGCGGCATCACAAATGTTTTGCATCTCAAGACACATGTTGAAGAAGCATTCAGAGCCGCGGAGCTAGTTTAAAATCCAGCCTCTCAGGCTTTGGACCTATTTCAAATCATTAAAAAAAATGCGAATCGGAGCTTCGTGTGATTGCCACCGTTCTTCATGGATTACAACACGTCCTTTGACCGTTCCAATCGCTTCCAGTGCCATACCATACCCAGCCTAGAAGCCGGTAACACTTGCGCCGTAGTCAACTATACTTCATGGGAGGTGCTTATCAGCAGGCAAACTTCAAGATGATAGAAGCGAATCTGAGGATGGGATGCAAGCGAACCACAAGAAACAGACATGAAGATCTTTAGGGAGAAACTCATGGATCTGAAAAAGCTCCATGACGAAAAGCTCAAGACTTTGAAAGAGACTTCTCAGGGCTTCATTCAGCTAGTATGTCAAGACCCACTCCTCAGTGTTCGATGAGCATAGACTAACTACAGGAAGGAATTCAGCCTTACATCAATCGCAGAAGCCCAACTAGCAACATCAACCAACTCTAGTATGAAACGCCTTAGTTGGATCACAGTTAGCATCTCTTTCTTATAGTCAAGTTTCTTGTTATTTAACAATTGGTTATTTGACAGTTTATTTTCCTTCCACTCATGTTCGTCTAGGAAGATAGTCATTCCTATTTCTTTTGTTGACAGGACCTATTAGTAAGTATATTTACAGAGTATTTTTGTCATGAATATCGATAAGCTAGCATCTAAACCGTCTTGGGTGTGGCCTGTCCTCTTCGCTTCTTTCACTACACTTTTGACTATGTTTGTGTGGTTCATATTCAAGTACAAAAGTGTTAGTCTTTCCCCTTCAGAGCCTCTTCATGTCATCTCTCTCTAACATAACATGCTATAGGCCATTGAGAAAAGGATCTACTGAATCGCAAAATGGGACTTGAGGAGGGGCACCGCAAAGCTTGTCTCCTAGAACACTCGCTGCACGGTTTTCGGCTCATGGGGAAAAGCGTTCTTGAGAGCGAGTTCGTTATTGTCGTTGTATTCAACTTCATAGCAGCAAGAACGAATTCACCCTTGCGGCAGACCTCTTGAGCACTAGGGAATTCTCTTACATGATCTATCTGGGCAGCAGTTCCCTTATTTCCATGTGAGCAGGGAGTCGTGGCATGAAAGTGAAACGAGAGCATTCGAATAATAACTAAGGCACCATTCGGCTCTAGTCCTCGATCATCAGACCGACCAGGAGGGGAAAACGTAGCTAGACCTGACAAGATGAAATGTCACACTTCCGATCCGTCCCTCAATCATCGCAGCTTAGCTGCATTTGCTCCCCCCCCCCCCCCAAACAAATTATGTCTACTTTTCTTCAGGTTCTAACTATTCTCTGCTTTTTTCTCTTTCCTTTGTCCAAATGGAAGCAACATCGTCAGACTCGATATTTTGAATTCTATACAGCCTTTATTAAGCGAAATCAGGGGATAAGGATTACTTTCTATCTCCGTAGTGAGTTGATTTAAGCAACTCGGCAGTATCGTCAATGAACTCGAAACTCCTAGCGAGACCTCTTTGAGGGTGGTTATAGTGTGCAAACGCATGAGGAACTCCGGCGTATCGTTTCATCGAAACCTGGTTGCCCGCGTCTCGGAGCAGTTTTCCGTAATATTCTCCTTCGTCCCTCTCTAAATCAAATTCGGCCGTGATTATGTGAGCCGGTGGCAAGTTGTTCGAGTTCGGCGCCAAAACCGGTGTGAGCCTCCAATCGTCGAGACATTTTTGCTGTTCATCTACAAGTTCCCGTCAGCCCGTATTATTTGAAAAGACGCGTGATGACCTTACCGTCGTCTTCTCCTAGCCAGTATTTCAAAAACCATTGCTCTCGTCCGAGTGGTCCCCAGGGGAGGTCGCGGTACAGACGAGCGCTCTCGTACGGACAATTCGACTCATTGAGCTCAGTAAACTTGCGATGGCAATATCTCATATCCGTAGCTGGCACGATCATCAGGTGCAACTTGACCGGAATGCTTTCATCTCTGGCAAAGTGGGCCAGCACAGCTGACATTTGTCCACCAGCTGAAAGACCTCCGAATGAAACGCTCAAAGGGTCAATATTCAAGTCTGCTGCGTTCTTGATGGCCTAATCTAAATGTCAGTGGACAACTTGACCATAATAGAATCGCCGCTGTTTACCCATTTTACAGTATCCCAACAGTCGTATATGGCGGTCGGGAATTTATGTTCGGGTCCCATACGGTAGTCAACGTCAATGACCTTGATATTGGACTTATTACAGATGTGACGACACCACGCGGCCTCACTATTGAGTCCTCCCAGAACCCATCCACCTGTGCGAGAGTATCTTGCTGTCAGACCATGATCGTCTAAGCGTGCACAGAACTTACCGCCATGAAAATTGAGGTGCACAGGAAAAGGCCCAGGTCCTTGCGGGGAGTAAACCCGCACGGTGATCTTCCCAGATGGTTGTGTAACCGGAACTTTGCGATCCTCGACATGGAAGACGTCCGGACCTTGAAAACAAGACACATACATCAGCGCTGCTTTTGCAGCCGAACTGTTGATTTGTAATTTACCTTTGCAAGTGGGATATGTAAAACTGTATTGCGCTGGGGATTCTCGGTACTGCTCAATTGTAACCTCATCCGCCCTTGTCATCCCGCCGCCATGTTCGTTCCAAAGACGAACCCATTCGGGATCTATACCGGGATAATCAGCGGCAGAAAATGCAAGCCGACCATCGCCTGGTTTCGGCGACGACTGCTCGTTCGAATTTGTTGCGACTGCCATTTTGGAACTGCAATTGAGGTGTTCGCAGGTGAGCAGTCAGTGTCTGAAACTAGATGACATGATGATGGGAAGAGTATAATTGCGAGTCAATACCGCAAGGACTATCACGATAACACAGACCTCGCCTTCAGGCTCTCTGTTCCCGAACCGAACGAGTGACCGGGCCTATCGTGTCTGTCTGCCGCTGATGTTCACTCCGATTGGCGGCGTTCAGATGGCCGATATTGGTGGAGACAACGGACAACGGACCCGGTCTGATGGCGGTCTTGAGCCTGATTGGTGGCGTTCGTGAATACTATCTTTGATGATAGGCCAGAGAACGCCGCCAATCAACCTCGACGTAGATCCCCAGTGTTATCTCCCGTATCTGTTCATGCGACCTGGGGAAGCCTCCATTTCGCCTGACCCGCCGCATCGAGTCAGGGGACCAGTGAACAAAGAGACTTGGGTCGTAGCGGCTTAGAAGTCGCAGTCATCTATATGACTACACGGCATGCCGCTCGAGAAATCTCGTGTGACGTCCGGTAGCTACCAGCTTTGAAACTTTTCATTGTCGTGGAGTCAAGTAGCCATGAGCGACACCAAGGACACCATCACGGGCCCGGAGGAAGGACGGGTACATCCGGATGCGCCTGTTAAACCATCTCCTCCACAATGGGCGAACCTTCGAAGAGTGCCCGACAAGCTTCCAACCGTTGCGCTGTTGATTCTCGTTGTAGAGGTGAGCCGATATTCCAGCGTAATTCTTGTATCTGTCACTAATATCTCCCAGCTTGGCGAGCGGTTCACATATTTCGGTCTCAGCGGGCCAATTCAGAACTATATCAAGTGAGCACTAACACCATGGTGTTTGCCCCATTGCTCGCGACACTGTTCTGATTTTGGTGTGTGATAGTAACCCATACGATCCCTCCTCCGATCTCCCCGGTGCACTCGGCCGCGGCCAGGCGGTTGCGACAGCTTTGGGCAACTTCTTCAAGTTTTGGGCCTATGCATCCACGGTTATTGGAGCCATTGTAGCAGGTAAACCACGCTATCCGTCTGATACCGCGTCTCCGATCTTGTTGCGCACGCTTACCTTGCATCAACGTAGACCAGTACCTCGGGAAGTTCAAGGCGATCCTTGCAGCTTGCGCGGTGTACATCGTCGGCTTGATCATCCTCGTGGCAACCTCGACGCCCGCTTCGATCAGCAGCGGGGCGGGCTTCGGCGGCTTGGTCGCTGCCATGATCACGATCGGGCTGGGAACTGGTGGTATCAAAGCCAACGTAACGCCCATGTGCGCCGAGCAGTATCGAAACTCCAGCCCTGTTGTCCGAACTCTCAAGTCTGGCGAAGAGGTCCTGGTGGACCCCGAACTCACGGTCCAAAGGCTGTTCATGTGGTAAGTCAACCTTGTTGAGACGGCATATCACCCAATGAAATTGACGAGCTCTTTCAGGTTTTACTGGGTTGTCAATATTGGCGCGCTGTCGCCGTTGATTACTGTCAATGTGGAAGCGCATCACTCGTTCTGGCTGGCTTATCTGATCCCGCTCATGTAGGCACAATCCCTGAGAACTCCGGTAACAGTCGGTGAACTAACGAAGAACAGCGCAATCATTATATCAGCCGGCGTGTTCATCTCAGGGCGGAAGAAGTACGTCAGAGTCCCGCCAGAAGGCTCTGCAATCATCGACGCCTTTCGTGTGACACGCATCGCCGTTAAAGAAAAGGGTTTTGAGAATGCCACTCCTTCGGCGCTCAGAGGCTCTGGACGCGATGCAAACTACGCTATCGCGAGTGAGGCTCGGTACACAGACGCATATGTCATGGATGTGATGCGGGGGCTGAAGAGCTGCAAGGTGCGTAGAACAGACCATCAATGTCCGTCATACACAGTTTCTGACAGTGATGTGTATTAGATGTTCCTCTTCTTCCCGCTTTACTTCGTCTGCTGGATCCAGATCTGGAACAACCTCATATCTCAAGCGGGCGAGATGGCGTTGCACGGTACGCCAAACGACTTGCTTCAAAACTTGGATCCAATCGCATTGATTGTGTTCATACCCTTCCTCGATAGTGAGTTGCCTCCAGCCGAGATCCGCAGGGGGGGAGTTCTGCTGACGTGTGTGCGATTCTCAGTGGTGGTTTACCCTCTTTTCCGAAAGCATCGTATCGATTTCGACCCGGCCACCAGAATATTCGTCGGGTTTCTATTTGCATCTATTTCTATGGTCTATGCTAGCGTGCTACAGCATTACATCTACAACTCCCCTCCCAAAAGCATCCACGTTTGGGTCCAGGCACCCGCCTACATCCTCGTGGCGTTTTCGGAGGCGTTCATTATCGTCACCGGGCTTGAGCTAGCCTTCACTCAGGCACCGAAGAAGTAAGCCCCCTCCCCTGGAGCCGGAGCCCTCACTAGGAGACTCTGCTGACAAGTCTTTGCTCTGCAGCCTGCGATCGGTTGTCTCTGCTCTGTTCTGGGTGACTATTGGTGTGGCAGCCGCCATTTGCATTGCGCTTGCGCCAGTCTCCCAAGACCCTTATTTGGTATGGATGTACGCATCTTTGGGGATCGTTGGTTTTGTGGCTGGATGCATCTTTTATGCTTGCTTCTACCCGGGACGCAACAAGCGGGACGCCGGGGAAGAGATCATTGACGGCAGAATGCCATAGTAGAAGCATGGTTCCACAGTTCACTGAAGGTAACTCTCGGCGCTGAAATTGATATAGTATTTAATGAAGGAAATAGAGTGCAATTGCCAACCCTGACACCTTAGTAATGCAATGAATGACTATGGTGAGTATATTAATGAGTTCTGCCTCCTCCTTCAGCGAGGGTATGGGATTCTGACGCCACCTGGTGACTGTGAACGTGGTGACCCCGAACTATCTTCCTCGTTACTGCTTTCTCGCTTGAATATGCGCAGAGGGACATAGTTGAAGGGGTCGTTCCAGAGTCTGTCCCCGGGGGCAGCACCGGGCGTACTCATCGGAAGCTGCCATGAAAGCTCCTTGGTTGAATCCACCTTGGGCGAGAAGACGCCGCTGCTGGCTGTGCTCGCAGACCTGGTATGACTGGCTCCGGAAGCCGAGCTCTCGGTGGTGCTGGCGAAGCTCTTCCTATGGTTCATCTCCGGGTCGGGCTCGACCTGCTGGTGGCCTCGGATCCACTGCAGCCAGTCTAGGACGGGTGTATGTATGCCATCATGTGTGTTCTCGGGGCTGTGGTTCGGAGTCAAGCCGACGTTCGGTGGAGCCGGGCTTCGATCCATGGTGCTCCGGGCGATGATATCTTTCCGGCCGTGCCATAGCATTGATGATACGGTACTGCGAGAGACTTGGGATTGATGACGTGAGGTCTTGTGTGATCGGAAACTAGTCAAGGCGCTCGGGGTGGACGCTCCACTGCGAGACGAGCGAGTCGGCCATCGGAAGATCCGGATCGGAGACGGCTGTGGGATCGGCGGCGGCGGAGGGAACCCAAACGTCCCCGTGTCTGCGAGAGACTGCACGTACCGCTGCGCCTGCGCATATGAAAATGGTTGTGCCGCAAATGGAAGAGCATCAGGGGCTTCTCTGTCTTGACCAGGGGAGGTGGCCTGTGCAAGCGTGAACTGTGCAGGATTTGGGTGATGATGAGTGATAAAATCTCCTCCTACGGTCGAATGGGCCTCAGACATCGCGGGGTAGCTGTGACTGACGTGGTCTCGGAACCTGCCACCAGGGGCGTACTCGTTAAAAGGGCTCGTCGACGGAACGGATGTGTGGTTATGGCGAGCTGCCCTCTTCTTCCGCCGTAAGCACCAAAATATGAAGAGTGACAGTCCAAGGAGGACCACTATTCCCACTACTAGAATGTCAGTACTGTTCATTTTGATCGTTCAGGGGGGGGGGCTGCTTACACACAACACCAGTGGCGACCAAAGGCCCCTGATCATTTGCATTGGACGTGCCCCCAGGCGTAAGTGTCTGCGACGGCTGTGTGGGACTTGTGGCTCCGGGCTTCGTAACTACTGCTCCTTCGATGCTTACGGCTCCGGTCGTGGGGATACTGGCTGGTTGTGAAGAGATTTGTGACGAGGCCGCATTCTCAGCCGTCGGGGGTACAGTCTCTGCTGCAGCAGGGGGTGATGTCGTGAAAACATCCTCATGACCCGCACTCTTCGTTGCTGCAGTCATGGACATGTCACTAGTTGCTGCCGCTGGCTGTTGAGTTGCTGACGGTACCAGGGCGGCCGGCAATGGAGTCTGTGGTTGCTGCGGCTGTTCTTCCTTTGGTGATGCGGCGGCGGGGGTCGCGGCGGGCTGCTGTGCAGCCGGAGCCTGTGTCGCCGCGACGGGAGCCGCGGCAGCTGGCGTCGTTGCAGCCGGTACAGCAGCAGCGGCAGCAGCTTGTGTCGAAGCTGCCACCGGCGTGTTGGCTGGCTGGACGTTGTTCGCAGTCGTCGCCGCCGGCGGTGTCAAGATGTCGCTGATAACTTTGTTGGGGTTGCTGAGGATGTCGTCGAGCAGACCCCGGTTAATAAGCTTATCCACAATGCCGTACCATCTTCCATGGCTCTCCTGTTTAGCCATGATACATTATTGTTCAGTTCCAGCTGTGTAGGATAGGTAAGCGATCGACTGTAGATTGGTGGCCGGGTGTATGTAAGTGGTTGATGAGTGGTTGATCAAAGCACGCTCGCTGGCAAGGTCCAAATGTTCGTTTCGTGCAACATGTACAAAGTCCGAAATGAGGGGGAAAAGAAAACAATCCAAGTGAGGGAATCTTGACCGAGAACGAACGAACGACTAGAACTCAGAATGAGAGCACAACATTCAGGTTGAGAAACGCTCGACATACCCAGAATTGCGAGAGTAAGGGTATTAGAGATAGCCACCGGTTGTCCACTCGGGACAGTCGAGGTCAATGCGGACATTGGGATGCACTAGGTCTGATGAGATGGTCCGACCCTTATCGTTGGCTCACCTCTAAGCCGAAAAGGTCACAACATCTGCTGTCCCACTGTCAAAGCTACGACCTCCAACCCCATCCTACAAACCGTCACCTAGTTCTCTCTTGCGGCTACGTGTAGCCGACCTCAACTAGCTCGATTGGTTACGAGACATGGCGCCGCCTACATGCCCGCTAGCTGTTACATCAGGGGAGTGGCGTCAATCTTTGCTGAGGAAGAAGGGGGACGCTAGATGACGCCAACGGCCCGTGCGGTTATGGTGCCTGATCCTTTCTGGATTGATGAAAGTCCTTATCTGACAAGCCAGCTGGACCTTGGACCAACACCAGGCGAGCTGGAGTTGGGTCGAGGGCGGTCAAAAGGGGGGGAGGGGGGATGATAGCTTGGAAGCCTCATACGACGCAGCCACGTGAGTTAATAGCGGTAGTGGCATTGCGGGTTGCTGTCAAAGGAGACTAGGTTTGCATTCCATTTCCATGATCAGCGATTGTTGAGCAAGATATAGGTGACGGCGAAGAAACGGGTAAAGACGCAGTAATGTTTGGCGTCCTACGGGACAAGTCGCCATCTCGCATTTTGCATGTGCATGTCGGGGGCCCCTGTACGCACGGATATGATCAACAACAGGACCTTCGTCCGATCAGTGCTCGAACATCTCCCGTCTCTCGGCCCGGGGGTTCTGGCCACTCCAGGGTCCCGGCTTCCTTCATCAACAGTCTGTCTAAGAAAATACATGGATCGTACCATTATCCCTCGGGCTTTCAAGATCCGATGTCGTTGTAGGTATCGACACTCTTTCGTTACAACCAGTGTTTAAGCTCGTTGCATCGCCTTTGTAGGTCCCCATCCGAGGCCGTGACTAGATCAGCATGCCAAGGTCTGCTTATGATGATTCTCGCGTGATAGGAGCGGCCCAAGACTGCCGCTCTCTTACACTCACTTGGCAGTTGCGGTCAGTTCCGATGGCATCTCAAATACTGCTGATGACGAAAGTCTTTCCAAGCTCTTCGTGGCATTACGCCTCGCTCGGTGATATCGATCATAGAGTGTGGCTGTGTGCGTACAACTCGAGTGTCTTCCGTGGCATTAGACTTGGTCAAATTCGATGCAGATACCAGATTCTATGGCTGGTATTCGTCCCAGAAGAAACACTCAAATCGCCCTTGGCCAGCTCATACTGCAGTCTGCAGGTACCGGGAGATAAAGTGAAATTATATTTCTGAAGAGCCGTGGTTCCTTTGGTTCTGGTTATAACTCCTAAGCTCATGTTTTCACCAGGATTTGATAACGCGCGCTATACAGTTATCTAATTGACATTTGATATCTCCTTGACAAACACCTTTGTCGATCCACAGATTGAAACCAGTCAGAGAATTACACAGTTCGGCCTGAGGGGGGCTTCCAAACACATTTGTACCCTGCAAATCGTGTCAAGGTAGAGCATTTGCGTCCCAATCTCAACCGAGGACATGTCGATGTGGCCTAAAGCTCTGCCATTGGAATATCATTATCAATCATGCAAGTTCATCCGGAGTTAGTTTCCCCGCCAAACGATGCGGGCAATGTTACACGACACTACGGAGTATATTTTCCGTCAGTATCCGTACCATTTTGACCAATGAGGCATTTCTGCCTTACTATGCGACTGCACATCCCTACCTAGACAAAACAAGCGCTGATTCAGCACACTGCAGACCATCCATTTTATAGAAGTTGAATGGTTTATAAAGTTGTGTGCTTTTGCTCAAGTTCAAGGGTACGAATCCATGAAGTCCATCGCCTGAGTAACCCTCACCATGGCCTTCTTGACGTTGGTCCTTGGTCCTGCAATTCTTTTGTTTGTTTATCTCTTTATCCAGCATGTTTTGCGTCCGTCCAGGTCCAGCATTGATTTCCCGCCAGGACCGCCGACTGTGCCGTTTCTCGGAAACCTCCATCAGATACCGTTGACCAAGCCCTTTATCCGATTTGCCGAATGGAGCCGAACCTACGGTTCCCACGGCCTTGTCGGCCTGCAACTCGGCCCGAGCAGAAAGGCCGTCGTCGTCAACTCTTGGAAGTCGGCCCGTGACCTCTTGGACCAACGCGGCGCAATCTACTCGTCTCGGCCTTACGTGCCCATCGTCGAGTATGTGGTGCCGCCGCCGGGCGACATTCACCTCGCCTTCATGCCATACGGGTCCAAGTGGCGCAAGGCAAGAAAGACCGTCACGGACTATTTGAAGGATGACGAAGTCGACAAGCTGGTGGCTCTGCAAGACGCCGAATCTTCCCAGATGATGTATGAGCTGCTGTCGGAGCCCCGCAGCTATCACGATCATATTCTGAGGTACTTTGGTGCTATCATTATGTCGAGCGTCTTTGGCACCAGGGGAAAAGACTTTTCTGATGAGGGGAGGATCAAGCAGTTCTTTGCTTGTCAGGACGAGTGGGCAGGCATACTGGACCAAGGAGCCGTTCCACCCTTTGACGTGTTCCCGTTCTTGCGGTATGTGCCAGACATCGTGACGCCGTGGAGTGGCTGGCAGCAGAGGGCTGCTGCGTTGAAGAAGATGCAGAATGGGCTGTATCACGACTTGTTTGAAGAAGCCAAGGCCCGCATTAAACAGGGGAAGGGAGAGGACAGCTTTGTCTCCAGCCTTCTCCGGAACAACATGAAAGAAGAATACAGCGATGTCGAGTTGGAATACATTGCTGGGTTTCTTATGGAAGGCGGGTCTGATACCACTGCCGGTGCTTTTGAAACTTTTGTTCTCGCTATGGCTGCGTATCCGGACATACAGAAAAAAGCCCAGGCAGAGGTCGATTCTGTCTTTGGAGACGACGGCGTGTGTTCCGAGAAGCTCAACGGAGCTATGATGCCGTACCTCAAGGCCTGCTTTCTCGAGGTGAGTAGCTCGTCTGCATCGAGCCACTTGATCCCCCTTGCGACCAATCCTAACTCATGGCCAAGACATTACGATGGCGCCCCGGCTTCCCACTTGCTATCCCCCATGCCACCACTCGGGATGACATCTACGAAGGTTATCACATCCCGGCCAATACCACCATCCTCATGAACGTTTGGGCTATCAGTCACGATCCGGATGAGTACGACGACCCGGACTCATTCGACCCCGAACGATTCATCGGCAGCACATTCGGCGTCAAAGAAGCTGACGGGAGCACCAAAGAGACGCTGGACCAGTGGCGAAGGCCCACTTACAGTTTTGGCGCTGGAAGAAGGGTTTGCGCGGGCCAGCGAATGGCTGAGAACAGCATGATGATGACCATGTCAAAGCTGCTTTGGTGCTTTGACGTCCTGCCAGGAGATCGGATGCCGGACACCAACGTTCAGACGGCTTTCAAAGATGCAATTCTGACGGGACCAAAGCTCTTCGATGTTAGCTTCGGAGTGCGAAGTGAGGAACGGCGAAAGGTTTTGGTAGATGAATGGCGTAAGGCGGATGCGTGGCTCCAGCGGTTCGAGTAACGTGTGTTTAAGCGGCATTGACAAGCCGTTCATCCAAATCTTCTCAATCATAATTAACAACCAAAATTGAAACATGCTCTCTATGGATACCAGGTTATCGCTTCGCGTAGAGATGTTTCGAAACGACATCATACCAAACATCAATGTTGATCATGCTAACGGCAGGTTCGGCAGTGGCAGCTGTGACAACCAGACATCACCCAGATTGGCGTCCGCAAAGCGGAGGCCGATCACCAGGGTTACATCATTACCAAGGAAGTAGTTAAGGTTAGACTAACAAACAACAACGCGGAGGAATTCTGCAAGTTGAAGCTAGAGCTGCGGCCCGAGTGTGACTCCACTGATTGGCAGATAGTGAAGACGACGATCAAGGTCAAGGCACCGAGAGAAACCCCAGCATCTTGGCGAGAAAAGGCACGGTTGTTGCACCGGTGCATGGTGAGATCGCCACTTATACCGTCACTGCGTAGAGCCTCGCGAAGGTCGTTCCCGCCGTCGTACAGCTGTCGGGGCTCGTCAAGGAGGCCGAGTTGAGCAGGCAAACAAGGCTTCTCTTCAACACTGGCCAAATGTTCTATAACAGCTTCCAGGCGAGCCTGGGTTGTCTGTGACATCGGGTGGCACCGAAGATAGAGCAACTTCGCTCCCCCCCCCCCCCCCCCGGCTAATATGCGTGGCAATTCAAGTCAAATAATGACATTTTCATTTCTCCATCGAGAGGCAGAGTACCGACTGTGCGTCAATCTTACTAGCATCGCTTGTCTCCGCTACACGGTCCCCCGGATCTACTAGTCCGGACTATGCACGGAAGAGTTAAGTGCTGCCCCTTGCTTCGCTAACCTTGTCATGGATGGGAAGACGTGTGTAAGGAACATCATCACCACACGCCAGTCTCCACGTAGTTTGTACGAGGCAGCCTTGGACTGGTCTCCAGCAACTCGAGACCTTCTGGAAAGTCCCTCATCCTGCCATCGCCATCCCAAAGGGCAGCGAGAACCTGTCGCGTGCCCTTCCATGGCTTACGGGAGTGCATAACCGCGTAATTCTAGCGGGAGCGCCTCGCGTGTCAGCCACACGACGCTAGCACGAACTCTCTCGGATAGACACTCACGTCGAGAAGCACGAGGCCTCCCTTCTCCCATTCGACGTCAACGGCGCCGTCCTCTGCTAGCTTCAGTAGCAGGTCCAAGTCCTCCACGTCAATCGGCGTGCCGTCACCGTAGGTAGGCGGAGGGTGGTACGATCCATCGTCACCACGGAAGGGAGGCCGCGTCGCACCATGGTGCCTGCTGCGCCCCCAAGCCGAAGTGACGTCCCCGAAAAGTACCGTTGCTCCTGTGGGATCGTGGATCCGAATGGCTGGGGGGCTTTCCAATAAACATGAGGTCCCAGGCATTCCCAAGTGAGACTAGAACCCTGCGGAATTCTTCTTAAATGGGATTATGTGCGTCACGCTTATGCTACCGTCTTCGCGCCACTCGAACCGGTCACTGTGGCGTCGAACCTCGTTCTCAACCTTCCTTCGTGCCACCTCTTCGGTGTCCTCGTCGGTGACCTCTTGGCCGTAAGCCCCGCGAACGCTCGTGCCTGTGTTGGGGACAAGCGGGTTGATTGTGTAGCGGTAGACGTATCTGACATCATTGGTGAGAAGCTCCGAGAAGAATCTGGGTTTCTGACGAGAAAGCCCATGGGCAATGTAATGTAGATGGCTGAAGTGATCGGAGTTGCGCCACCTGAACCGAGTCAACGACGGTCGAGCTTTATGATGGCATGCTTGAGCTGCAGAACTTGACATCGCCGCGTTTAACGCACCTGGACTATGGAACGCGATGAACTCGGTGGGTGCGGGCGGCCAGCAATCGCCGTACCTGGCCATGTAAGCTCTTGTCTCTGGAGGCCGGATTTGGACCCCTTCACTGACAGGGAGGAGCAGGGGCGGCAACGCCGTTCTCTTCTCGTTGATGACCATCACCCGGCTCGTCGGCAGCATCGTCGCCAACCGGTTCGGGTTGAGGGCGACATTCGTGTTCGGCACCGTCGGCTACGTCGTCTGCTCGGCAGCTCTGTACACCAACAACCGCCACGGCAACGGGTGGTTCGTGTACCTCGGCTCGGCGGCCTGCGGCATCGCGGCGGGGCTTTTCTGGGCCGCGGACGGGGCGGACATGCTCAGCTACCCCGAGCCGGAGGACCGGGGCAAGTACTTGGCCTACTGGCTCTGCGACCGAAACAGCGGCGGCATCCTGGGCGGCATCGCCAATCTCGCCTTCAAATACCAGGGCCGGCCGGCGTACGGGAAAGCTCTATTGGAGGACGTACATCGTCTTCGTTGTGCTGCGTAGGTCCGGGCCCGAGCTTCCGTCCCAACCAACTTTGTCGATCCCGTCAATGACAAACGGTCCCTCCTCCCCTCCTCCCCCCGTCCGAGACAACATGAGACGGTGCTAAACTAACCTAACTTTGATCAAGAATGTCTCGGGCCGCTTGTTGCTCTGCTCCTTTCCCCGCCGGAAAAGGTCGTCCGCCGGAACGGCACCCGCGTCCAGATCGTCGAGCGCATCTCTGACTCGGCTGAACTTAGATAACTAGGATATCTCATGCTCCGCAAGGAGTTCCTCCTGGTGTAAGTCCCGTTTGGGCTGGGCGTGTCGCTGATAACCAAGAGCCTCCACTAACCGTCCTGGCGGCAGTGTGCCCCTTTTCGTCCATGTCAACTGGATACTGCCCGTCGTCCAGGTCGAGTACGAGAGGCACAAGCCATCCCTCGATTGGGACGAGCCAGGCTTTGGCCGCGGCTGGGCGTTGCACATCATGTGGCAGCTTAACTTTGCGCTTGCTTTTAACTACGGGTATTGGTTGGTGGGGTGGATGTCGCGAGATATACGAGTGCCGCGAGGGCACTTGAGAGCGCGGGACAGTGCATCAGTTCGGGAATCAGTCCAGCCAGCGCACCTGTGAGTTGCCTCCCCTCTCTGCGCCCCGTCAAAGTTTCCGGCGGCTTGCCGACTTTTTATCGTAGTCAACGGCGGCTTTGGGAATCAACTTTGGTCTTGGGGGCATCGCTGCGACACCAACATATATCGCGTAGTGAGACAAGTTGGTCTCCTTCACGTCGGCGCCCATGCACAAGAGGATTCTCTCGATACGGACCAAGATGGGAAGACAGATCGCACAAAAAAAAACGGCCAGTAAGAGCCAGACTTGGCATCAATCGCTGTTGCAGTTAGTCACCGAGGAAGGTTTTGTTTGGCTGAAAGTTTTCTCCTTGATTAACAGTATCTACGTCACCACACACAAAGTATAGACTTTGAGAGGCAAAATGCGACGAGAAGTAACCCCTCAAACCATACCGGCGTCTTTAGGCTTAAGGGGACGTGGAGATGCAGCCAGTGGAGCTGTCCTCCTCGAAGATGCCGCCGTAGATCACACCCTCGTTGATGTTGGCAGGCTGGTCGCCGCTCTTGGCGATATTGTCACCGCCGTTGACGGGCTTCTTGAGCATGCCGAAGTGGAACTGGCCCTTGCCGGCGATGTTGTTGACGAAGGGCGCGCCCTGGGACTTGAGCGGAGTATTGCCCTGAGAGTAGAAGACTTGGGTGGTGCTGGGTAGGGTCAAAAGTTAGCAAACATAACAAGCATTTGTAGATTTCCCACTCCCGAGGAAGACACGTACTTGGCGGTGAAGTCAAGCTTGACGGCGAAGTTATGGAAGACGTCCGGGGTGAACTTGGTCTTGAAAAGCTCGGGGACGGGGTCGGAGTTGACGTTGCCGAAGAGCTGGAGGGTGTCGGGGTCGGCGGTGTTCTGGCCGAGGATGGAGCCGGTCTTGAGGACGACCTGGTTGGTGCTGAAGTCGGCGCTCTCGAGGAAGACGAGCTGGTACTCGTGGGACAGGTTCAGGGGGCGCTGGGCGTCCTTCATGAGGCTGAAGTGCAGCGTCTTGACGCCGTCGGTCGAGGGGTCCGCGCCGTCGTTGCTGGCGGGCAGCATCTCGGCGCGGCGAAAGCCAACCTGGACATTCTCCGCCGAGGGGGCGAAGATGGACTTGTCGCTGATGGTGACCTCGAAGGGTTGAGAAACGTTCCCGTCGAACTAGGCAGCCGGTGTCAGTTTTAGCCTTCAACCTCGCCCACTCCGCGGAGGCCCGCTTCCTCGTTCGAGAACCGCGAGTCTCCCGGATCGTTGTTACATACCATGGACTGGCCCCCAGGGAGCTGGATGAGCTGGCTGAACTTCAGACCCTTGCCGAAGACGTTGGCGGGGTTGAAGGGGCTCGTCTTGGCGTCGAAGTCGGCGACGGTGGAGGCCTTCGCGATGCGGCCGTCGAACTGAATGGTGCACTGAGCCTCGGCACCGGCCGCGGCGAGGAGGGAGAGGATGAGAGTGGAAGTATACATTGTTCCTAGACCGGCTACGAGCAGGGTTTATAGGCTGAGAAGAAGAAGAAAGAGTGTGGTTGTTCTAACGGCGTCTTGATGAGACGAACAGAAATGAACGTGAAGAAGAACGGAAAAAGATGGATCTATAGAAGCTTTGTCGTACGAGCGGGAGGGAGGCAAGAGACAGGAATCAGATGAAGGGCAGCCCATGACATTTTTGTATTTGCCAGCCCTACTGCGCAATCGTCCTATTTGAAAACGTTCCAAACCTATCCTTCTTCCGGACGTCGGGTCCCCCGCCTCACCATCCGGGGTGGCCTCCGTTACCTCTCCGCTGGCTGCCCCCTTACTCCAGAGTAACTTTTTTTTGCTTGTGTCTGGGATTCAACGAAGGAGTTTCCTGGAGTACCGAGCGATGCAGCTAACCAACCCCCTTGCCATCTGTAACTCGGTGCGCCTCGTCAGTTGGCCGTCTGGCTGGTGAGAGCCAGGGTTGCGCCCTGTAAGCACCTTATTAGACTTTCCGCTGATTCATCTGAATCCGGAACCACCCAATCATTTGAGGGTCGAGGAGCTGGGGTTAATGTGGTTAATTCTGGTGTCGCCCTGTATGATGGTAATGACGCGAGTCGTGCCAGATGGCCGGACCTCCCGGCTTCAAGTGAACGCTGGCTCCCTGCGTCAAGTGGATGAGTTGCCTTGGTTGAGGCAACATGCAATCATGGCATTCTCTCTTTGGCCCGACCCTACTGCGTAATGGCGAAATAACCCAGTGTCTCGTTGTTGTTGTTGGTGTCGTCGTCGTCGCAGATCTTCGCTTGAGCCATCTGAAAATGGCATCGACATAGAGCCTGGGTTTCTCGAAAACGAAAAAGAAGAAGCCCAAGAGCCTGGGGAACCGTGGAACAGAGATGGTCTCCAGGGAAAATCTCGACATGCCGCCGCACTGTTGTTCTGCTTCCCCCCCCTGTGTGCGACTCTGCGGCCAGTGTGGGCTTCAAAACTCGACCTGCCCTCCTGACACGCAGATCTCTGCCAAGCACACTGCTCGACGTCCCCTTGTCTGGTGTTCGCCGGAGAATACCGATCGGGGATAACGAATCACTCGGCCGGCCGACCACAAGTCGTCGGAGCCTTCGTTTGGGTCCTCGAAGGGGTTCGAGTCGACTCGCAGTTCAACACGTGCTGCCACACGCGCGTTGGCGGCCGATGGGGGGACAAAAGGACGCCAGTCCACGCCGTTTTCCCTTGCCCCTTGCTTAGTTCTAATAACCGCCAGCGGTTATTACACAGCAAATTCAGTGCCGAAATGGGGGCCTGTCTGAGACACTCTGGTAAGCGGCTATATTACCTTGGCGGCGAGCCGTCAACCAAACGCGTTCCACAGCGGGTGATGAGCGGGAGACTAGCTTGGAAAACCTAATTGCCATTTCCACATTGGCGGAACTTCAGATAAACGCAGGTCTCCCTCCCCCCACTGCGCCGAGACAACGTTTGGTGGGAAAGCTTGCGGGACGAGGATGGAAAGCAGCGCACTAACTACTAGATTCGAGACGCGACTGCGCGTTAAGGCAATCAAAAAGGACATGGCACCAGTGGAGTTTCTTGCTTTCGTCACTTGGCTGATCCCGCCACGCCATGTTTGGGCTTTTGCTCTGCGGTTTCTTGAGGTTTGCCAAGTGCTTTCTTTGGTTACCAACCAACCAACTCCTTCAACTCTCCCGGAGCCGTGGTCTCGGCGCTGCGTTTCACCCCCGAGCGAGAGCACCTCGTAGGCCAAACGAGGGGGGCAGTTGCCCCCTCCTTTCTACCATAGCTGTAGTGTCGTATTCTTGTCCTCGAGATGAGACTTTCTTGACCAGTGACTGTGAGTCTGTGACTTGGGACTTGGGACAGAAGACGAAACCATTTCCTTACAAAACAGGATAATTAGTTTTCTCCCACGCGGCAGTCCTGTTTCGACGACTTCGTGGCGCCCCTGCCAAGCTTATCGGAGCTCGAATGACCCTTGAATATTAGAAAAGTCCCACTCACGAGAGGGGCAACAAGCCGAGTTCATCGACGAGGAGGATTCCCAATGCGGTTTTGAAGAGGGCCCTGAATTGGGTGTGGGCTCCAAAGTGTTGTGCCGTCACGTCACAAGCCGTCATGCAACTCTGGCGTCCACGCGGATGGGATTTTGTTGACATATTAACGCCATGTTTTATCGATGAGGACTGGAGGGCCTTTACGTCTGGGGAAGGGGGGCCATGTTGCTGGGGATCTTGGAAGCCGATAGGGTGGAAAAGAAATTCCAATGACTACATCAAACTCTGGCATAGCCTAGCAACGTGCAAATTTGCCCCAAACCTAGGTCGACGTCGAGGTTCGAGGTTCGTCACACCAGACGATGCAGACTCCCTTGGCTTTCTGTCGACATCGCAGAGCCCTTCCGCCCCAGAGACACGGAGCCGGTTACTAGGTGCGGCCCGACAACCCGAAGCAGGGAGGGGGAAGGACAGTTCGACAATCTGTCTACCTCTAGCTGGCCATCACACCTGGCATACGCGGTCCAGATCTTGGTTGGCGTTTCTTCATCTACTGCGACAAGCAGACTTGGCCAAAACCATGCCACAGTACAGAACCGTGCCTTGCGTTTGCGTTGCCGGGACTCGGCGAGGCCCTCCTCCGATGGCGACCGAAGCACTGCCACCGCATCCGGCTCAGCCGCCACCAGCACGAGAGCAGACGGAACGCGGGAGGCCATAGATATCCAGCTTCCCATGTATGCTCAGCCCGATCCCAATGGCACTCGAGAAAGAAAAAAGGGTCCAAATAAAGAAAGAAACGGCCGCCTTACCTGGCATGTTCCCATGTCATGTGGCCGGGAAACGACTGTGAGATGTCAAGCCACAGACATTCCTCCCGCCCACTGCTCACGAGAAAGAATGGGGGGGAGGGCGAGCAGCCTCCCACGTGCACGCAGGCTACCAGACCAGATCCTCCATCCGGGAGCGAAGCGCCGATAGCATCATCGGAGCTACTAAACCCGGGCCGGACACAAGTCTATCAAAAGCATCGATAAAACCCGTCTCGCCTCGCCTCGCCTCGCCTCGCCTTGTCTCGTTTCGCCTCCTCCCCCAAAGAGGCGAAAGCGATGCCATGCCTCCAAAGTGGCTCACGCTCGTCATTCTTCGGTGACGGGGAATGGATTCATTCGGGCTAGCAGATGCTCTCGCCCGTCACGTTCGGAGTTCCGAAGCTTGGCTGATCCGCAAGCAAAACCAAGACAGCTGCGTCATCAGCCGTGAACTTACGTCGAGGCGCTGGTGAGACAGAAAGGTCCCCCTTTTTTTCTCTCCCCTCAGCCCAACGTTCTCGTTTGTAGGCCGACTTCACATGATTGCATCGAGACGTAGGGCCCTGTGTCTGAGAAAAGGGGAAGGGGAAGAATGTAGAGCGATGGATATTTATCTGTCTGATGCCCCCGGCTCGAGAAAGGGGGGCGAATTCAGGGAAATCTCCTTTCATCACCGTTCTTCAGCTTATTCAACATTACAAAAATCGAGAATAGACTCTTGGTCTTTTTCTTCTCCTTCTACGCCGTCCAAGACAAATCTCCCAGCGCGGTCGCGAACAGCCATCCAGCCAGGCCCCCTCAGACCTTAGCAAGAATGGCCGAATACAAACTCAACATCCGCATCGACAAGAACTCCGTTGCCAAGTTCAAGACCAGCGGGCACAAGATCTGCCTCGCCTTTGGCTTTGATACCAGCGCCAGGCCGGGCTCCACCAAGTTCAACGTCATCGGCTACTCTTCAGGTACCGTCCGGATGGTTAAGAAAAACCCGATCAGGAAGAACCGCTCGCTAATTCGTTGGCCAGTTTGCGCGCGGAATCTCATGGTGACGTGGAAGGAAGAGTATTCGATCGCAGCCAGCAGCAGCGCGTTCGCCAGCGGAGGTAAGAAGAAAAAGAAAGAAAAAAAGCTCCCCAATCCGAACACGTACTTCGCGCACGATTCCCCTAGGACTAACGCGAGCACCACAGTCCGCCTCGACGTCGCGACGACGCCGCAGCCCATCTCCTCGGGGGAGACGTGGGTCCTGCCGCCGGACTGGAGCGACGGCAGCTCGACGCCGGACCCGGACGTGGCCGACGAGGACATGCTGTTCGTCAACGAGGCGTCGTCGGCGTCGGCCGTCGTGTACAAGACGGTCAACGGCGTCGAGGCCCCCGTCTACGTCAGCCACTTCGGCCCCCTGCCGCCCGGGAGGGAGTCCCTCACGCCGAGGCTGCAGGCCGCCGTGTGGTTCCAGATGGCCGCCGAGACCGGGACCATGGTCGACGGGCACGACACGCCCATCCACGTCATCGACTTTGCGAAGGAGAGCTTCCACGAGGTCGTGTACGGCCCGTCGGGCTCGTGGGTCTTGGTTGAACAAGTCGCCGGCCGGCGCGGCCTTGTGCGATCCCCCCCGGAAGCAGGGCCGAGGGTTTTGGAGGTGTATAGAGCATCAGTTACCTGCAGCGAGTTTACATCATCATTCGGCGGCCGCATTCCCTGAAGGGGGATGTGGCGAGCTATTTATTCCCAATACCGTCATCATTCGATCAACTCCATGAAGGGAACGAAGTGTCCAATCGAGATAACATTTGCTAACACGACGAGCGGGAAATCCGAGATGTTGTCACACTTCGCTCAGGACAAAAGGTCATGGTTGCTTGAATTATGGGCAGGTTCAAACCTCATGAAATCCTGATTTTCTTTTGCTCATTTTTCGGTTGAGAGGCAAGGGGGACCCGGAGCAACGCGCTCGCTCTGTGTTGCCCCCTTGGCCGAGTCAAGATACTGGTCCATGCTGTTACTGATGGGCTTATGGACGCGCAAGATCGGGATGATAACGGACGATTTTGCCCATGCTGAGCGGCGAACTCGCGGCCGCGGGGACTGTTCATTCGTGGACGAACGGCGACGGACGCGGTGCTGCGGTACTTCACATGGTCTTTGGCGGAGTCCTCGGTCGAGTCGTCTGGCACTCATGCCAGGTTGACGGCAAAGCAGGCGAGCTCCGGTCACACCGAGAGATTTAGTTGTTTGGGACTGTTGAACACTCGTTCGTCGGTTGGTTATTGGTTGATACTCTTGTGGTCTTGTCCGCTAGTCTGTTTCCCTCATCAATCGGGGGTTATCGTGAGATGACAAGCCATCTTAGCCCCAACATGCAGTGTGTGTAAAAGTACAGTCTGATGCATCGTCTGAGACGAAATGAGGTCGGCGGATATGACACCATCATGGGCCTCGGGGACTCATCCTGTACAGACAAGGAATGTTTCGCTGCGTAAAGGGAGAGAGGCATATGGGGAGTGCGGAGACGAGACCAAAGCTGCGCTCACAACGAGCCAGCCACAATTCGGGGACAGGTTACCATGCCCGGACGACCCGGGATCAACAGAGTCTTTGGCCTCTTGAGCCATGGCATCCATACCAGGCCATCCCGCGGCGCGTCGATCGCCAGCCGATGAGCCGGGTCGCTCGTCGCCAAGAGCGTCGCAGTCGGTTCCCGTTGCCAAAAAGTCAAACCCAGCTTCGGGCCAGACGGCTTGGGAAAGGGAGGGAAAAAAAGTCTCAGCATCGACATCCCAGGAGCCAAATTCGTGAAATGACTTCGTTGCAGAACCACGGTCGAGTCTTCCCGGAGATGTGGACGGCGGGCGCACACAACCAACTCCCTTTCGCGGGACCGCCGTAATTTCTTTTGTTCCCCTCCCACCCAGGGACTGCGGGCCGGACAATCGAGTTATTGAGCATGCGGACCGACATGTCGTTCGACGTCTCAATAGCAGACCAGCTCTTGGCCGTTCTGCTGTGGGCGGGAGGGGAGCCAAGCCACCTCTCAACCTCGTTTATCCCTTCTTTCTGAACCGTTACCCGGGCAAAGAAAAGGTGGTCAGAGGGGGGAATTGGGATTCCTTCGTGTTGTTCTCCTCCCCCTGAGAAGCAAGGCTCTTAGACGACGTCGCACCCTCCCGAGATCTCCAACTCTGGAACACCTCGATACCACCGTCTTCCCGGCCGTGATTGGGTCCCCTTGACGCGCTGAAACAAGGACAGAAAAAAGAAAAAGATGAGCTGACAGGGGGGGGCTACTACCCATCAGGCTCGGATGGTAAGCGAAAAAAGTCAGTCAGTACGAATGAGGAAGAGGTCGAAGGACGAACCCCATGCTCACGTATGCCAGATATGGGACCACCCATGTTCCCGAACCGGCCATGTGCTCCGTCAAGGACTCCAGAGTTCGGACGACACACACACACAGACACACACACGGAGAGGCTCTTGCAGGAAACCCCTTGTCATCCCCCCCGCCCGAAACCGCAGATGTGGTTCTGTGGCTCGGCGGCTCAGAAGCAGGCCGTCAGGGACAACCTTGCCGCATCGGGCGGCGCGCGACAAGCTTTCGAGACTCGTGCTGTTGCAGAAACGACACGCGCCGGCTCTTCTCTCTCTCTGTCTCTCTCTCTATCGGTCTATCTCTTGCGGACGAGGTTGAGCGGAACCGCGTGTAGTCTTCGTTATACCCGTATACGGATACCCGTATACGGATACCCGCGGACGAAATCCCTCCCCTGCCCTCCTTGACACTCTGCCAACCTAACCACCCCCCCGACACATGTCAACCGGGCTTCCCACAAGTCTGATTCATGTTGTGACCGACTGACCAACAAGTAGGCAGACAGGGCTTAGCATCTCGGTATGGTATCCCATGGTATCTGCATCATGCTCTGATCAAAGATGCGAACTCTATGAACGGGGGAGGAGGAGGACGATCTCTCGGAATGCTGGGACGAGAATTGCCAACAGGGGAAAAGACAACGGCCCTCCCTCCCCTCATCGCAGAGAACCAGACAGCCGCAACCCAGTGAGCAGGTTTTGACGATGCTTAGATTTGGACGGGGCGGGGTGGTGGGCGCGCCCTATGCTTATGTGCCAAGAAACCCCTTCTCCCCCTCCCACACACCCATGCGGGTGATGTGATGCTTAAAAGGCGATCATGTCCTGTCCCCCCCAGGTCGATCTTTGGCCGTTCACTTGCTTGCTGTTGTTGTTTCCAGTTGCAAGTAATCCGTTCACTCATTCATTCTTTTCGTTTCCGAACCAGTCCTTCCGGCAAGGTCTTTCGCTTCGTTTTCCCGATTTCCTCTTCAACCAATCTTCCTAAACGCACCGTCTCCTTGCCGGATCACCTTCTTTTTGAGACCCCCCAGAGTTCCTCGTGGTGTAACCCCCCGTTTCAAGATGCAGCTCTCTTTCGTCGTCCTCGCCGCCAGCGTTGGTGCCGCTCTCGCAGGTGAGTCAACGAAAGACCCTCCCCCCCCCGGGTTCCCCTTGAACGACGAAGAAGACTGACCAAGACAACCCCTTCCCCGCCAGCCCCCAGTCTCGACGCGCGCCAGAACGCCTGCTTCGTCGTCGGCAACACCGTCCTCCCCAAGGAGGTCTCGGACGCCGCCGCCAGCCTCGCCAACAAGGTCACCTGCGACGCCACCAAGAAGACCATCTCGGGCGTACCCGACGTCGACGCCGGCGGCGTCAAGTTCTCGTCCATCAACTTCGCCGACTCGTCCCAGACGCCCCTCGCCTTCGCCCTCGACAAGTTCGCCACCAAGGAGCCCCTCGCCGACAACGACCTCGCCACCTTCCAGAACCAGGTCAACGCCTACACCGCCACCGAGGCCGGCATCCGCTCCGTCAACGGCAACTTCGCCGCCATCAAGATCCCCAAGTTCTTCCTCGCCATGCAGATCTCCCGCATCCAGACCGCCCAGGGCAACCCTCCCGCCGCCGCCGGCCAGCAGGTCGACCACCTCCGCGACAAGGTCCTCAAGAACGCGCCCCGCGAGGCCAAGGCCCTGCTCGACCAGGTCACCGCCCTCGCCGCCAAGACGTCATGAAAGCTCCGTGCCAAGAGGACGGGGGACGAGGAATCGTAAACCCCTCGAGAGGTCAAAAGGGGAAGGGAGAGACGAGAGAGAGAGGGGGAGGCCGGCAGGGGTGGAAGTAATTTATGAATTGAAATCATTATATCCAACTGGGGTCGTCTCGACGTTGAAAGTACATTGAAAGATGCGCCGCCGTTTCGCGACCTACTATACAGGCCATATGATGATGTTGATATGGTATTAATGACAGGAGGGGGGAAGTAGGACGAAAAAAAGAGACTCGGTTCTCTCTTTTCGCACAAAGCACCGAACCGTTTGTATCGTGTCAAAACGCCGCCGCCAAATAATCACTACTCTCGCGTCCCCGAGCAAGCCCGCTCAGCCTTGGGGGATTTCCGTTCGCTTTTGGTCTTGTTCTAGTCCTTGTTCTTGTCGTCGTTCCGTCTAGCTCTTCTTCCACTGGTTCTCGAGCCGCTCCTTCTCGCGCACCTCGGCGCCCGAGGCCCTCCACCACACGTCGCCGCCCCATCGGATCAGCCGCTCCGCCGCGCCGAGGGGCGTCATGGCGGGCCGGACATCGAGGTAGAAGACGGGTTCGCCGGTGGGCTCGGGCTCACCCGAGTAGTAGTCGATGACGTAGCGGACCTCCTTCTCGACGTCGCCCATCTTGCGGGAGACGAACCAGTCGTGGCGGTCAAATGGGGGCTCGGTCCTAAGCGGGAGGTTCAGTCAGTTGAGTCATGTTGCATGCAAGAGGCCGTGGAGTAAGGGCACATACTCGAACTTGGAGGGATAGATCCAGCCGGCAACCTGCCACATGACGGCCTTGGGGGTCATGTCCTTGGGGCGGCCCTGGAAGCGAATCAGGGTTGGGGGCGTCTCAGTGCCGTCCTTGAGCTTCTCGACTTCATCGTCGGCGTTCTCCTCGCCGCGGCGGCAGGCCTGCCAGCCCCTGTACAGGCCCTTGCCGAAGCGCTCCTCCCAACTGACGATCTCTGCCCAGGCGCCCTCGTTGAGGAAGTTGTGGACCGAGACCATGGACTCGACGGCGGTGATGTCGGTGTCAGTGTAACCCTTGCGCAGCAGGGCATTGTACATCTGCTGGGGCGAGGGGTACTCCCAGTTGCCGTCGCCGGACCCCTTGGGTATCGTCGAGGGCTCGCGCTCGGTGGGCAGGACGATGGCCTGGTTCTCGGCGGGGGTCTGGGAGATTTCCTTGAACATGTAGTTCAGGGGGTTGATCTGCTGGAGGAAGCCGCCCTTGGACTCGGGCTTGGGCGCGTCGTGCGGCACGGGACATGACGACGGCGGCGGCGCGGCGGACTGTCGCTGGTCGTGGGGAACGGGGCACGCCGAGGGAGGAGGCGGAGGAGCGGCGGCACGGCGTTGGTCGTGGGGGACGGGGCATGCGGAAGGAGGAGCGGGTGCGGCGGCGGGCTTTGTACTCGGGTTCAGGGCACCGAGAGTCTTTTCGTGCATCGGGCATCCAGGCTGGGAAGTGTTAGACAAAGGCATGCATTGAAGCAAGTGCTGGCTAGACATACAGGAGGAGGTCCGGTAGGGACAGCGACACCATGAGGATGCGCCGCGGAGACGTAGTTCGCCTTGACGGGCGCAGCAGGACCATCGGCCCAGAACCAACCCATGATGTGGAGTTGAGATGAATTAAGGGGAGGGAGGAGAAATAGGTAGAATAGGCAAATCGTCGTAGGAGAAACAAGGTATTGTATAAGAAGGTATCAAATGCGACGACGGGGTTAGTTGTTGAAGGAGCTTTTTGCCGGGTTAAAGGACGAAAGGAAAAGAAAAAAAGATTTAACTAGGCGATAAGAAACTGGGATCGGCGGATAAAGAATCGATCGAGGTCACTTCAGGCCTCTCTGCGCGCGCTGTGGTTTTGCTGACCTCAGCTCGCTTCAGCTCTACAGTGGTCTTAGTGGACGAATACAGCAGTGAAGGCGCCCGCCCTGTGGGCCATCGGATAGACCCGCGACCACTCTTTCCGACTATGTCCCACGTCAATCGCTCTTTCAAAAAAAAGAAAAAAAAAAGAAAAAAAAAGAGGTACGTACCTCGACGTCGTGTCACTCGCTCGCGTCATCAATCAACCCAGCCCAGCCAGCTGGCACGTGATTCTCCGAGGTTTCCCCATCCTCCAAGGAACTGATGGGGTACGTATCGAAGGCGGTCCCTCCTCTCTCCCAAGTCCAGCCAAATAATCTAATCTCTACGTCACCATCCGCTTCCGCTTAGTGAAATAGTAAACTACGAGTACGGAGTACGACGCACCTTCGTAGGTAAGGACAATCCTTATCTAAGGAACCTGGTCCTGGTCCCGCGATTCTGGCTGCGCGCATTCCGAACTTCACTCAACTCAGCTCGGCTCGGCTCTGCTCCCCCCCGGCCCAGGCCAATTCCTCCCCTCCTCCAGACCAACTCCTGCGAACCCGTCTCGACCTCGACCTCGACCTCGACCTCAACCTCGACACTGATAACATGATAGCCGCCTCCCGACATTCATCCCCCAGTCCTCGCTCGAGATGAGACTGGCCTTCGTCCTGGGCCGGTTTTGTCCACGTCCGGGCTTCCGAGCGCCGCCGAAAGGCACCCATTTCTACTCGACATTCAGAGGCGCATTCCGCACCAGCCAGACGAGGCCGCTGCCATGGCGGGCCACCCGCTACACGAGATATACCCTTCGAGCAGGCGGCGCAGGTGCCGGCGCCCTCGCCACCGCCGCCTTTTTTGAACTGTCCGAAAAGGACAACGGCGGCACCGACCAGACGGGCGAGAAGCGCATGCTCGAGGTCAGCCGCGCCGAGATCAACAAGAAGGTCGCCGATGGTGACAGCGGCATCTCTCGCGCCTGGCACACCCTCACCATCGCCCTCGACCTATACGTCTGGGAGCCGCTGTGCACCGGCGTCCGCTTCCTCCACCTCCTCGTCATCTTCGTGCCCGTCATCTTCGCTGTCCCCGCCATTTGGCTGGGCCGCCGCCGCCCCGATTGTGACAACGAGCGCACCGGCACCCTTTGGTGGTACGGCTTCCTCGTCCAGTCCATGGAGTGGGCTGGGCCCGCCTTCATCAAGGTATGTGATGCCTTCAGAGATCCCCCCTCCCCTCCCCCCACGATGCCCTGCAACATTGCTTACCACCTCTCAGCTCGGTCAATGGGCAGCCTCCCGCACCGACATCTTTCCTACCGAAATGTGCGAAATCATGTCTAAACTCCACTCCAACGCCCCCGCCCACTCCATGCACGATACCAAGCGCATCGTCTCCGCCGCCTTCGACGGCCGTCACTTCGACGACATCTTTGACGAGTTTGACGAGAAGCCCCTCGGCGTCGGCGCCATCGCCCAGGTCTACCGGGCTAAACTGAAGCCCGGTCTTGCCGCCCCCGGTGACAAAGATATCGACGAAACGCCCAAACCACTTCGTCACAAGGTGGCCAAGAACGTCGAGGCGGCCCTCAAGAGCACGCCCAAGCGCGTCCCCTCATCCTACGTCGCCGTCAAGGTGCTGCACCCGCGCGTCGAGAGGACCGTCCGTCGAGACCTGCGCATCATGCACTTCTTCGCCTCCGCCCTCAACCTCATCCCCACCATCGAGTGGCTCTCCCTTCCCGACGAGGTCGCCCAGTTCGGCGAGATGATGAAGCTCCAGCTCGACCTCCGCATCGAGGCCGCCAACCTCGCAAAGTTCCGCAAAAACTTTAAAGACCGCACCACCGCCTGGTTCCCCTACCCCTACACCGAGTTCACCACCCGCAGCGTGCTCGTCGAGGAGTTCGCCCAGGGCATCCCGCTGGCCGACTTTCTGGAGAACGGCGGCGGCATCTTCCAGCAGGACATCGCCTCCGAGGGCCTCGACGCATTCCTGCGCATGCTGCTGATTGATAACTTCGTCCACGCAGACCTGCACCCCGGCAACATCATGGTGCGCTTCTACCAGTCTCACGAGCCCGAGCTCAAGTTCCGCAGGAACACCGGCAAAGAGCACCCGGAGGAGCAGGACGACGTCACCGAGCAAGTCCTCGCCAGGCTGCGTCCCTATCGCCATCGCAAGAACCCGGCCGCCTGGGTCGCCGAGCTCCAAAAGATCGACGACGAGGGCTTCCGTCCGCAGCTCATCTTCATCGACACGGGCCTCGTGACTGAGCTCAACGAGACGAACCGCACCAACTTCCTCGACCTCTTCCGCGCCGTGGCCGAGTTCGACGGTTACAAGGCCGGCAATCTCATGTGCGAGCGCTGCCGCCAGCCCGACGCCGTGCTGGACAAGGAGGTGTTTGCCTTGAAGATGCAACACCTCGTCCTCGGCGTCAAGAGCCGCACCCTAGCCCTGGGCAACATCAAGATTGGCGATATTCTGCAGGAGGTCCTCGGCATGGTCCGTCGCCACCATGTGCGCCTCGAGGGCGACTTTGTCAACGTCGTCATCAGCATCCTCCTCCTCGAGGGCATCGGCCGGAGCCTGAATCCCGACATGGACCTGCTCAGCAGCTCCCTGCCGATCCTGCGCCAGCTGAGCGCCCAGAGCGGTACCGAGATGGCCAAGCATGGCGACTTCAGCATGTTGGTGGTATGGGCGGGCCTGGAGACCAGACGGTTCTTGCAGGCCAGCATCGAAGACGTAAGTTGCGAATCGCTCCCTAACGTCGTACGTCGTGACTCGGCTAACCTATCGCAGGTCGAACGTTGTGTCAAGTACGATCTCCTCGCACCAAATGTATAATGTAAACTGTATAGTACGGATAAATGAATGCACGGGTCAGGCGCTCTCGGCGTGGGGTAGACAATACAACTCATAGAACAGAGGCTTCCAATATACGCCGGTTTTAATCTTGCCATATAGGGCTCGTCCGATTCATCCAGTGCTTCGCCGCAGTTTGTGCTAATGAAGTGTGAAGCGACGCGTGATCCTGTGAGCCAGAGATGAGTAATAAAGAGCTGTAGACACTGTCATCCCCATTGACCGTCATGTCTGGGTCGAGAAGATGCGAACGGGAAGCATTTGACCCAGGGTTCCCGCGTGCATCGGGCGAATGGTGGGTTCGATGAGGGTTTCGAGGGCGACACGACAGAGGTTCGCGACGGATGTGTCGACGAAGCGTCCTTCTCTGGCCATCTAACCCCCGATCGAATACTTAAGGCTCCTTTCGGCCTGCGTTCGCTAACTGTATCTGGATGTAGTAGAAGCTTGCACGTGACCAGCCAACGTCGGAATTTGCCGGTCAAGATATACATGAAGAGTATCGACCTATCGAGTATCGAGTTGAGTGAAGGGTTTGGAGTCTTTATCGTGTTGGATAGACGGTAGTATTACCTGGAAAGTGTGTCCATGACCAGACGTGTCTAAGAGTTTGAAAATATGCCAAATGTGAAGATGTGAAGTGATGTGCAGCGGCATGGGTGTTATTTAAAGCTTTTCACCTGTGTATTATACTCTATCCAAACAAATATCTACATTGGTAAGGTCGGCCAAGACACAGTGTCACGCAATGGGTGAAATAATCTATATATTTGGATAAAGCCTCCGTGCAGGCCTTTACATTTATTTTGTTCCCATGGGTTGATTATGGCTACCAGTATATCAAATCGGTTCTAACCAGCCCTTATGTTGACAATGCTGAATTGTCACGAGATATATAAGCGTTAGTTACTGTCCCGTAACTATCGTCGTCGTTTTATTGTGTGACATGAATCTGCGTCTGAGAATGTAATAATGCAGGAAGATTGGACTCTGGCGAGAATATTTTCCCCTTTAGACGTCAATATTCCCGCAGAGCCTGACCTCAGAGCACATCGATACCCCAGTCCGCCGCAAGAAGGTAGCTGAGCACCCTAGCATCCTGACTAGATGTGTACTCGCAATACTTTGAGATGTTGGGCTCACCAGAACCCCAAAGAGGGAAGTATGGATCTCCCGTACAAACTCTGCTGCGTCTTGTGCGATTACTCGGTCCTCCGTCTCTGCGACTCACCTCTCTCTCTCATACCCTATATCATTGCATAGGTGGCGCGCTTTCGCCACGACTTTTGCCCCCCTCCCCCTCCAAAGCTCTCATCGATAGTCGAGAACTTGAAACCAAGCATGGTTTTCGCACTATGGATCTAGACAACTTCGCACGCCCACTTGCGGGCTGTGCGGCACTGTTCCAGACACGCCGGTCTGCTTGGTTAGGGGCGCCCAAGACTTGTCGAAGGAGCAGTGGCATTGACAAATTGTGGGATGGCTTCGGAGCAGTCTGGGCAGGGAAGCAGGTTCCGTTATGCAATGATCTCATTGTTTTCTGAACCGCCGAGGCGGCAGGTAAAATAACATATGGGGGGAAAAGAAATTGCGGCGGGGAAACCTGCATTTCATCAATCATCACTCATAAGGAGCACGCGAACAGCCCCTTCGATACAGAGGCCCAGGTGAGGTTATTCCGTCGTCTGGAACGTCTCGCCACGCAGCGATTCGTTACCAGTATCCCATAAATCTTTCCGTAAGGGTACGCCGTCGTAGAAACAAGCGTTCCTCAGAAGCTACATAGTGCCGCCAGGATGTTGGGTCTCTCCTGTGCGCCGCCTCCCACTCGGAGCCTCAATATCTTTCCGCGGGGGGCCCTTCACAATCGATTAAACATTCCTTAGCG